TCCGGACTGGTGGAGTCGAAGCACCGCTTGATGTCCGCCTTGCAACCAACCATCAGCTTCTTATCGCGGTGAGCAGCGAACAAGTCCTGGAAAATGGCGGAGTGAACGGTGTGGATAGAAGCATCCGGCACCCCTCCACACAACTCCGGCGGGACCCACGACCGCACCCAACCTCGCAGGGCACGCATGGTAACAGCCATGCACAGCCCCAATTTCGTTGTAGCGATAGACAGCGGCCGAGTACCCCCGGATGCCTTGGCAATGAGAGTAACCCGGATCTGCTTCCAAGCAACCGGCAAAACCTGATCCCTAAGGCAAACATCCCAAAGAGCACCCAAAGCCTGAAAGAAAGAAAACCCTAAACAAGCGAAGTGGGCCGGTCGCCACCCGTCCAGTCCGGCAGCGCGCTTCCGCGATTGCTTCGCACGCGCTTGGAGGGCAGCAGGCGACGTAGGCGGTAGCTCCCACTCGGGCCTCGGAGCACCCAGTTCGGCACACAACCTTGCAACCTTCTCGGCATCGGGGCGCTGAACCGGGCACCACTGCCTCTCCCATGTGCGCGCGGCCTCGGTGGCTTGGGCAGTCGGGTCCGGGTCCAACACTTTGTGGTGTGCCGGCGGCTCCTCAACGGGCACGGCTTGGCCAATCCAAGCACTCAGTTTTGAGGCATCCTCCTGAATCTCGCGCTTCCAGCGAGCGACCCGGCGATCCCTGCACTCACGGGCGGCTTGCTCAGCAAGCAAGTGAAAATGCTGAGCCGCCTCAGCAGTAGCAAGCGGCATCGTGGGCCACACCTCTTCAAAGTCCCGCCTGGCGGCCAAAATCCGTTTGGCGAGGCAATGGTCGTCGGGCTGCTTGGCTAACTCCGCAGTCCGCCGAGCCAGGCGTCGCAAGCGTCTCTCCCGAAGAGACTGGAAAGAGGGCGCTTTGCCCGAGTGCATTGCCTCCCGCCGAGGGCCGGCGACGGCTGACCTGCGCAGTATTGTTTCACAGTCTCCTGCGCAAGAGTCCGCTCAGCAGCGCCGCTGAGCAAATGCCATGCCTCGTCAATTTCGCCCGCAGCCAAATTCTCAGCAAAGCGCTCGCTCACGGGATTCCAAACAGTCTCCCAGGCAGCCGAAGCCTCAGAATCTTGCAAAGGCCTGTAGCGCGTCCAAGCGTGCTGCACTGGCCGGCTGGCGACCTGCAGGTCGTAGGCCACGAGGTCGTGGTCCGCCGGCCCCCGCAACTGCAGCCTACCAGAAGTAACTAAACCCCTAGCGCCAACCCCAAAATCAATAGTGTAACCCGTCAGTTCGCCGTCAGGGTCCCTGTGAGTCCCCTGCGGCTCGAGGACATGCAAATCGTCCCAGCACACAATCGCCCCACTGCTGCAGGCCGATGATAACGGCCAACGAGAGACTTCAAGATTGTAGTCGCCCAGCAATGCGAACTCCTCGCCGGTTGCTTTGAGCCACTCCAACAGAAAAGCAGCAAGATAACCGGCCTCGGTAACGCTGGGTGCCGGCAGATAGGCATTGGCGAGGAGAAAAGGCCGACAGCTAGGCCTGTGAACTTTGGCCACCAGAAACCTACCACGGCACCTAGGATCATCAGGAGCAGCAACAACCTCGATAGGCCATTGCGACAGGAATGCAACACCTGCAGTAGGGTTACCCCGGCTATCGAAGGTTTGAGGCCCCGGCACGAATTGCCAGCTGGCAGCGCGCGCACCACTAGTGGCCGCACTCACACCTTCATCCGCAAGTCTAGTTTCCTGCAAGCACACATGTCAAGATCGGCATGAGCAGCCAACTCGAGCACCGCAGGAGTCTCCCCGACAGAGTACGGACGTTGAGCGTCCCCAATCGCAATCGTGAACAAGAGCCCGTCATGGCTCCTGAACCCCGGCTTCCGGCTGCAGGCGCCGCAGCAAGGCGCTGGCGGTGTTTCCAGCAGTGCCGCCCTCGCTGGCGAGCGCGCGCAGCTTGGCGAGCTGACCCTTAGAGTACTGTGACCACGCCTCGCCCACACATGGCTCGTTGCGGAAGGCCCCAGCGGTGACATGGATGCGCCGGCACAGAGAGCACAGGAAGCGCACGGAGAACCCCCCGATAGGCCACGCGATGGCCTCGAGCCGATGCTCACGCGGCTCGGCAACGACGGCTTGCTGGTTCAGCTGCTTGATGATTTCAACGGCCCGCATCGTGTTGTCACGCACCTCCTCGGAGAGATCGGTGCGCTCGAGGGCCGCAGTGAGCCTCTCCACAAGCTGCTTGCGCTTGGGGCCCTTGCTCATAAACGAGCGGCAAGGAGCATTGGCGATGTCCTTCAGCCGCGCTGCATAAGCCCCACACTTACGACACAACACCCTGTACAAAACCCGATTCTTCTTGGCCTTTCCTGTCGGTGGCGTGGCAACTCGGATAGGATCATGCACGCCAGCCTCACCCTTCTTCAACCGCATGAGGTGGCTTGCCGCACCCTTGTTGCGGACCGCCTTGGTGGCGACCGGAGCATTGTTTGCCCGAACGAGCAGAAAGTGAGCCCTGGGCTTATCCGGATGATACTGTTCGCGATGGTGCAGGCGAGCATGGAGGCGGCTGTCCGTCGATCCTTCGGTCCCCTGGCCTTTATCACAGTACCGGCATTTCCAGATGCAGGCTGGCGTCCACGGCAAGAGCCCAACGGGCCTGCGAAGGGAAAGCATCGCACGCAGGTCAGGGTGCCATCGCATGATGTGCAGGCGTTTGTTGATGCTCCAATACTTACCAACCGCAACGAATCCGCACTCATCGCACCTCCACTTGGAGTGAACCGGGCGAAGCCTGCGGCGTTTGTGGCCCGCCACCGGGGCTGGCGGGGGAGGTAGCCCTGGTTATGCACAACCGGCGGAAGGTCACCATCCCTAGGCACTACGAAGATTTCGAGATTGTAAGCTCGGGCTGCCGACTCTATCTCGAGCGGTCCAGCCCAAACCCCGTCTCCAAGCATGTGACAAAGGTAAGCAGGAAAGTCAGCCAGCTCCTTGCCACCGGAGTCGGTCCGGTCCCACCACGCCTCAAAAGCACAGTATGCTTCCGTTGATAAGCAATGATTTCGGCTCGCAAGACCGAATGATCCCTAAGCTTACCGCTGCGGACGAAAGCAACGGCATCAGACAGACAATGATAGAAGCAATTGCCATCGGCACTAACCTTGACAAGCTCGACGCCCTGCGGCACCTCCCTAGAAAGGCTGGCGAGCGGCAGGCTTTGGAGCAGACTCCGGTTGCGAAGGCCGGTTTGCAACAACAGGAGCGGTAGCGGGGGACGAGAGCGGCTTTTCGGCCCCTAACACCCGGAGCAAAGCAGCGCGAACTTGATTATGAGAAGGCGGGCAATTTGCGGCAGAGGCAGCGGTGAACAAGGGAAGTATAGCTGATCCCACAAGGTTGGCGCCGAGGCACGGGCGGGAGCCGAAGGCACAGGAGGCTTTGCAGCAGCTCGCCGGCGACCTGGACCACGCATGCGAGGAGGCTTGTTAGACGGAGCATCTTGGAGCTGCTTTACAGCAACAGACAGTTGGGCCACCGTGTCAACAAGTTGCTTTAAGGTTTGGGCCTCAGCTCTGCGGTTGCGGCGGCCCCGCCGGCACCCCCTATCAAAGGGTCCAGATGCAAACACGAGGAGCCGAGGAGCCATCACCGTCGCATTGGAGAAGGCGAGAAAAGTCACCGGCACGCAACGACAACAAAGGCCACAGAAGGGCGGGACGCTTGCATCGCGAGCGCCGGCAAGCAATCCGAATGCAACGCCGCCAATGCCAACCACAGACAACGCGCATCATGAAACGCGGCCGGGTGATTGCACACCGCCGCCTGGCTCCACCGGCACGCCGGGCGAGACACACGATGGCAACACGCAGCAAGGACCGCGGCCTGCCAGACGCAGAAGGGCGAGACCAACAACCTGAATCACGGATGCCGTTCTGACGACGGAGGTGGGCAGAGGGCCGGGCTATGCAATGCACGGAGCGCTCACACAGAGAGCGCCTACCCGACTGCACACGGGAACTAGAACCCAACCGCCAAGGAACCCCAGGGCCTAAACCGAAAGGGCGAGGCGGGGGAATGCAACGCAAAGTGCAGCAGCGCCTGCGGCGCGCACGGGTCATTGAAGACATGCGGGACACATGCCAGCAGCCAACAACAGCCCAGGAACAGAGAGAACAAGCAGCGCAAGTGTCGCGCCTAGACTTTCGCATGATGCCAGAACGACACAGTGCGACCAAACACCCTTCATTTCGGGAGAGGCTGGAACGGAGGAACAGGTCTCAGCGGGTCTAGCAGGAAACACCGAGAAGCGCATGCGGAGTGCAGCAATGCGCGGGCCACTTAGGGACACGACATTGCGGAAGGCGGGCCTGTGCAGACCGCGGGGTGGGATCACCAATGCCGCGCCTATGCTGTGAAAGAACTTGCATGGGCCACCTCGGCCCCATTGACGCAATCTGCGAATCTCAGCATCAGCCCATAGACGACTGAGGCGAATGCAAAAGGCCTTGCAGAACAATCCTATGCACTCACTCGGCCCGCCGCATGAACTCCGAAACCTTGTGCATGGAATACAGCTTGAGTTCTAAAAGTTACACAGGCGTTTAGGGTTCCGGCTTCATGTTTCGCGGCTTCCGGTTTGCGGCTTAGGGTTAAAGTTGTTGCGAATTGCAGTCTCATTATTCGGGGAATTGCAATTTGCAGGGTGGCGTTGTGCCGCAAGATATTGTGGAATTGCAATTTGCAGGGTGACGTTTTGCCGCAAGCCCTTGGGGCAAGGACCAGGGGACCAGAGGACCAGGAAACTAGTGGGGCCTAGGCCAACCCTACCAAGGGCCCTAAGGGACCGCCAACGTTAGAAAAAAGTTACCGGGCCCTGCAAGGCCCCACATGACATACTAGAACCGTAACGATGGCCGTCAAGCTGCTCCAGTCCTTGAAAACCGTTGGAAGGCTGATCACTGAATCGCACTCCATCCCGAGGCACTTTGTACTCGCGGCAGCTCCAGGCAGCACGGCATCGACTGCAGGGCGTGGCTGCTCTGAGCTCAGGCTCGCCTGAAGCGAAGTTCTTACAGAGCTATTACACCACACCTCAACGGTGTGGTGTAGCGACATAAACACAGGTAATAAGAGAAACGACACTGCTCAAGCATTGCTACCAGGCTGAAGGATGACTAGACATGATGCCCCGGTAGAAGCTAGATCTTTCAAGCAGACATGGAGACTGCGATCAGACTGACTTTGGGCTGCAGGGCCAGACCTTGTCTTGCAAGTCATTGTTAGGGGCAGAGCCACCCGGCTCAACGTTGAGCAAAAGCTCCACAGCTCCGCAGTTTTCCATTGAACCATCCGAAAAGGACACAGGTTTAAGCAAGCTGGAAGGACCTCGGTCTTCTTCTGAAGACTTCTGAAGCCCTACGAGTCAAAGCGAGGGAACGTATGGCCATTCCTTTAGAGCTTTGGAAGGTGACCTAGCTTGGTCAAACCGGGCCACCCAAAGTGCCACGCGGAGCACCAGGCGAAGCGCTTTGAGGCCGCGCATGTTCAGCTGTCGCTTGAACTGGTTCACAATGGTGTCATCCTAGGTTTGCGATGCTTGCGAAACAGGTGATCTCACACTGTCCGCCAATGTCGGCATGTGCGAAAGTTGCAGCCGACACTTGGTAAGATCCTCCTCAATTCCTGAGGCGCCCTGAGGTCCAATCCACCAGTTCACTCGTCGCTGCAATGTAACCAGGCTGCGATCTGTGCCTTCGCAGGAAGGGCTCTGCCTTCCTAGCAAATGCGAGCTCCAAAACCACGCCTCAGAAGGCGATCCTCGTTGATGGTGCGGACGCCGTGCCTGCGATGCTTCTCCAGCCCTTGCAAAGCCTACGAGGCCGAAACGAATGAAATCGCTTCAAGAGCGAGCGCTTGCATCCAAGCTGCACATTCTGATGATGCTCTCCGCCGATGGGGGCTCCACAGCCAGGAGCTGGGCAGATGCCCAGCTGCATTGGCCTGGGAAGTGACATGCATCGAGAGCCTGTAGAGATGACGATGTATGGCCTGGTGCACTCACCGACGGAGTAGGGATGTCCATTCGGGCACGTGTACCTCGTACAGTAAGAGCAATGAGGCTCTTTCGACATTAACAGCGGCCAGCCGTTGCTAGTGACGAATGCACCTACACCTTCCCTTGGCCACTGCTGTTCACCTGCCTGTTGTTGCACATCATCCGGACACATTTCTGTTAGTATCCCCGTACTATTCATCACCAATCTCCGGGCACCAGCCCACATAGCCCATGGCTCCCACCACTGCAGCTTCCTGGCAAAGCATTGCGACGTCTCACCAAAAGCCGCTTTAGCAAGCACACGAGAAGCGGTCCTCGCTGTCTGGCATTGTGGGCCAGTAGGATCGCTGAGCTTCACCCGGGTTGGTCAGGACATGCTCCAGCCTGAGTCCCCGGCTTTCGCATAAACATGGTAGCAGCTGTACCAGTTCACTCCGGAGCACAACCTCTCAGCAACCCCTTGGGCCCCTGCCAACCCGCTGGCTGCGTCCCGGCCCCAAGCACAAGCAGCGCCAGGTGGTGCGCAAGCTGCTCCAGGAACTTCAGCAACTTCCTGGAAGCTAGCACGGCATAACTCTGATGACTGTTCATGTGTGGCTGCATGACTCTGCCAAGACCACCACTTGTGGTGAATTCAAGGTGGCTTGAGGCTGCTTCACCGGGTGCATTGGCATAGAGCTACAAGTTACAGGACTCAACGTCAGATCAGCATGATACCTCGGAGGCTCGTCCGTCGAATTCGCTTCCTCGGTCACTTCCTGCACAGGAAGCCCAGGTCTTCACTTCTCGAAGCCTAAACCTTCACGCACAACGAGCGGCAGGGCCGCTCACCTGAAGATGTGGAAGGAGCCCGGAGAACATCCGATTCGCCAGCATGAGTCGGTTCCTGCCGCAGCAGCGCAGTTCTGCTCTCTGCCACCGCACTTCGCGAACTCTGACGTGATGGCCGTCGACCCTCGACAATGCCCAATCAAGTCTCTTTCATGAATCATGGTGAATCCCTTCTTCACACCTGCCTCTGCCTGGCAGCCTTCTCGGTCTCGAGATTCTCGCTGACCCAGTCTCGCAGCACCTCCAGGCCCTCGGCCACGGCCACCTCACGCTGGCAAGACTGGCAAGATGGCAGCGGCAGGACGGCAGGACGTTCGTGCAAAGTCGCCTGACGATTCAGCAGCACACGCGAAACGATGCAGGCCAGAACTGATCTTCCAAAGGCCTTGGCTTCAGTGCTCGCAGTGCCGACGCAGTGCTCGCGGATCACCCGGCATTGCACCACGATGCGGCCAAGCCGCTTTGCCGCGGGCCCAAGAGCCAATCTTCGTTTGGCATGCACTCTGTACTGCCTGCTGGTGCTACACAAGTGCAACAGCGAGTGTAACAGTTGGCCTGCTGTCGATTCTTCCTTGCATGCGCAGTCCCTAGGATGTGCCAGCCTTGTCAAACTCGTCCTTGCTGGCCCTCGTGGAGCTCGCCACCACTCCCACAGCTCCGCAAATTTCGAGATACCTTGCAAAGCAGGAAAAAGCGGGAAACATGACGTGTGATTACGACGCCGTTCAAGTCAAGAGACCACTTCAAGGGCTTCTCATTGGCTGTTTGTGGAGCAAAGTGCACCTCGGATGTATGAACAGCGGACAGCACTTCGGTTCCCTTGCTGAGTTCAGTCACGTCGCGAAAGGATCCGGGAGGTCGTTGCTGAGGTTCGGAAGGCGCTTGCCATCTAAAGGAAACCAGCCGAGGTGGGCTCCTGGAATGCGCTGCGCCAGAAGCAGTCGTCTTGCTATGTCTTGCTGAGGCGGATAGGATGCCTTCGGGTTTCAGCGCGAAAGCTGCGATGCGGCACAAGTCAGTGTCGCCACCTCTGCGAGCCGTCGGTATCGAACAGCACAGATCAAGCATTTACGGCCAACTGTTCAAGTCCCGCCCTTGCTGACTCCCATTGCCGCTGCTGAGTCGAACGCCCATTTGCCGGATCACCTTTGCGGCATACAAAGCCTCAGACACGGTTTAGTGCTGCCACTCTGCAATTTGTCGATGCAGCAGGAACCACTACGTGCAACATTGCACTTTACAATTCAACATGACGGAGCACCTTCTTTGAAGCCCCAAACACACTGAGACCACCATTCCGAAGCAAGACAACAACCTCGGCGGTGGGATGCCTGCGGCTTCGACTTCATTCACGGCACAGAGCGAAACCTCCCTGAGAAGCGTTGCCCAATGCATCTTCGGCGCCACGGAAGGGCTTCGCAGCGCCGACGCGACCAGGTCCGGGGGCTTCGCAAAGACGTCCAGGACTAGGCCTGTGGCAGGGATCACCCAGCGCTTGCGGGACTCCGCAGCTCCCACCTCCCGTCTTCGTTGTCTTCAACGCAGTGCTGCTTCCAGGTGCTCAGACTGCGCTCAGCACGAAACGAACATGCAGAATGCTCGCCAGCATGCCTCGCGCATAGCTGGCCACCATCCGCCGCACGCGAGCCGCTGCATGCAGGAGCTGCCTGGCATTCAAGGAGTTCCCAAACACACAGAGCTGGCTGTCAACGAGGCATAAGAGCAACTGCCACCATGCATCCGAGTTGCCTCGAACCTTCCTCAGGCTTTAGCACCTCAATATCACTCTATGTGCAAGAATCTGTGCAAGCGCGAGTGGGCTCGCTGGGCTTCTGGCCATCGCCACATCCTCCTTACTGCACTCCCCCGTTTCCTCGACGTCCTGGACTGATCAACTTGAAGCACGGCTCCAGAGCTTCCGGCATCCAGCGTCCTCGATGAAATTCAGGAGATAAGTCAGGGCCTTCACATCTAATTCCTCGTCAGCCGGCAGCACCTGCAGCCAATCTAGTTGGGATCTTACACTTCCCAGCATCCCTTACGAGTTTGCAGTTCAGACCGGCCCGGTGAAACGAAGAAAAGACACGCCCTGCAGGGAACAAGACGGCTTGACTAGTCTAAACGAAACCCTGAGCCCGTTCAGAGGCAAGAGAATACTGTCACTTCGAGCGTTGCCCCCACTTCTGCCACTCCTGCGACTTTTTGCCACTCCTCCTACTGTACTGCTACTGCATTTGCCAAGGGGCTGGCCAATGATCAAGCCGAAACGACCCTGTTGACGCAAGTTGTACCAACCAAATTGCATCACCTTGTGCACTTGCGGGTGCTCCAGCCAGCACAGCAGGCTTCGCATCATTTGCATGGGCAGCCTGGGGATCTCACTTGGTCTCACCATCCGACTTGCAAAAGATCGCTCGTGGACGTGATCTGCTGAGTCTCTGAGTCTTGCACGGGGACAAGCCGAAGTGATCTGATGCAGAGCTCTTGGCCACCGCTTTCCACGCAGCAACCGCCGCACCGCCTGGTAGCTTCTTCGCCCAATTCCACAGACTCTCTGATCTCTCTGAGCTGTTCCTCGCCTCGCTGGAGCATCTCTTCTGCACCAGAAATTGAGGCCAGGAGCTCGCCTAAGCTGTCAGAGCCCGCACAACCACAGCCAAACTCTCACACAGGAGGCTTTCTAGGCGCAGCGCTGGCGACGCTTGGCAAGGCCCTGCACACGGCAGCCTGTGCCCTTTCTTCGGCCTCGCTTTCTGGCAGACCTCAGGGAAACAACGCCCACTTGATGTAAAAAGGCCGAGGTGATTGCAGCAAACACCGGCCTTTTGCCAGAAGGCAGCTGCGCAAGCCTTCAGCACAGTCGCACCAGTAGTCCTGTGCATGCTCAACACCACACCACCGCATCATGTGAGGCCCCTTGTGACCTGCGTGCTGGTGGCGTACTGACCTTCTGTGTCTGCGGGATGCTAGAGTCGGCTAGATTTCCACTTAAGCTCTCTTCGCGAAGCTGCCCGGACCGGGACCCTTAGCCCTCAGGCCTTGCTGAGGAAGCCCATCGCCAGATCAGGCACCAACGCAGCACGCTCTTCCTGCCGCAACCACCAACTTGCCCCCAGATGCCCCTAGCAGCTACCCTGGCCAATAGCAGATTCTTCCGCACGGTCCTGGGTCCACCCAGCGGGGACGGCTGCGGCCTCAATGCACATCTGGGAGACCAAGACCAAGCGCATGGACTGCCGAGCGCCTCCTGGAGTGCCAAGGAAAGGCGGAGCCTCCACCAGCTCGGAGCGACCAAGACGACCTCGGCGGCGCGTGGAAGCCGGGCTCATGTTTGGGGTGTCTACGAGTCTACGGGGTATGCACCTTGAGCACACTGCACTACATGCGGCGACGTGACCATTCCTGCAGAACAATGTCCCTTAAACAGGATTAAGGTTTTTTGCCCGAGAAGCGCTTGCGGTCTCCTTATAAGCGAGAAGCAAATCATCTTGGGTAGCTACATCCTCGCTTGCGCGAGGTGCTGGCAAAAAGGTCTTCGCTGCAAAAGGTGTTTAAAGGGCTGCTTCGCAGCACAACTACTCTCGCGCAGAAGTATCTACGCATTGTTACGTAAAAAATGACCTCTGAATGAGGATGCGAAAACACAGACCTTCCGTGTCTCTCGCTCACACAGCTATCCTAGGTGAAAACCGGAAGTTGTGGGCCAATTCTTCCACAGCAAGGGCTAGCGGCTACCACCACGAGCACCCGCCCTGCTTGTGAGACCCTGCACGAACTTCACTTCTACAGCTCCACTGGCCAGGCAACATCCGTTGCAGTTTTGCTGCCCGATCGCCTCAGACTTCAAGAATTGTAGCCCGCCGGCACGGAAACGGTAGTCACAACATGCCACGGGCCAAGAGACGAATTCGAGGTGTGGGCCATCGCACCAAGTGTTGCCATGAAGGAGCCCTTGTGAGCATGTCTGGCCTCCAATGTGGCACCGAGGGCTAGATTTGAAATGTCCTAGTCACGTCCTCCTCTGTTTAGGTGCTGGCTAGTACCCCACAAGCACACACCCACACAAACACACACACACACACACACACACACACACACTTACTTCGGAAAAACGTACACACACTCACATACAGACACGCGAAGAAAAAAGAGGCTAGATTGTGCAGGCATGCAACATTCACAATGTCGGCGAAGCCTCGCAGGGTCGAGACGAAACCCACAAGAAAGCATCTTGCCGAGACACTGATGTCTACCTAGGACGTTAGCTGCAGACTCTCTAACTTGAATGCATGGCTAGGATCGCTGAGCTCGCGCGGCGATGTCGTCCATCTTCGAATCTGCAAGACCCTTGTCCGTGACCCAAATATCCTGGCCCAGAGCTTTGCCGCAGGTTTCAACATCCCAAAGCAATCCTGCACACCTTTCGCATCAGGTGAACTCGACAAACTCACATGTCACGAGCACGCGAACACAATGCGCCAGTCTGCCCGAAGCCAACTCGGTGTCTCACGCAACTGTTTGATAGCGCGCCTCTCCGTCCATGTGCTCCACTTCCCCAATCAACAGTATGCCAAAAATCTGCAAATACCTTTGAATTTGCCGAAGGTCAAAGATCGTGTCAAGGATAAAAACAAACTTTAAGCAAGCATTTATTGAATTTATTGCATCCAAGTGCTGCCAGAGTGGGGACCCGTGCTTCTTCACAAGGTTTGCGAAAGTCGCCGCGTCCACTCCGTTGTAGTAGCAGATCTTTCCTGTGTTCGCTGTGAGTCGGCCTCGATGGTTCCACTCTGCCCAAATGCACGGCAGACAGAAGACCTCTCCTCCAAAGACGTGCTCAGACTCGAAGGAGGTCAACTGTCTGGCGATGTAACCCATGGAGCCGTTCTCGATGATATACACCTGAGTACACTCCGTGCCAGGCATGAAGGCATCTTGCCCCGGCGTAGCGATGTGTTCTACCATCGCGAGGTGACACACCTGCCGGAAAAAGAGTTCATCATCGTCGTGTTTCCAATATCGCCAGATGCTGAGAGACATCAAGCGGTCAAGGTACATCTCTTCATGGAGGTACACTTTCAGCCGCTCCGGAACTCCTATCAGAAGCTCGACATCCGCCTCCTTGACGCGTATGTCGTAGGCTCCTTGCTTTTTTAACATGTCGTTGACCTTGCCGTAGAGCTCCGTCGACAGATTCCGCTCGTTGAAAAACCGGACTAGGAAGGAGTGGTGTTTGAACTGCTCTTCGCGCGCGGTTCGCAAGGTACTCACTGTCGTAGTGATGGAGCTGATGAAGGACGAGAAAGTGCCCATCGCCAGCAGAATGACCAAGACTGCAAAAAACCTCCAGAACAGTGCGAGCAGAGGATTAATTGCGGCCAAGAACGGAAGAAAGAACGAGGCCATGTTATTTGCCCATCGCTCACGCTCACAAAAATGAAAACAGCAAAGGCCTCTCCGCGACGGTGACTGGGGCAACGTTATTAGTCGCAGGCGTGAACTGCGTTAATGCCCAGTGAATGGACACAGCGTACGCGTCCGCCATGTCTGCCTGCGATCGACTTCAACCAGATTTGCGGCCAAGCACTTGTCACTAGCGCCAGAGATTTTCAGGCAACGACACAGCACCCTACGAAGTTGGAGCAGCGAATCCCGTACTTGCGACCTTGCCTCCTCAATTCCTGCATTGATTAACCAGCTTTGCCCGTTGTCCAGGGTCCTTGCTGTCAATTGCTGGCGGTGCGCATACAGATGAATGCGAGCTTGCTACAGGCCATCAAGAGCTACAGAAGCAGTGAACACGGCTCGAAAGCGGGAAATTGCTGTCTGGAAGTCCATCTTCCCAGCCCGTACCAGCAGCAAGCGATGATGTGATTGACAGCCAAAATCATGAGGAGACCCGAGACCACCTTCATGACCTTGGCTACTGGATCGGATCTGTGACCGAATGTGACCTACATGTCACTGAACACAAACGTGCATGTTGGCAGCCGGTCGCGAGCTTCGAGAGCTGTCTGCAGCCGAGGTGCCATGAACGCATAGGTGGACAGGAAGTTGTTGGCCAGCAAAGTTAACTCCTCCGCCAGGAGGCCAGCAGTTGCTGAAATCGAGCAAACGACAGACCTAAAGCTTCGAGACTGGTTCGTCTCTGCCTCGCCAGCCGCTTCACTGCTAGAACCCCTCAGATCTCGCTGCCTGCTGGAGCTTCGCCACGCGCAAGAGGCGCAGCAGGCGCAGCAATCGCAGGGTTCGAAGATATCGTGCTGACCGGACAGGGCTTCCTGGATGACAACACTTCCTAGCTGCTGAAAATGCTGGATGTACTTGTGTCCATGTCTTAGGGCCTCAACGGTTTCGCCCTATTTCACCGACGACTACAACTGCGAGGGGGGGTGGCTACTCGGTCATGACACAGTGGACTCACAGAACAACCATAAGTTCCTTGCCTTCGGGCTGTGCGTTCTGGATCTCCTGCAGCACGATAAGCGCGGCATCGATGGAAAGGACAAGGACATCGATGGGAAGCCAAGAGCGCACATACCTGCCATGTCAGAGCTTTGGTCCGAACTGTCGTCGGTTTAGCCGCGGGCAGTCGATGTCGGAACGCAACTAATGGAGAAAAGCCCACAAAACTACTATCAGGTTTATCGCCTCTTTATTCCACCTTGTTTCGAGCTCACGCTGATACATGTGGCCTTCTCATCAGCACCCGCGGGCGAAGCTCCAAATGGCCGTCAATTTCGACACCAAAGATCGCATGCAGCGGCCTCGGCATAAGGCGCCAGTTCGATAGTTCGCGCAACACGATGGGGTAGCAGCACTCTTCTTGGAGGATGAAGATTGGGTGAGTGACCAGAACGGCAACTGAAGGGCGACATGATGGTTACAAACTGCCACATGTTGTGGGGGGTCTGGCGGGATCGTACTTGCTTGGCAGTCGAAGGAACATAAGTCGAAGGAAACTAATGTCGCAAACACACGACACAATGACCGCCACCGGGACCAACAACAACAATAACAGCTTTGAACTGAAAACGGAGCGAGCGGACTCTGCTCCTGCACCTGCACGGGCGAGTCAGTCAACCTCGGAACTTTGCCGTAAGCCGGTGCTGCCCTTAGCATTAGACCTGCCGACCCCCGCAAAGAAGGCAAATGAATCGCTTAAACGCAACGAGTACGGTACATATGTACACTTTTCATTTTGCTGTCTTGAGGCTCACAGGGACACAAGAGAAAAGGACAAACGGACAAGGACGAATACAACCACAACAGCAACAGCAACAACAACCACAACAACAGCAGCAGCAACCGCAACCGTAACCGCAACCGCAACAGCAACCGCAAACCAAACGACAAAAACAAAAACCGTAACCACAACGACAACAACCACAACAATCACGACGACGACTACGACGACCACAACATCAACTTCAACATTCACATTATCAACAACAGCAGCAGTAACAGCAGCCGCAATAGCAGCCGCTTCAGCTCCAGCATACACCAGCACCACCAGCACCAGCATCGCCAGCAGCAGCAGCAGCAGCAACAGCAACAGCAACAGCAACAGCGCCAGCAGCATCAAATCATCATCAGCACCATTACCTTCCTCGCAATCGCCGTCGTTACGATCATCTTCTTCATCACCATCATCGCCATTCACATCACTACCATCACAATCACTACTAAAAACAGTCTAGCAGTCCAGCAACTTTTGGAGAAGCCGAGGAGCACATCCAGGACCCAGAACGCGAAGGAGAATCTGCCCACATTAACAAGAAAATTGATGAGGCTGTCGACATCGAAGAGCTCCAGCGGGATAGTGATCAGATCCCAGACGATGAGCAGGCTCCCTATGAGCGACCACAAGATTTGAATCTTGCTGCTCGGTGGCCGAACAAAGACCTGCAAACATCCCTCGTCTGTTTCGGCATCCTGCATGCGGTGGAGTTTGTGATGTGGCGACATGTTGAAGGTCTTGGTCTTCTCCCTCTTCAAGTCATGATGTTGCAGCACACCTTTCCATTGCGGCCGCAGGCTCAGTATGTCCTGTCCGTCAAGGGGCTTATTCAGGCTGCCAGGGATACTTATGTTTCTGGGCCGCACTATCCTCAAAGAACCGATTAGGGTGATGTCACTTAGCCTTGGGCCCTTCTCGAACTGCTTTTGAGGCGAATGTGCAAATCGTGTGCTATGGAGTCAGGCAAGACTGAAGCTGGCCTTTGCATAGGACATCTGCTGGTCGTCTTCTGACTCGGAATCTTCGAACTGTTCGTGGTGCCGCTGGATCAGGTTACGGGTCAGGGCCCCCCAGTTGTATACGGCCCCACCACTGCCACTGGCCTCTGAATTCGGAAAGGATGCAATGGAGCTGTGGGCACCATTCGTCGTGGAAAAATCGCTTTCCTTGCTCCGAGTTCTCAGGGCACTTCCGATCCGAGAGGGGCTTTGAGTGGATCCGAGCGGGGCGAGTGCCTTCGACTCCGAAGTCGCCGAAGCTCGTACCTTCTCTAGAACTGCCTGGTGCTGTTGCACGAGGCTCTCAAAGAGCCTCTCGAGCTCGGATTTCAAAAAGCTGTCATAGGATTCCTCGTGAAACCTCTCCATCAGGACAGGGAAAAGCGGCACTCGCTAGGGACTGGGCCGCAGATGGCTCGGCTCATATCAGAGCAATGACAATGGGATGTCCTCTGAAAAGCACTGCACCGATCATAAAGCACCAAAAAAACTCACGACAGTGCGCGGCAGAATGCACAAGGCAAAGCGGACAAACCAACCACCCAGAGCAACCGTCCGGCTGAGTTCAGAACTCCAGCGGTGTTGCAGCTGGCTTGGGATAGAAGCACTCGAATGTGGGGCCGAGCCCGATCCTCATATAGGCAGGAGTCTCGGAAACGCATCGCCGTCATGGGTCCATCCCCCGACGAAGCACTAAACGACGCGTTGGACCGTAATGGACCCGCTTGCCTTGGTCTACAGACTCCCTGCTGTTTGAGTCTCAGCCCAATCTGCTGTCACATGGCCGCCAAGCGTTGTAGCAACAGCCTCGGATTTCTAGGTGCGAGCAGGGTCACATATTGCGGATGCTGCAACGTCCATCGCCGGCACGCAACCACCGGACAGCCTACACTGACCTTTCTTTCACATCGACATGACTTCTCGGAGCACAAATGTCATGGCGGCATGATGTTTCTACAATCCTCCATGCTCAAGTCTACCCGAACCTCCTATTCATGTCGATCTTCATGGAGCCTCCACCACCGATTCTGCCAACATCTTGCCCGGAACAGCAGCGAGCAGAGATTCAGTGACCTTGGCAGGCCGCAGGCTCTTGTTCACGTGTTGTTATCCGCCATCTCTGTTGAGACCTTCCGGTGCAAAAGGCCCATGCTGTGGTATCTTCACCAAAAGAAGCCTCCACGAGTGAGAGCAAGCAACCTGGGAGCACATGTCATGTCGCCGTGTTCAGTTCCGACTGTGATCGAATGCGGAGGAATGGGACCCCGAAAGAGTCGCTTCTCGGCGCTTGTGAGCTTGCATACATCCCCGCACGGAGTGTCGCGCATGCCGTGCATGAGCAAACGTAAGCTGGAAGATGCGACAGAAGGAGGCAAGGAGAAGACAGATGGAGGTGCTGGAGGAGGACGAGGAGGAGGGGGGTGATCGCCCTGCCGCAAATCTTGGGTTGCGACAGATGCTTTGCACCAAACCCTGCGACTTCTGGAACATCACCACCACTTCCTCGGATTTTTTTCGGAAAGCTCAACGGTTGACGGGAGAAAGTGCGGCTCACTGGTGCAGGGATAACCGTGGCCAGGCTCTAGTGGGGAGGCCACCGGGCACTCCAGCTCCTCGTTGCACACCATCGTGAAAACCTCGCAGAGCACTCCGAGCCAGGTCCACTCTGTCTCGTCCTCCCAGTCTAAGCGCCCTCCCTGCCTTGAGGATGAGCTCGAAGGAGAGCAATGGATACAAGGGTGCCCAGATGGCCACCGTGTCGTGAAGGAAGGAGCCTCTGCCAGAAACGCATCGCAGGGGCGCAGCTTTTGTACCAACTCCGCTCTGTGGGCGCCTGGAGCCAGGGCCTCCAACTTCGCGAAGGCCCGCATGACATCCTCACCTTCGAGCAACAGACTGCAACCTGAACAGTGTGTCGGCATGAGGTGGTCAGCCAAGTCTGAGGTGAGAACCGAGCATCTTTGTGCAAATGTTGCGTAGACCTGCGACAGGTCGTGACAGCAAACCTACAAGTTTGCAGTGTCTGGAACGGGAGGTTCATGTCGCAGAGGCTCGAGTTCATCCATTCCATGCAACCGCGGCACGTTCCAGATCGTTTCCCTTGTCCAGAGTTGAAGCGACCCCAGCACACCTGTCCCGGAAATCATTAGTCACCGCGTAGCCATGTAGCTCACCCTCTGGTCTCAGCTGCCGCCCTGCCACCCTGCCGCCCAGGCACAGAGACAGGAGCCGTGAGGTGAAGGGGCAGCGGCAGCGCAGGGGCCCGTGCCGGCCGCTGTTCGGAACAGGTGCCGGACCTTTCGCAACAAGGTAACAAGGCATGAATACAAGCAAGAGGCTCGCTGCTACGTTGGAAAGCCTTGCAATGCCGCCCCTGGCCGAAGGGCGGTTGCAAGCACCTGGCCAGATCTCTCTGCCGAGCTGAGGTATCTGCATACAAGTGCCCGATCCAACAGTGGTTGCCGCGTGTTGGCCCTTCGGGCCTGCGGTGCCGCCTGGATGGACGGCGTCTCGACCAGGGCGAGCCATAGCTCCTCCAGAGGAACAGAGTGCGAGAACATACGACCGGCATAGTGAGAGCTGCGTACAGAGCAACATAGCGAGCGAGAGAGGTAGATAAATAGATAGATAGCTAGACCGAGCGATAAAGGGATAGAGAGATTGAGAGATAGAGAGCCAGAGACAGGGACCAAAGGAGACGTGCACAGCGAGACGAAGAGGCCTGGCGGCTAATGACCGAAAAATTATCCTACGACTAGCTTGCTTCCGGACTGCCTTTGCAGCGTCGTCGCTTCCATAGACGTGCCGGAGGTTGAAGTCGGTGTCCTTTGCGGAGCAGACAGTCGCCCGTCGATGTTCTGACAGAGAGATAGATAGAAGCATAGAAAGATACATAGGTGGACTAAGAAACACAGACGCACACATATCGACACACACGCGCACATATATATATATATATATGGTAACCCCCCCCCCAGGACCAACCTCGGCCATTGTCCTGCTCATTACTGCCTTCACAGCGTCATGAATAAGAGCCGAAACCACTGTAAATACCGATGGTGTTTGTGTTCCCGTACAAAGTTTGCACTCTCGACGCCTCTTGACAGACTGGTAAAAAACAGGGTCCAGTTTTATGGACACCATTTACACTCTCGGCGCGTCTCGTCGGAGTGGTAAAAGACAGAGTCCAGTTTGCGTGCCTCAGCCTTTATTAATTATTGTCATCTTGTCAAAGTCTTATTATTAGTTTCAGTCTTAAAAAACAGTGTTAACATTGGTCTTGACTTAATTTTGTTCTAAGTTTTAACCTCAATTATTGTGAGTAGTAACCTTAATATTTTTGCTAGCGTTAGCATTATTAGTAGTTTTGTGTCATTACTAATTTTAGAAGTTCTAACAATGCTGCTGGTATCAGTCCAATATTACTGTTCGTTTGATTAGTGTTCCTGTTAGTGCTGATGCTGGTGTCAGTGTCAACGTCAGTGTTAGTCTTAATATTAATATGAGTATTAGTGCTCCAGCTTAATTTAATATATGTCTATAGCAGTGTTAGTGTTAGTGTTCGTTTTAGTATTCGTATTAATATTAGACGTGGGCTGGGCTTTAAAAACTTAGTCTCAGTACATTAGGTGTATAAGTATTCATATGTGTATATTCAGTATATTGGTATATAAACAAAACATATATATTAAGAAAAAATTTTTGGGTATACTCGTATATCGGTATATTAGTAACAATGGTCTATTGGTATATCAGTTTCTCAGTATATTAGTATATTAAATTAGTAGTATATTAGTATAATACTATAACCATACATATTGGTAAATGAAAACATTGAGTTTTTAACAATCTGATGCATTCATTTCCTTGTGCCTTATTCTGATGTATTCTTTAGTATACATTACAAAAACGATATTGACATTAATATGATGTTTGTAAATTCATATTGGTATTGATATTAATATGAGTATGTAATAATCTTTCTATATTAGTATGAGCACAAATAATTTTACTAGTACTATGCATGTTCGTACTAGCCGAAGTATTAGTGCTCATATTAATATCAATATGGTTCGTACTGAGAATAATTTTGTTAAGAACATGAGCATAAATACCCGTAGGAATATTCATACCTATGCTTGTATTGGTATTAATACTCGTATTAGCATGAGTACTAGCATTAGTACGTATCTAGGCATGACGATTCTTATATGAATATAAAAGGGGAACATGATTATTAGTATTCGTAAGAACATTAGTTTTCCTATACATTAATGCTAACTAATATTACTATGCATATTAGTATTGGCAAGAACATTAAAGTTCGTGTTCACATCAATTCTAAAATTGGTATTAGTACAGTTTTTTCAATATTAGGAGTAGATACTAGTAGTAGAATTAAAATTAGTATGAACAAAACATGCGTTGGTATTCGTCGGAATATGAAACTTGAGGTTACTCTTCGTATGAGTTACTAGTACTACTGAAAAACATACCAATGCTGATATAAATACGAATGCTAACATTCATGTATGAGCATTTTATTATGCACGTTCGCACTAGCCTTAGTGCTAATATTAGCATGAATATGAGTACTCCAAAAATGAGTAATTTCACGAATATGCATAGCCAATATTCATACTAGCGATAATACTAGCTATAGTATGTATATTAGTATTCGCATCAAGACTATTCATACAATGTACATGATTTCAAGTATTCTTGGGAACATCAGTATTCATACTAGCATACTATCAGTTTCACCAGTAGTATTACTATAAATATTAGTACTCGTATGAGTATTATAGTTTGCAAAGTTTTCAAAATAATCTCAATATTACTACAAGTATCAGTTGCACAGACACGTCAACCGGCGACGTCGCGAGGTCGAGTTCCCTAAATTCTCTAATCACTGCTTCCATGCCTCGAATTTACAGAATGCGTGAGTTCCTGCAGACTCCCTAAATCCCTAAAGTCTTTACATACCCTAATTTCCAGCCCCATGTGTTGGTTTTAGCGCATTCCCTAACATTCCTGACTCCCAGCCAGGACCATGTGTTGGGACCATGTGTTGGATTTGGGGAAATTCCCTAAATTCCCTAAATTCCCTAAATTCCCTAAATTCCCTAAATTCCCTAAATTCCTAAATTCCCTAAATTCCCTAAATTCCCTAAATTCCCTAAATTCCCTAAATTCCCTACCCATGAACGGAAACCATTGAATCTTCTCCATGGGGGTCAGACTTAGGGAATTTAGGGAATTTAGGGAATTTAGGGAATTTAGGGAATTTAGGGAATTTAGGGAATTTAGGGAAATAGGGAATTCCCCAAATCCAACACATGGGGTAGGGAATTAGGGAATTTAGGGAATTTAGGGAAATAGGGAAATACCTAAATCCAATGGGTAGGGAATTAGGGAATTTAGGGAATTCAGGGTTGGTCTTGGGGGGGGGGGCTAGCATATATATATATATATATATACAGATAGACAGGTGGACAGCTCACTCGGGAAGTCGACCGGAAGCTTTCAAGCTTATTAAGGCCAGGCCAGGCTCCATCCAGCGCAGTGCGTGCGTAAGGGCAGACAGTTGGAGTCGCTCGATAGCCAGCCAAACCTGGATTACGATTTAGAGGCTATGCGTCCTGCATGTTTTAAGATTTTCCGATTCTGGGCTTTGCTGGTTTAAGTTGTCGTGGTTATGAGTTATAGACATAGACTAGCGAAATTTCTCCACTGTTTCTGTTGTCTCGCCTGGATCCACACCTGTCGGTCGGCTTCTCAGATTCGGAACACTTGACAGAGACTTGTCGGAAGAAGTTAGTGCATCACCATGGTGCAATGCAGTATTGTTCTTTTCTAGATTTGGTGGGACTGGCAACCTCGAATTTCGAATTATGAGGGCATCCAAGCGGCCGACTTGCGCAAACTTCCAACACGCAGCTCTTGCATTGCAAGCTTCCTGAAAAAGGTGCTCAGTGCTCATGGTCTACGCTGGGTTTCCACCGTCAATCACACGACACATGTCCATGCTTTCAGGGCCCAGGGTCACGTGAAGCTGCAACGCTCCCGGATCACTGACGGCCCATTTCTCCAGGACCAGGAGTGCCAGCGACTGGAGGGCCTCAAGGCTGCCCGAACCGAGGCTGTCAGAATTGATGCAATACTAGCAGATTCGATAAACGCACGATGCAACTCGCACGAATCTGGAGCACCTCTCAACGTGCTAGACCACGAGACCACGAGTGCACAGAGACGAAAGTCGGTTCAAACGGTTTCGAGTCCACACAAGACCCTTGCCTAGCACCCTGGGACCCTGCCTCCACGAAAGCCTCTTGCTCGAGCGCTCGGCGCATGCCACGAACTCGCTCGGCGAAGGCCTCGAGACCTGGCGACTTTCAGGAACAGGACTTCTGGAAGTCCGGGAAACTTGCCACGGGCCACGGGGATGCCTCCGATGTCTGGCTGCACGCAGCGTGCGAGACAGGTGTGGCTCCGGACACGGAGCATCCTCAGCCGACTTGGCTTAGGTGCTCTGGCAGCGCTCAGCCATGCAGCGAAATGGCTCAGCGCAGCAACATAGCGGAATGGACACAATGGTTTGGACGCCTGAAGAAAAACCCTGCCTCCTCCGGTGATTAGCAATGCATTTGGAAATCGTCTAAGTCATTGCAGCCAAACAACTCTGCCAAAGAGGGAATGAGCTGGCGCACGTGGAGGTCGTAGGCGGAACTCCGCAGGAACTCCTGACTCTGGAACAAATCTTGGCCAACGCCACTCCGATTGCGGGTGGCGCGGTGTCAAGCTTTGCATGGTTTCGGGGGCGTGGGGAGCTGAGGAACTAATTCCGTTCATGTGATAGGGGGCTGCTCAGGAAAGGGGCTTAATGCGTTCCAGCTTTACGCAGCCGGAAATCCGCCTTGCCATGACATAGTTCTTTGGCCACTGCATCCGATCCGCCCCTCGCCGAGCGCCCGCCAGACCCATGTGTGTCGTCTTGTGCACTCTGAACCTGCTAATTGGGCCCTGATTGAGGCGGACGACGCAAGGCGTTTACAATTGCAACGGATCGCCGCCAGCACGTGCAAGCCGATCGAAGGCGAATCGTAGTGGCACCACACACGCAGTGACGCAGCGCTGGCGCAGTGAGTCCGCAGAGCCGGGATTGCCGCATCGGAGAGGGTTGTGGTTCGGAAAGCACCCAGTGGCCCATCTGCTGGGATTTTACACTGGATCGTGCTTCAGAGGCAGCGCCATTTGCCATGCCCACGCTCTTCTGCTCTAAGGCCCGAAGCTCAAGGAACTGAACGGGAGACCCGAGACAAAGGGATCTAGGAACTGAAGAATGACGGCATCGCGGCTCGTGCAAAATGGAAAACACGCACAAAATTTGCAAACCACCCTTGTTAACAACTTCAACTAAATTATCAGGCTCGTAAACCCGGAGAACATGCTGCCGGTTAGCAAGCCTGCGGCATAAGCAAGGCAAGTCTAGGACAAGTGGGGACTTCGTTCTTGAGTCGGCAAAGCTCATGCTGAACCATACGAAAGACGAGAAACAAAAGGAAACACTGCCCCGTTGTCCGAAGTATAGACCCCGAAAGATTCGGACAATTCGCCGACCAGAGGACGCAGATACGTAGGCTTACCTGGTGCACGGGAGGTGTTTCAAGTAATTCAAAGCGCAAGCGTACTCATTCCTTTGGCCTTTGCTTAGCGCATGAAACCCCGCTCCGGGCCTCAACAGAACAACTGGCTGAGCTAGAGAGAAATACCCTGTTTCAGGCAATCATCAACGCCGTTTGGTTTTTGTCGATATATCTGGCGTCGAATGGGAAACCAAATTGATTGATGCGTTGTAGCCGTTGTGGGGTTTCGTTAGCACACACACACACACGAAAGTGCACAAAATCCGCTTTGGTTTCTCTCAAGCACTCTGTTTTGTTCGAGGTCAAGTGTGCCGTCCTTGGCGCGCACGAAAACGCACGACAGAATCCAAAGCCCAACACATTCCAAGCCTGGAAAATTATTGCCAAAATTGAATCAAACCCATGAAATCGCAAAACGGATCCAACATCCTCCTTCTCCCCTTAAAAAAAATAGAATTAAATAGAATTAATTAATTCTATTTTTTTCGCAACGAAAGCAACATAGTCCGCAAAACATGTGTCGGCGCAATCTGCACGTGGAAGCAACTGAACACCCTAAGTACCCACTGGGCTGGCCGTCTGGGCTGGCTGGCTAGCTTTTGGAATCACCCCACCCCGCGCCATCCAACAAAAATACAACCCCCCACACCCCCCCAACCTCTTTTCAGCCGCAACTCAAATCTTATGATTCAGTTGTTTCTTGGTGGTTCCTGATTGTGGTCCTCGAATTTAATCGTTTTAAAGTTCTGGTTTAAAGCTTCTTTTTGCAAGCCGCACATACCATCCTGAGCACCAGGATAGATTTGAGCCGCTCGACTTTTCCTACAACACAGGCTTGTGACAGGCTATTATACAAGGCAACATGTTCTGACACGGACGGCCGCATCACGACAACACGGCAAAGCGAGCCCCAGCCCAACAAAAAGCATGATGTCCACAAAACACTACCAAAATCGACAGCAAGCACCATAAGGCCGAAAAGCACAGATCAAAGCCCCCAAACACAATGCAAGGTCTTGGAAACAGAGTGCAATCGCCGGCAAACCTCAAAAGCGGGAGCAACGCAGACCTGATGATGCGATGTTTCGGCGCCAGTCGATGTAGAGCCGCCTCATGCGGCTCAGCCTCATTCAGACTCCTGCTCACTTTCACAGCAGTTTTCTGGAGTAAAATTGTAAACCATACATAAACACTTGACTCTTGACTTGCCCAGCGACTTGCCATTCAAATTGAAACTCCTGCAAATGTGCTTGAAGTTGAAGCGCCTGCGAGGCACGCTTGAGAGCCCGCTGCTGGGCAACCCCACAAGCCAACCTTCCACAGTTCGCGAGGTTAAAGCTAAAAACACCAGCCCTGTCTCGGCACTGGCTTGCAAAGCCGCTGCTGCAATTTCACGCGAGGTGTCCGTCCAGGCCGTACGGTCGTCGACGTACACCGAGCAACGTACAGTATGTTTGGGCTTGGCAACAACGTGGCCCCGTCAGAAGGCCATGATGCCCACCAGAAAACCGCAAGAGGCAGGCATCCTTGCAGCTCGAACTGCCTGCTCGAGTCACTGTAAAATGTTGTGCGGAGTCGCGCAGCGGCACGAAGCGCTCCGTGACGTTGCCAAATGAGGCAAATGCACAAGTCCTGTTTCGGCACGACAGTTTAAAGCCAAAAAAAGGACCGGGCTTTCACGATGTCGTGCGAAGTGGAATGGGCATCCTTCGCGGATTTGCCCCAAAACCGCCGCAAAGTTCCCGCGGCAACCACGATTCGAGCCACGGCTGCAGCTGGTGCATGACCGCACTGAGCCCGACCCCTCCTTCTCCTTCGCCCTCCATCAAGACTGGGACACACTTATCTTCAGCCACGTGCTGGGCAAAACCGAGGTGTCAAAAATGACCCGCAGCCTTGCACCAACCACGCTCGAAAGAAAGACGTAGCCTCTGCTTGCCCGGAGCTAAGTGCTGCAGAAACGGCATAACTTCAGCGACAGCAGGCGTGCGAAGTGGGTTCTAGACCTCCCGCCACTTAGCCTAAACAGGCGACACTCTGAGCTGAGGGTGGTGTTGTCAAGACGCTGCTGCCACTGTTGCAGCCGACCAGCTTTGGCGGCAATGCGCCCTTGTCAATGAAGCGGCGTCGCCACACGGTGTCGTGCGCGCTGGTGAAGTTTGACTGCAACAACCGAGGTCCCGAAGGCGGTTCGGAGCAGGGAAAAGGGGCAAAGGGTATCGACATCGACAGACGTCGCAGCATGCAGGGTCTGCCAAGGGGGGAAACGGGACTAAACCCTAACCTAGGGCCGACAGGCCTAAACCATAGGGCCTCGGGTCAGGGCAGCGGTCTGAGCAGGGCGCCCAGTCAAGAAGCCAGCAGCAAGCCGAGTGAAGCAGCAACAACTTGCGTAGGGAGATCCCTGGGCCAAAGCGACGACGAAAGTGCAACAGCACGATCTGCAACCAGAGCCCAATCAAGCGGTGTAAAGAAGCAAAGGGGGGACTAAACCCAAGGACCTAGGGTAAGGGAGAGGTAGCCAAAGCAGGGCGCTCAGGTGTAAGCGACAGCGACGAGCCAACGTGTGAAAGCAGAGGCCGCACAGCTCAGCCTAAATGTCGGCCTCAGAAGCCATGCCACCCAGTTGCACTATGGCGATGCCTAGAGAGCACGCAGCGATCTGCCTGCCAGCGCGCTCCCCCTCTGAGGCTCCAGCGCCCTTCGTGATCCAGCCATACTTCGCTGTGATCCGAGGCTGAGAGGCCCACCAGTCCTGAGGGATGCTGTACTGCTGGGCTAAGCGTGCTCGCTCAGCATCGAGGAGCGGGCACTCTGCAAACATATGCCTGGCTGACGCAAGTGAAGCACCGCAGTTGCACTGAGTCAGCGCTGGCTGCCCATACCACCTGCGCGTCCGTGTTAAGACGGCTCCGCCCCGCCAGATGCGTAAGAACGAGCTTTGGGGAAAAACCAAATTGCGCTTCCAGCGGACCCAGTCGCGATGCGACTGCACCTCCAGATCTACAGACTGGGCGCCTTCAGAATCTTCTCGCTCGAGGTTGATGCTGTGCAAGGCCAGCGCACGAGCCACGACTCTCAGGGTGTGGCCCTCATCAGCAGCCGCTTCGAAGCGTGGCAAGGCATGTCCGGGATGCCTCCGCCTCAGCGCGTCAAGAACAGACTGGGGGGAGCTAGGCTTAGGGCGAAGCCACAGGCCGCGGGCGGTGCTGTGCACGTCCAAGTCCAGGACAGCAGCATGGTGCTCAACGGCGGCGGTGAGCACAGGACAAGCACGAGCCATCTGAGCAGAAGCCGCGGTGAGGCATTTGATGGCTGTCGCGTACTGCGGGTGCAGCGTGACGTGATCGGCCCACACCCTGCCTTTGCACCACCAAGTACAAGAGCTGCGGCAGGCCCGAAAGAAGGCTTGAACAACAGAGGCAGCGACCTGAGGCAGCAGCGGCGACGCCCAGGTGACCTTTGGGAGCACCAAAGCCAACAGCATTTGCTCACGGGCCTCCATGCTGCCAGGCAAACCACCAACGGCATGGGCGAGATCGCAAAGAAGCTCGCTGCAAGCACGGCCCTTAGGCACGACAGGTAAACCGTGTTGAAGGAAAAGGCCCAGGTGCTCGACGTTGCGCGCTTGCGGGTCAGCACGGCACCACTCCTGGCGCTTGCCCGTGTGCTCAACCAAACCGAGCCGCTGGTCACTCCAAGCAGTCAGTTGGAGAGCTCTGGGAAGTGAAGCCCTTGAGTCCGTCACAGATCTGTCGTCCATGTAGCGCGAAAGGCCGGACACCAGGCAGCGTCTTCATGAGCTTAGTCCATGGAGAGAGGACGTAAGCCAAGAAGTGAGGAGAGCAGGAGTCACCGGCAGGCAGGCCAGAGGAAGCTTCCACCGCTCTGGGCGGGGGTACAGCGTGGACCATGCAGGACCGAGGAGCTGACCAAACGAGGTACTTAAAATACTCTAAAACCGGTTTTGCGACCCCAGCGGCAGCTCCGGCACAGACAGCAATGGAATGATCAATGCTATCGAAAGCTTTCCGTAAGTCCAGCTCGGCACCTCTAGCACACGGGGTTCGCAGCCACTCGGCGGTGGCGTCGACCGCAGAACTGGCCTTCGGGGACCGCCGGAAAGCCACGCAGCATGGCCCGATTCCAGGCCCGGATGATCGTGCTTGCAATGGCTATAGGCCTGGTTGCAGATTCACATCTCTTTGGTATCCCCACGACACGCCACGAGAAAAAGCGGTTCCGACACTTCTGCGCCGGCTCCGAGCGAGGAGCACTCAGCAAGGTTGTGAGGATTTGCGTGAGGTCGTGCAAAAGACCAGGGCACGAGTGCACGAGGGCTTTCAGCTCGCTGGCGGACCAGCCGTCAAAGCCAGCGCTGCCCGAGCAACTGTCTATAGACTGCCGGAGGCGGCTGAAACACAGGGCTGTTAACCGCAGGGCTCAAACCGGCAGCACTAGCAACCTCGTCCCACGCCTCCTGCGGGGCAGGGTGGACTTTGGACCACAGCTTCTCCCACTCCTCAGTCATGGTGGCAGAACTGAGGTTAGGGTCGGGGGGTTCGCACAGCTTGAGGGCCTTGGCCCCTGCCTGGACAGCAGACGCCGAAGAAGTCCAGAACTGACGGCGCCAGCGTTTGGAGCTTTCGTTTTGGAGCCGCTGGGCCTCGGCTTTCACCGCAGCACTGGCAACACAAATGGCTTCCGCTTGACTAGCCGGGAGGTTGGCGGCATGCCCAAGTAAAGCAATCCAGTGCCGAACCTGAGACACACTTAAAGGAGCACTGCCGTGATGAGAAGCTTGCCTTTCAACGGCGGCCCTGTGCACCCTCTTCCAGCGGCGAAGCAAGACAGACTCGTTGGGACGCAACGACGACACGGCAGAGACGCGCCGACAGGAGACAGGAGGGCTCCGAGCCTTTGGGCCTCTCCGGAGGCCTGTCACAAGCAGCAAGGCCAAGACGCACAGCCTCTTCGCACACAGCTTCGGCCCGCTGGTGCCAGTTCTCCAAAGAAGCAAACGGGTCGTCACAGAGTGCAGAGCCGAGCTGGGCAACACGCTGCAGCTGTTGGGCTTGTTCGGCAGAGGGTTTCTTGTGCCAGGAGTAAGAAGCACACCTGTGGAGACGGAGCACAGGCTCAACACAGGACCTATACGCCTCGCCGCCTTGAGAACCAGGCAAAACGACTCGGTAACACACCGCCTTGTGGTGAGGCACCCCAGCAAGAGGCCGGCAAGACGTGACGGCAGTCTCGACAGGAACACCGTAGAAAGCGACGGCCCGAGAGGGGGCGGCCCTGTCGGAACCTTGGACACTATGCACAACCGGAGACAGCGAGCCGCCCAACCGAGGCAAGGTCGCCGTAAGCCGTTTTGTAGTTGAAATCACCGACGATCAAGCACGGCTTCCGCAGCTCAAGCGTGGAGCGCAGGACGCTCGAGACAGTCGGCAAATCCAGCCGGGACGCGTTACCGTAGTAGGAAACGACGGTCAGGTCCCCGAAGACACGCCCGCAAGCACGGTGAGCTTCGGCACTCGTGAGGGAGAACTGAAGAGGAACAGACTTGTCCTTTCGCCGCCACAACAAAGCAGTGCCACCTTGCCGCACACTGTTAGCCCGCTCGGCCGGGGGAGGAGCACTGAAATGTGCGCGCCAGCCCCACTGCCTAGCCAAGGTATGAGCCCAGACAGGGCTACTGCGATGGCGAGATTCCTGCAGAGCGATGAACTCGGCGCCGACACGTGAAGCCTCACGCAAGGTTTCCAAAAGCCGGTCCTTGGTCAAAGAGGTGACGTTCAGGGTAAGAAAACCAGTAGGGGCAGGCTGCGCGCCGCCGAGCAGAGGGAGGTCCGGAAAAGGGCAAGCTAGTCACGACTGCTGGGGGGCCTGTGCCTCCGTCTGCTTGCCTTGCCTCTTACGCTTAGCACGCAGTAGCGCAGCTTGCCCGGCAGGGGTCTTGAAGTACTTAAGCGCTTTGCTTTGTCTCCGCGAGGCGAAGGAGTCAGCGTACTTTTTGCCTTTGACTTTGGCGTGCCAGTCGTACACAGAGACCTTGGGGGGCCTAAGCCTACAAGGGCTGCGCCGGAACTCCTGCAGGGTAGTGATCCGGCCGCAACGCTCACAGGGGTACCGGGTGTACTTGTGCGATCCGAGCTGGGCCTCGGAACAGAAGGTTTCGAAAGGGTTGTCCTCGCGAGGCACACAGGCAGAGGACTTCCACTTTTTGGCCTTAAGACCTGCAACGAACTGGTTGTAAGACCTCAGAACCTGTCGGCGCCTGCGCTCAGGGCCAAGCATGTAGGTCAGCGCAACACGGCGCCTCACCATGTGGGCCGCAGCAGTAGGTGGCGTTGTTCCCTGACATGCTTTCCAGTGTGTCAGGGCGCTCCGCCTCGCAGCAGTACGGTCCTCGGCTGCCGTTGGCTTCCAACCGCTAGGGCAATGCCACAGGTCGTTAGCTCGGTACGGCTCGTCTTTGAGGTCCTCAGGAGAAAGCTGCTTCTTGGGCTTTTGGGCAGCAGCAAGGCCAAGCAAAGCCGCGGTGGAGCAAGCACTGCCAGCGACAGAAGGGGCCCGGCACCTCGGAGTCTTGACAAGACCCAGAGCCTTAGCAGCAGAACCCGAGGAAGAAGCAGGCTTGGAGCAGGACCTGGCGGAGGGGCTGCGCTTGGCAAGGCCCAGCAGACGTCTGCAAGAAGAGCTGGACACACTGTTGGCTTTACCGGCCCCAGCCAGAGGGTTACCGGCGTCCAGAGCAGGAGGCGTCGGGTCGTGCGCGCTGGCCACACGCTTGCAGACAATGCAGCATGCGTTGGTTTTCTTGGATTTCGGCAGCCACTGGGGCCGAGCGAAGAAGTCGACGTGCGGCGGGGTGGACACTTTGAAACACCAGTCTTCATGGCTTTTGCACGTCCTGAAAGCCGAACTGCAGAAGCTACTGCTGAACGCTCCAAGGACTCTGCCACATGAGAAGCTCAACGAACCACGCATTCTCGGCCGGAGCAAGTGAGCGCTTCAAAACGGATTTTGCGACGCGCGTGAATCCAATGATGTCAACCCCATCACGTTGCTCACTGCACCCCCACATGTCGAAAACATTCTTCAGCACCTCCTTTATGACCTCGGAGGCCAACCCGTGCTGCAAACGGCAGCGAGCTTGTTGCGCAGTCTGCACCAAGTCCATCGTCAACTTGGTGGACCTGCAAGCCTTCGCAATGGGGGAGCGTATAGTGCGTCAGCACAAATAGCCGGTCGCTGTGCAAACTGCGGCCTTGTGGGTTCCTTCGGCACGCGCACAGGTGTCACAACCACGGGCTCCTGCACAGCAGCTCGTGTGGCAGAAAGCCGGCCAACTGATTGATCTGCTTAATCTAAAGCAGAGACATCAGTTGGGTGAGCGATTGCAGCAGCTGCCGCAGCTGCTTGAGTTGTGTGAACATAGCCGTTGCACGACGGCGAACCGTCCTGCGACTGCCAGCTCCATTGCTATTCATGATGTGTTCGCGCTTGTTTCGCGACAGTCGATCTACAATGGATCGCACCGACTCAATACGACGAGCAATAAATCCCGCTGACCCTGCTCCATTCGATTGGGATTCGAAAAGAGTATGAGAGACCCGAGAGCCACACCAACAGACCGCGACAACCTGACATCAACATCATCATGACACTAATAATTAACTATCATCATACCATGCCATACAAGCACCTCTGCTGAAAGATCTTTGCAGCGCGCTCACGAAAAAAGAAAAACAACAAATGGCCGAAAACCGTGCCAACTCTGATCAACACCCAGAATGCCATTTTCGCCTGAGTGAAAACACCAGTCTCATGGCTCCAGGACAATAAACTTCTGCAAAAGCTTCTCCAAAATCTTCGTTGCCTGAGCCATGCTGGCTTCTCCAAACAACGTCTACTGTTGAGAATCGTTGTGTTATCACGGAAAACGGCGTTTGGTCAAAAAACGCCATCCGCCTCATTTAGGGTGGCTGATCAGCCTGTCTTTTTCACCATGGGACGAAAACTCGAATTACGTACCTACATGTGTATGAAAGCATGTGTGTCTACGTTTTCATGTATGTGTGGATATATACAAATATGTATGTATATATGTACATATGTATATATGTACATACATGTGTATAGATATATATATATATATGTATGTGTATATAGTAGAACGTGTCTGTATACATATGTATGTACTAACCCATGTATTTACGGCTTTATTTGCTGTGATACAAACCATCATGATTCAATTCCGGAGGCACGTCGCCTGCAGCGACTGGCCCACCAGCCGGCTCTCTGGGCCCAGCGATGCCATCTTTGAGCCTGTGACACAGCGATCGCACGGCTCGGAACTAGGGCTTGCCGACTCACAATTTCGTAACTCCCGTTTCCCGCCCTGCCCCACCCTGCAGGTCGTCGACAAACATGGAGTGCCAGCCAATCTGAGGCTGCCAGCTGTAACCCTTGCCTGGGTAGGCATAGGTGGATGTTTTGCACTCATACGGAAAGAAAAGCCAGAAGTGCATTGCAAGCGACTGCCGTCTGAAATCCACCCCACCCGGTGGAGGACCAAGAAGACATGGGAACGTGCGGCAGCCCCGAGCCTGGCGGCTGGATTCGTTCATTATTCGTCGATCGGAGATGGCCGTGCTGGGTTGAGATGTTGAGAGTTGGCTGCGATGGCCGACTGGAGCTTTCGTGTGAATCGGTGGCAGCGAGAAAATCACAAAAACTGCGCAGCTTCCAAGGTGAAGGCAACGTGTTCCCCCGAAAAGGGGTTCCGAGCCTCCGCTGCACCTGCATCCAGTGGTCCAGCCAAGCAGGCAAAATGCTGCAGGACAGTGCACTTTCATTGCTCCCAAGCCAACTGCCCTGAATTTTTCGTTTCGTCAAATCAGGTCTGTGCTTCTATTCGGTAGTCGCAAGACATATCCGATCACCTAAACCCCGCCCTGCTAAGAACCTCGACGCAGCGGTGCCGTGTGAGTGCCAAACGCGAGGTGCTGCAGCTGAGAGCATCCACTTGAATTACCAGCGTCCTGCACGTAGAAATCTCTAAGCGGGTTTGATTTAGGTGAAATGCAGGTGAAGACAAGGGACCTGTTTGACAGTCCTGTTTTCAGTCGTCTCGGCCCCTTCGGAGAAAAACTTCTCGAGGATGTCCTGCCAGACTGCAAACGGTTCCGTAGAGACCGCAGAAGTGCCAAAACACGACCGGTCGTGCCTCCAACTGCTGGGATCCCGAGAGCTGCGAAATTGGGATGATGCTGTGGCCCCCGACTTCAGCCAAGTCTTGAAGTGGTGGCATGTGCGCCATGGGCGAGGACGTGGATAGCTCGCAGAGGATGCCGCCAGAGTTCGCACCGGAGACGACGTGAACCATGCTGCTTGCCAGACTCCGTCGCACCTGAATGCAACACAGTGGGTTACGGTTACGAGTCCAGCCCGGGCCCCGGCCTGGAAGTAGGAGTTCTCCTCTCTGAGCTGCTGCAAACTCTTCGATCGAAACACTGCTAGCGGCAAAGCCATGTCGAAGATGGCTAGCTTCAGCTGCTGCAAGTCTGCCTCTGGCCGTGCCAACCTCGATAGCTACAAACACCCCAGAGGCTACGGCTCTAGAAGAGGCCGCAGCAGAGTGAGCAGCTGTGCACCGCGCAGCAAGGAAGCCAGGGTCGAAGGCGTAAGTCCGCCAGCGACCACGTCGCAGCCAGCTTCCAGAGCCAAGACCTCCGCCCAGGCCTGCAGCTTCGCCAGAAGAGGCTGCCTCACGGTCGCGGCGGTCGCGGCGGTCGCGATCTCGCGGGCTGCGGGCACTGCGTTGCTGCTCCCCTCCGGGCCTCGCTGGATCCAACAGCTCCGTCGGCTCCACCAGCTGCTTCTCGAAGCGGTTCAGAAACGGCACATCCAGCTGCCGGAAGGCCTGGTCCTGTCAGCGCCGGGACTGAGCCGCGACCCTCAACAAGATCACCGTGCGTTGCGTGGAGGGTGCCTGGTCGACAAGCACCAGAAGCTTGAAGGACGGCGCCATGGAGCAGAGCTGGGACCGGGCTCCGATTGCCAAACGAAGCAGCAATTCGATTTCGCCTTCCTTCAGAGGAAGTTCGAAAGCGAGCGAACTCACCATGCTTTATTAGGCAAGGAGCTCACGCAGTCAGAGCTTGAACGGAGCAGGCCCCGGCAAAGGTCCCACCTCCGTCCGCCGCCGCACGTAGCGCTGGTTCAGAACGTCGTAGAGTGCCTTGGCCATAAAAGTTAGACTGGAGCCGGCCCGGCATGGTCTTTCACTCGCCAGCCTCGTAGATGACGTCCATTCCACACAGCAGCAACATGCGGCCCTTCGCAGATTCTGCATGTACAGCGCCAGAACCCCCACAAGGCCATGACGGGTTTGTAGAGCCTTGGCCATAGCATCCCGCACCCGCATGAGCTGGCGGATGGCGTAGGCCTGACGGCGACTTCGTGCCAAAGCGCGTCAGAATGAGAGGCCACGTTACGAGTATCACGGGGGTCTTTTGCTTAACTGATTCAGGCCACCTTGCCTCGGAAGCATCTTCCGCGAAATCGCTGCCCAACAGGATTTCCGCATCCTTGGGCAGGATGCCGGCTGCCTGCAAGCGGGCACAGCAGAGCACGGCCAGTCTTCCTTGGAAAGATCTTGCAGGGCGGCCGGGCGGCCGGGCGGCCTGCAGCCATGGCAGGGCAGCGCCCTGGCTGGCAAGGAGAAGGTGCCGGGCTGTCCTGCTGCGCACGGCACGAGTGCAACCCAACGAGGCCCGAAGTTGATAGTGACCGGCGTCCTGTCCGAAAGACTGGAGCAAAGAAGCTCCTTTAACGGCCAAGCAAGACGCTCCCCTTCGCTTCTGGCACCTGCAGCACTGCGCACGCCACTCAATGAGCTGGGTCGCACCTACACGCCGCCTGCAGCAAGCATTGCATGAAGTAGACGCTCCAGCAATGCTGGCTGACCTTGCGCTTAGCGATGCGACTTCGGAACGGAAGGGGAGTGCAGCTGTGTGCCTCCGAAATTTCGGCGAATGGCGAATGCCAGGATCCTGAGCTTTAAGACTGAGATCATCGAAACTCTCCAGTTCGATGACTTCGGCCAGGCGAGGTAAGCCAAGACACTCTGCAGTAGGTTGCTCCACACTTGCCGAAAGACATCCATCGCGAACGGCACGGACAAAACTGTAGTAGTCTCGCATTCCCAGCCAGTCGCGATCGCCTTCTTGCCAGCAGTGCTTTAGGTCTCTTAGGACATGAAGAAACGTCGGGCAGGCAGACAGACCCAAATAAACAAACACACACACACACACACAAAGACACCACAGACAAAAACCACAGACAGTCGAGCGAGGTACCTTGGTCCGCGAAAACGCTCCAGAAGGCGGCCGACAGCTCCTGCCGTAGCCACGAGCAGCGCACTGTCGCTTTGCCATGCGATGAAAGTAAAGGTAATGCACTCCACGTTTGCATGCGCGAACTTGGCTTAAGATGCAGCAAATGAATACCGTGTGTGCTGGAATGCACGAAAGTACACAAGAATGAAGCGCATCGACACCGCAAAATGCGGCACCCAGCATCTCCGGGTACAAAACGGAGGGGCAAGCTTTGCTTTGACAACACAGAGGAGATAAGCAAAGGGTCGTCTGGTACGGACCCTGGCCTACCTTAACAATGCGGTTCTGCCAAACAGCAATGTCGAACACCTCAATTTATCAGCAAAAGCTTTGTTCTGACCCTCAACATGCAAAGCTGCAACGTCCTGCAGCCAACCGGGCGAGGAACTCCCACTAGAGGCGGCGAGCAACCCTGCACCTTTGGCAGCGTGGCTGGCGGCTCAAAGCACGAGTGCTCAGGTCTCATCGGTTTTCAGCCGCATGAGCTGCTGCTCCCTCGAACATGATGGGGAAGATGTAGGCTACGCTCAGGCTACAAGTACCGCATCAGCCTATGGCGAGGTGCACTCCCTTGCCTGTTCGACCCACCTCTGCAGAGTCCGGATCCGGCCGGGCGAGGCAAACGCTCCTGTTCCTCGGTGGTGGGGCCGTCGCGGTCGCAACGGCCGAAACAGCCCCCAACACACATCCCAAAGCCAAAGCTTCCTCCATCCATCCGAGCCGAGGCTCATCTTGGCCGGGTCCAGGCGCCAGTTCGACAAACCTCAGCGCCAGGCTGCGCTCGGGCTCTGCGCTCGGCACTCTCGTTACGGCCCTCCTGCAGGACTCTGCTTCTGGGCTCTGCTTCTGGGCTCCTGGGCCTCTACGCCTTCCTTCTGGGCGCAAGCTCTGCTTGGAAGCGCTTTTGGAGTCGATCTTGTGTTGGCATACGTGAAGCAGACTTTCAGAAGAGCCAAAACGGAAAATTACAATCATTGATACTTGTCTGCCGGGGCAGCATACGCCATTGAATGACACTTGGCTGTAGCATTAATGGTTCTCGAGGCATGTTTAGCCCATGTGGGGTCCATTGGATTGACATCGATGTTCAGCAGCATGCCGTGCGGGAGGTACAGATCCAGATTTCCCCTTGCTTCGCAAGGGCTCATTGCCAATCGAGTTGCAGCTACTAAGGGCACAGCTCTCAAGACACAGGTTGCGGTTGCTCGCATCTTCAGTGCAGGTACACGATAGTGGGACATGTAGACATGGGCGAACTCTTCGGCTGCCATGGCAGCTTGATTGCATGGTGAGTGTCTAATCTTGTACCATTTCTCGTCAGCAGCTTGTCCAAGTTGCTGGAGCAGAGGCCGCATAGAACTATACAAGTCTTCAAACTTTTCCGAAATGTGTTGCGGTCGTCAGGAGACTTCAACTCCATGCAGAGACAGCATGAACCCCACGTCCATTCCCGCACCATGCTCCTTGCAAGCATTGCTCGAGGTATGATCTGCTCCAAAGCAGATAGTCTGCTTCTTCCATATAGGACCAAGCCGCGTATGGAACACCTGTTGAACCCACAATCTTCTTCTTCTTCTGCTGACGGTCGGATTCTCGACATGCTGGCTGTCTTGGAACGTCACAGTAACCCGTCTCCAACTGCAGACCAAGACACCCACCACGGAGACGATCCCCGGTTCTGCCAGGATTCCATGGAGGACCTTCAGCGGCATGTCCTTAGCAGGGCCCGGCTCTGGCAACTTCCATGGCTCCAGTCTCTGCCGTTCTGAGCCCTTTGCTGGCGAGAACTCTGCAAGGCCCACCTCATCCAAGAGGAGAACTACCTGCACAAGCGGCTTGCAAGGTTTTACTCCTTGGGGTTTTGGAGGCTCCCTGGTCCCTAACCTGCGCGTCCAGAGCATTGGAGGCGAAGCGAGAAGCTGCGTCGAACTGGCGCCTCAGAGGGCTTGCGCTTGCCGTGGCCATATCTTGACATCGCTTTGGCGACGGTCCAGCTCTCTGAGAGCCTCGCTGGATGCCGTCAGCCGTGGACAGCGGCGAGCACCTCAGGACACAAGCGTGCGCTGGGAGAGAAACTGGGCAAATACAAACGTCTGCCAAGGGGCTGATACTGCATAAGTCGCAGGGCTGGCAACGTCTGCAAGAATTTGGACTTGGACAGCTTCCCTTGTAGATTGCTCATCCTCAGCGAAGGCGTGGCGTTGGAAAATCCACTGAACAGGCTACCAATTCCGAAGCCACTTCAAACGCTCTTCAAAAAAAGCAGCAGACGACTCAAGCCGACTCAGACAACTGCACGATGCTGGTGCATGTGTGGGTTCTTGCATCAGCACCCATATCTCTGCCGGTGTCGATACTCTTTCGCTCATCCTAACCCCTCGCACATTCACCGAGAATTAGCTGAAAGGGCAAGCGACAAGACCTGCATACACAAGGTCTTCGAGGTGCCTGCCAAGGCAACAGCTGTGGCTGAGCTAGGTGAAGCAGAGATCTCTGGCAACTCACCGAGGCTCGCCTTTCCTTGCCGCTTACGGAACAACATGCTGATCGAATCTGTGGCCTGGCTTGCCGACAATGAAGAGTGGGATGCGGTTCATGATGCACAGAAGCCCGACGAACACGTTTTCAGCCAATGCTTCGTTCATGACCTTAGCGGATGGGCGCAAAGTCCGGGACTACAGCATTCTCCTGCCAATGATTGGGAGTTCATCCCTCAATGCAGGCATGACACTACGTCTTTCTCGACTTCGAACTCCTTCGCGACATTGTTCTGCACCTTCCGGAGGATGTTCTCCATGGCCTTGACTTTGCAATGACAGCACACCCCCGGGCTCAGCTGAGCCGCGCGAAGATTGATCTTGACGCTGTGCTTGCCGGGCAGCTGTGAGGCCATTCTCCTCGCGGAAGAAGCTTCAGGCGGGTGAAACATCCCCAACTTCTCCGGCCTCGCGCTGCTTGGAGAGCTCCGCCCAGCCCCTGCCCTTCATCTCGCCCCGGTCGCTCGGCCAGGGCGCCCGGCGGGTCAAATCGATCCAAAGGCTATGACGACTGCCAGGGCCAGGGCAAACACAGTCTGCAAGTCTGGGCATGTCTGAGCAGTGATAGCATGTGTCTGCACTTCGCCACGTCGCCTGTCCCTGGAGGCCAGGCGGTAATGGTATACCAAAGCCACTGCAACGACCTCGAGAGATTGCGACGATGTTGCTCAAGTCTCACACAGGTTCCCCAACTCCATGATGACTCAGACCCCCATGTAAATATAATGTCGCACGGAGGAATGTACTAGGAACCGATGTCGAAACAGCCTGCAATTCAGCATTACTTATACGGCCAGGTCACCACCGAGGGAGGGTGTGGCTGACTCTTCGCATTCTTCTTTCCGAAGCGCTCCTGCACAGAGCATTGTCAGGCCAAGCAAAACAGCACAGAGTGCCAATAAAGCTGAAAGAGCAATGCTGAAATCAAGCTCGCAGTTGGCTGAGAAGTGTTATCGATGCTTCCACATTTGTTACAGAATTTCCCCTGGCGAGCTGGAGTGAGTCAGAAAGGGAGTTGGTCTATCGTACTCCACTACCACAGAAGAACAGAGTGTGAAGAAGATATGTCTGTTCAGATCTTCTACGAACGGTGCAGTATCAGGTGCCCTGTCATAGCATATCCGTCACCCTGTTCTCAATGAGTTGCAGGAGCCGGCTAAAAGACCACCATTCGCTTGACCACAGAAGTGATTCTGAACTGCTTTTTGTGCACAGTCTGAGAGCGGTGAATCCAGGACGCCCCCCACATCTTGAAGCATTTTGGACAAGGAAGCTGCGACTGACTTACAAGGCCAGTCCTGGGTCCATCGGGCGACTCGCAAGCACCGCTTCCTCAACAAGACTCGCTTCCGCTCCAGCACAGCACAGCAGCTGCCGGGGAAATCTGAGCTTCGAGCACATCTCTCAGAGAGACTGCCGACGGATCGCCTTCCTCCCAACGTATGAAGGCCTGCCGTCTCGAACCACACAGAAACACAGAAATGCTTCTCTACACTTCGAGCACCTGCGCGAGGCAGAGGAGTTCCGTGACCAGCTCCTGCTCGCGCTCATGGCTCTCGGGCCAACCGTTCTGCACCTGCAAAGAAACACACACTAAACACGTCTACACTGCTAACGCGAGCAACATTCGAGCTGAGCCACCATGGAGCGGATGTACATTTTCTCTGCCTTCTGGGTCAATGCCTGAATCCAGATACATGCTTAAGTCGTCGATCGTGTTGCAAAGTTCATCCGAGTGTTGAGGCCGCCGCACCGAAATCGAAGAGGAAGTCGTTGACTGTCTCGGGAACTGCATGCACACGGTACACCAGCCCACTCATCTCCTCCTCGCGAGCACGAACTCTTGCATTGAAACCGTTCTTCGTCGCAGCAAGAGAACTGGCAACATCTGTTCATTCGGGTTGAGCATGAGATTTGCTGCAGTCGGTGATGCCAGGTGTGCCTGGCTGTGTTCGCACGAAGCCGCACAAGCGACGTGCCGGTTTGGGGAATTGTGCAAAGCAAGAAAACACACCGCAAGAGGCAGCCTTGCGAGTGGCTCGGCACTGGAGTTTCTGTTCGATCGGAACTCGTGGAGGGGACATTGGAAGTCGCTTCTTGAGACGTGAGCTAGTCAAGCATGCTTTTAGTGGCGAGGTCGACCGTGGCATGGAAGGCCATCCTGTAAACTGGCCAGCTGACGCCGGTAGTGTGGCCGACGAAAAGATTCAACACCCGGTAGCTACTTGCGATATTGCAGCTGCCGGATGTGCTTCGGCTTGTTACTGCCGAGCGGAAATTGCACTGAGCTTGCAACACGCCATCTTAAACAAGGTTTCATTCGATCCTGCAATGCGGCTTATGACGTCCCCGTGTCGCCGAACGAGCTGCCTCGGCGCTGCCCTGGCCCCCGAAGACGAGGCCGGTCGTCAACTGCTGCTGTGGCCGCCTCGGCTCGGGACGTAATCCCTCCCCCATCCCCGGTCCGACTCCAGAAAGCGTTATGGGGTTCGAGTGGCTTTCTGCGAGGGTTCAGCGCTGCCAGCACGTCCACACTGGAGGGCAGGGCGTCGCCACCTGAGCAATCGCGTTCTTAGGCTGTTGTGGCTTGTGGCCGCCGTTGCATGCTTCTTAAAGTTGAGGGATGCTCTCTCGTCTTAGAAGCCAAGACTCGAAGCGACCTTTCGAGCACGGCCTTGGCTCGACCGCACCGCCGCACCGCTCGCGCTACTTCGCGGCACTGGCTGATTCTCTCGCAAGCCCGAGAGGCTTCGCAAAGCATGTTCACATGCTGAGATGTATTGATCTCATCCAAGAAGATGATCACTCGCTCACCGGTCTCGCTCTCCTCGACAAGCTTTCGCGCCTGAGCGAAAACCTCGGCTGGCGAGGAGAGGCGTGCTGGAGAGTGAAGCGCCTCAGATGAACAAGTGTTAACTGCCGCACAGGCATTAGTTCTTGGTCAGGGGCCCGATCGATGTCGTTTTCTGTGGTCCCACCATGGACGTTCAGCGTGACCAGCTCCACCCCCAGCCAGGCACAAAGGTAGCGCACCTGCATCCATACGAAGGCTTGCACGGAGGATCAAGAAACTTGCTCGTACGTTCCTACGTTGGTCCCACTGCGGCCCGCGCCAACTCGGTTTTGCCGCAGCCGCACTCGCCCATCAAGATCCTGCAAACGGTTCGCCAGGACAGTATACTGTGCTCGCTTCCCGGTGATTTTCGGAACAGCCACATCTCATCCCCTCTCTTCCAAGGCACACGGGCAGGCCACAACGAAGACGCACGAAGATCGCAAGCATCTTCAGGACTGCATCACCTTAGGACTCAGTTCGTAAGACTTCGTAAGGCCATGCCGCCATGCCCGGCCTGTGAGGCAGTACTTGCCATCCAAAAGCTGGGCCGCCTCTTCCCTGGACCGGTCCACGCCAGTCAGGCAGCCTCTCTTCTACGGGAAGGGAAGGGGATGTTCCGGCAGGGATGCCGAAGCTCAGGCATCTCAGGCCTAGGGTTTTGGTATGATCAGCGGTCAAGGCATCCAGCGACTCACCGACGGAGACCTCTGGAGATAATGTGTGGTTCCTCTAAAGAATAGCTTTCCAAGAAGCAGTCTACATCCTACCACAGCCCTGGGCAGCTTCGGAGAGCTCCCGGAGACAGCTTACCCACCTTCTCTGTAGACAAGTTGCATGGTTGCGCTCGAGCAGAAAGAGCAGGCCCGGATGCATGGAAATCCGGAGCCTTCAGCATTCAAGGAAGCCATGTCACAAATTGCCCACCAAAAGCTGAAAGCAGTTGTTGGCACCGTATCCGAGACAAGCCGCTTGGTTGGTTGGCTCGAAAGGAAGCAAACCTGGTGCTTGCCTGTCGCAAGCCAGAAACCGATCAAAACAGTGAATGCTACGTGCTAGAAGACTGTACGGAATTCCAACCAGAGAGCCAACATGAGTGTGCACGCATTTGCCGCCGGGCGGCGGTTCGAGAAAAGCATGCAGTCATGACCTGGGCAAACCAACAAGCCTGGTTGTCGAAGCCATTCTTCGAACGGGTGTCTGCAGCCCTGCCACTGCTGTCCTCCCAGCGCAGAAGGGGGAAGTCCTCTTCTTGCTGTGGCTCTCGGTCTCGCCTTGTCAAAGCACTCTGCGTGCAGCTCTTTCTGAAGCACTCTGGACCGGGTTCAGTCGGCCTGACAGCTGCCGCTTCCTGCCCAGCAGTGATGAAAGACACGCGGGCGTTAGGCACCTCAAACAAGAACAAGCCAGTGCAACAGGCGAAGAGTTAGAGTTAGTCTTCCAGCGACTCGGATGCGCCACTTGTCTGTGCTTTCGGCTTGATGCAAACCGATTGGGCCCAACACAGCTGGTTCAGTTGGTTATCCACAGACACAGCGCTACCTGGCCTGCTCGTCCCGGCCCATGGTGACGTAGGGTCCCAGCAGGCTGGCTCCTTTGCAGAGTGCACCAAGGTGATGCAAGTCCCAAACAAAGGTGATGTTGACCCGTAAGGATGAACGGAGCCAGTGCCGCCCACAGCCCCTTCCAGAAGATCCGCACATGAGAGTATGTATCTGAAGCGAAGGGCGGGAGGACTTGGCATAGACGCCCTCGTCGGAATGGCATACATGGGCGATGCACCACGTGTCCATTCCTCGGTCTCGCTGAATAAAGGGTCTTTCTCTGGGGTCTCTCGTCATCTGTGATGCTGCCACAGTGCCTGTGTCCCAGAAGAGGTGTCTGCGCGGCTTTTCCTCTGATGCAGACGCACGTTCGGAGGCTTTCGCGGGCTTGGGGTGTGCTCGGCTCGGGCAGAGTGATGTCAAAGTGCCAGGAGCGAAGTTGATGAATCTCGCGAATCTTGCATGTGCATCTTTTTGGGAAGAGGCTCCAAGACGAAGTGCTCTTTGCCGTTCACATTTTCTTCCTTCGGCTGGCGCAGGTACATGCCGTCGAGAGGAACGAGGTACTCCTGTGATGCAGCACGCGCGTTTGAAGGACTTTGGCTTGTTGCGCACGGATTGCACTCATGTGCCTGACCCTCATCCACAACAGCGTCCGCCCAGCCTCGGGGGATCCCGTGAGCTGAGCGTCCACGCCGCGCACCTCTCGCCCGTGCAAAGCGCACCCCGGAGTACGAAGTGTGGCCAAGCACATGGGGACCGGCCTCCACGGCGTCCTTCTCGAAGGCCAGCGGATGCTCGGCCTTGACCAGCGTCATGCCTTTGTTGGGAACCTCAGCAGCAAACAAAGCAGGAATCGGAATGGATGTGAGCGCCTCTTCTCTAGCCAAGGTACCCAAGAGGCCATCCTCCACCAACCCTTCTCATAGTCTCTCTTGCGGGTGTAGGCGAAGGCCGGGGCCACCTGCACCGAAATACACGGGTGTCACAACACAACAAAAACAGTCTTCGATTTGCCAAGTCGTCCAAACAGGCCATGTTTGGACGACACCGACCTTGTCCAACTCAGCATCGATGACCCACATGCGCTGAGCTGCGCGATAGTACAGGAAAAACTGCCCGGAGCCCCTTTCACTCTTGTCGTACTTGGCGAAGACAGGGTGACCATCACTGGAGAAAGGCTGGAGGCGCCAAAGTCCACAGAAACGGTCCTTTCGCGAGTCAGGAAGCACCGATCTTGAGTCTTCGCATACGGCATGACACTGATTCTTGCGGCTCCAATTTGAGTCGCACAAGGACACAAATCTTCGAAGTGGCATTCCTGATGAAAGTTCTGCAGGTGCGCAGCCACCACTGTCTCGGGATCCACCTCTCGTCACAATTCGCGCCCCACACAGCACCCGGCCGTGCACATTGCCTGGACCGCCACGCACCCCATCCTTACCAGACTTAGCCTAACCGCATGGACCGCTTCCTGTCACAACATGTCAATGCAACCACCTGTACCACCTTCCTATGCCCGCGATTGCAGCAACCGGTCCGGACCCTTCTTCTTTAGGATGTTGGGTACTTATACCCATACAAGAGACTAGAAAGAATTGTACATGCAAATGAGAAGGAAGCTTCCCAAAGACGTGACCGGTCTGGAAATTCGGGATTACCATGGCCCCTGCACTCTTTGTGAAGTAAAGAAAGTCTGCTCGAGGTATGCTGATGAGGATGATGAAGCGGAGGAAAGTTAGAGCGAGCTTGTGACGAATTGACAGCGGATCGATGCGGATCATCCGGCGACTTACCTTGTGGAGGTCATGGACTCCACAGGCACCCTAAACTCCAGACATCTGGACGGAGGCCGCCTCGTTGTTCGCCGTCTGCCTCGTGGCAAAGTCCCTCGCAGTCCGCAGGATGAAGGCGATGAGCTCGCCTCTCAAGGGTCCAAGTCGGTCCAAGATTGGATTCTGCAGTCAGGAGATGCGGGGTGTCCCAACCCTCCTCCGGCCTTTGAACATCGGACAGTCCTCGGCCAGCAGTTCTGATAGCGGCTTGGCTTTCGGAGCGCCCTCCTGACAGGCGGCAGCAACAGCGCTGAGAGACAGCCGCCATGCAAGCAGCACGGCTGACGAGCACTGACCAACAAGTCTTGAGTTCCTCAGGAATGCAAGCTTGGTTGGCGACAGACTCTGGGTGGTGCACCTGAGGTCAATGCTGAGCTGAGCTGACACACGTTGGTTGAGGCAAAGTGTCCGAGGCCTCCTTCAATTGCCAGTAGAGTACGTCCACGAAGGACCAGATGTTCCAGAGAGAGGGGCGCAGTTTGAGCTTCGCGAACTCGACTAACCTCAGACCAAAATGCTGCTGTTCACTGCCACTCTTGGACGTCATGGTGATGGAAGATGTGCAGCGCTTGCTCTGGGGGGTTGTTGCTGTTGCTTCTGCTCTGGTCTATGTAGCGTGGCTGGAGCTTCTTGTTTATACTGGCGGTGCCATTCATGTAACGGCCCCACTACATGGTTCATGCTTGAGAGTGTCCAAGGAACACTGAGAAGCACTCTTCGCCGCTCAACTCGCTGTCAGCGCCATCATACTGCAGTGGGAAGGCACCGCCCAAACGCCGGACGATGGCCTTGGCTCAAAGCTGCTCTCATAGATGCAGCAGAGGCAGTTCGCATCATCCAACCCTCAAGGCCTTCTGCCCATCTTCGGTCTGCATTCGCATGGATTCTAGACAAACTGGCCAAGGTGCCAAGGCTCCGCAAACGTATTGGAGACGGTGGTAAGCATTCGCCACGGCATCTGGATTCCGCAGGCCATCATGCCTTTCAGCACTGCTCTTTTCCACCATCGCGGCTTGGGGAGACACCTGGCCTGGCCGCAGCAAAGCTCTCGCCGAGCCCTGCTTGCAGCGAGGCCTCATCGGCGCAGAAAGCTTCGGCCTGCGAGCTCGCCGGGTCCGCTTCCCCTCCCCCAAAACCCAGTCCCTGCCCACCCCATGGCCTTCACGGTGCTACTGACACGCGGGAGCCAGCCTCAGGGAGGCGCACAGCCGTCACTTTGCCTGGGGGCCCGGGCCCGTCCCTCTGTCGCCGGTGTTCGTCTCAGCTCGGCGCTGAGCAGCGGCCCACAGCGCCAAGGCGCGGTCTCGGGAGCCAAGGTTTTAGGAATGAGAGCTTCGGTGATTCAGGGTTTAGGCAGCAGAGGCACCTCCGGTTGCTCGACCCCAGCTGGCAGCTCTATGGCCACCCTCATCCTCTGGAAATCAAGCTTGCACATCATTGGAGCTGGTCAGTGGTCTTACCGTTTTGCAGGTCCGAGCCTGCTGTCAAGCTTGAAGATTCCATCTGCTCGTTCTGCTCCCGTGCGGGCTACCCGGCCAAGCACGATGAGCTCCTTGGTTTGCACCCTGGCCTTTCGTTCCGTGCCTTCGTGTCTGCAGGCTTCGGATATCTTTAAATTGCTCACACATCGGGCAAGACCTTTTTACATCCATCTTCTGCTGATCGAAGCACCAAAACTGATAGCTGCCACTACTGCGAGAGGCAAGTGTCGAAGAGAGCGGCAGCGAAGGACTCCGAATTGAGCAGCCTGCATTGTCCGTGTTAGCTGAGTTGCATGGGCCTGGGAAAGACGTGAATCCGAGGCTTGCACGGTAGCCCGGCCGTGAGGTCTAGATGCAGCAGCACCGGCCCCTGAACACCTCCGGAGACTGAGAACCAGAGAACCAGAGCTGCACTCGATTTTGGACCTTTCCTTATAGCATCTTGCCTTCCACTGCCCCGCACAGGCTCCGCCCGAGTGCCCCGAAGCCCATTGCAGCCGTCAGCTTAAGCTGCCGATAGCTGGCGTCCTGCGCCTCCACTGATCTGCGGAAAGTGCTTAGACTTAGTCAGCACAAAGGCTTTGAACACAGACACCGTCCTCTGCAGACATCCGGACCGAGAAAGTCTTGCCACAGCCGCAATGCCTGAGTCCAACGGAAGCCATTCTGTCATCTGCTGTGGTACCATTGAATCAGACCGCACAGTTGGGATTCATGCCGACGTTACCTTCAACTCTGCTGCGAGCAGCAGGTGACCGAGTAGCTCTGACCCTTTTGGGCGCTCCGACATTGCGGCTTCTCGCGCTCTCTCTCTCTCTCTCTACCGGGCGTGGGGTTCAGGCCAGCGTTCAGGGCCATCCCCCCGTGCGGTCCACGCACACCCGCATTTCGCGGATGGTTTGCATCCCCCCCCAGAGTTTCGCTCTGAGAGGCTCGGCTTTACAGGCCTCGTCTTTCGGCCCAAACTTCAGCTGGGTTTGTGGCCCGGAGGCGGTGGAAAGAGCCGGTTCCCCCCCGGAGTGTAAACCAAACTGCTTTCACATGTTAGAACACTCACTGCACTCTGAGGGCCTGGCCGAGGGTTCGTACATGTGTCAAAAAGGGAACCGCAGTATAGCATTCCAGGTATTGAGCTGAACAACACTGTATATTGGACACATGTCTCCCCTCTGACAGTATGCTGTATGCTACTGTGGCATGCATGGGCTATCTAGATAGGCATTCAACAGTATGATAAAGAGTAGAGTCACATGCCAATACTCCCCCGATCTAGTAGGGCCCATGTTTGCCGTAAAAGGCCGCCTGTAGGCGGCGGCGTCTATGGCTCCCCCCATCGTCGTCATCATTGGGACGTGGGCTTCTGGAGCGGCTTCTCTCACTGTGAAGTTGCCCAGGTCCCCCTTCATGCCATGGTGCCGGCCATGGGAGAGTAGTACCCTGGCTTTCACTTTGTGTTGGGAGCGTGTTCATCTCCCCCACGGCGTTGACGGCTTGTTGGAGGCTAGCGGTCATCATCTCCTCCATTTGGGCAGCTGTGAGTGCTGCTCCCCCTTGCATGTTTGGGGGTTCTTCTCCCCCTGCGGCGTTGGTGGGCTGGTCCGTGGCCTCCGTGGCGCCGTCGCGAAGCTGCACGGTGGAGCCGTGGTCAGTCTCGGTGTCCCCGTGGTAGGCCGCCGTCTCCTCCTCGGCGGTCTCGTGAGCCGGCGCTGTGGTCGGATCTTCCCCCATATGGTCATCATGTGTCTCCCCCGTTTGGGTAGTCTCGTGCACCGCATGTGCTCCCCCGAAAAGAGCTTGTTGCCACGCCTCGATAGCATGTAGTAGTTCGATCACGGGCATGAGCACGGTGTCCGTCACATAGGGCACGATGTCTTTGAGTCTTCGGGCGGCTTTCAAAAGGCGCTCAGTGGCGCTGGCGCGCCGGTCCGTGCGCGCTGGCCATTCCTCGATCCCCTCCCCGCCGAGCTTGAGCACATCAGCTGGGTGGGCTGTGGTGGGATCTTCCTCCACATGGTATGCTTCCCCCTTCTTGGTTGACAGCAGCGCAGCTGGCGACAGTAGGTCGTGGAGAGCGTCCCACCATGCTAGCGTGTTCCATGTGCGGTCCCCTCCGAGCGCCAGGAGGATCACTCCATCGACCATCTTGTATGCCTCTTTCAGCTTAGCCATGGCTTTGCTGAGGCTGGCCTCGGTCACGTCCCCCGGCATGGGTTCTTGGAGTTCCGAAAGGCCTGCCTCTATCATGGCCCTGAGCTGGCTGAGGTCCGTGGCGAACTCTTCTGGAGTAAATCCCTCGCCCCTTCTCACCCTCATTGAGGATACGAAGCGGTAGGCCTCGCTCATCCCCGTTGGCTCTGTCATGACTGTTCTCCCCCACGTTCTGGCTTCCGGGTGGGTGTCGGCTTGCGAGAGCATGCGGAGAGCTATGGCACATATATTGGAGATGATCTCCCCGTCTCTGTTGGCGAGGCCGTCCGCGATCTCGTGTATCATCTGCAGCTGGGCGAGGGTGGCGGTAATAGCTCCCCGTTGTGCGGCGAGTAAAGCTTGCGCACTTGGAGGCTCCCCCGCTGTGGCTGCGGCACCAGAGCCCGTGGCTGTTGATCGCACGCGGCGTCTGGCTTGTTCCCTCAAGGGGGTGCGCCTTCGCCTGCGTATAAGTCCACAGTTTTCTTCGTCTGTGGTTGTGCCATTCCATTGGCTTTCCCCTTCCGGTCTCGGCGATCTTGCCATTGGCGGTGTCGACGTGGTACTGGTAGAAGTCGAGGTGTGGGCGTAGATCCCCCCTTGCATGAGCTCTGTGCGGTCGCTGTCTGCGTGTGGTGCCGGGCTCGGTTTTGGGCCGATGTGCCTCCCGTCGCGGAACTGGTGGAACCACGGGGTGGGCGTTGGCTGGGCTTGCCTTTGGGCTTGGGAAGCTTGCTGTGCTTCCGGGCTGGAGCGGCGCAGCGTTCGGCCGTCGGACAGTGGGTCTCGTTGCTGCTGCGGCTGTGCTGGTTGTTCGGTTTGTGGTTGATCTGCTTCCGGCGGGGGGTCGGTATGGGACGTTTCGTTCTCTTGTGGAGCTTGTTGCCAGTAGTCCCGGTTGTGGTGAGTGTCGTCTGTCCCCCCTTGCCATTCTTGTTGTTGTGTCGTCGCTGGTGGGTTCTCCTCTGGCCTCGGAGTGTTCTCCGGCTGCGGTGGTGTGCTGCTCTGCGCGTGGTCAGTCGTGGGGCTGTGGTTGGTGTCCCCCTCCTGTAGGAAGCGGTCTGGTGTGGTGGTAGTGAATTGCATGTGCCATCCGTTGGTTCCCCTGTTCATAAGGAACTGGTCTCCCACCTGCAGTGCTAGGCTGTAGGGCTCTTGTTGTGTTGCTGTGGGTGTCTGGGTGACTGTGGCGAGCCACCTTCTTTCCGAGAGGGGCTCCTGCAGTAGCCACGTCTCTCCGCTTATCGGCGGATAGGCAGCCATCGGCATCCCCCCCGCGGGTGGGGATTGCTCCTTCGCCCGGGGTGGTTGGTAGGTCGTGGCTGTATGCTGTTCTCGTTAGCCACTTCCCTGCCCGCAGGGCTGTGTGAGTGATGTCGGTGGCTCTGGAATGTGGAAGTGGGGGTGGGACTGTTCTGTCCCCCCAGGGTTGGTGGTCGTGGCGGTGGTGGTGGTTCCTGTTGTGCCTCCGTGGGACCATGCTGTGGCTTGGGCTGCCGCTGCGGGTAGTAGCTGGTGCCCTGGGACGGTTGTTCGGAGGTGGCGTCCGGGTGCCAGTGGGGTGTGTAGGTGGCTGCTTTGGTGTTTTGGGGTGGGTCCGTTGTGTCGTCGGCCGGTGTGTGTTGCTGTGCGTGTGGTGTTTCCGGTTGGAGGTGAGCGGGGAGCGGCTGTCCCGGGTTGAGTAGACGGAAGTTGGCTATTCTCTCCTCCCGCGTGGGCTGTGGCGGCTGCCAGGTGGTTGGTGGGTCGTTGTCGGGACTGTTGTCCCCTGTGTGGCGGGGTGTGGTGTTGCTTGCTGCCGTGGGAGTGGAGTGGTTCTGGTACAGGAGATGTTGGTCCCATTTGGTGTGGTGGAGGCCGTGGGCTTTGAGCCAGCGCTTCATGCGGAACTTTTCTGCTTTGTTGCGGGTGCGTGTGGCTCCCCCGCCTTCATGCTTTCTGTGGTTGTGTTGTGGGCGGTGGCTGCTGCGGCGTCGGGGGGTGGTGGTAGTGTCTGCTGGTGCGTCCCCCGCCGCGCCGTCGTTCGTTGCTGTGGCGTCTGGGAAGCCCGGCAGGAGCTCACGGTGGATGTAGCTCGTGGGTATTTCCCCCGTTGTGATCCAGTGGTAGTGTTCGCGCATGGTCATGCCAGGGATGGCTTTGGTCCCTCCGGGTGGTAGGTTGCTGCCCGTGGCAGCTTGGAAAGGGTGCTCTCGGAAGGGCTTGCGTGGTGTATCCCCCGTTGGTGTTTGCCCCTGTGTCGGGGCCTCTGCTGTGGTTGGTGTGGTTTGGTGGTGGCGCTGTTGCTCTGCGCCAACTTCGGTGGTGGTGTCGGGCTGGGGTGCTGTGGCTGTTGCCGGCTCCGCTTGTGCCGTTGGCATGTGTGGCTGTGGCTCCGGTGCTTGTTGTGTGGTGTGTGTGGGTTCCGCAGCTTCTGTCCATGGGTCTGTATCCGGGTTGTAGGGCGTGGCGAAGGCGACGCCATGCGGGCCGTGTGGTCGGAGCGGGGATCCCGTCGGCAGTTGTTCTGCGCTGGGTGGGTCGGCCGGTGGTTCGATGATCTGGCCGTTGGGGTCGCGAAGGTTCCCCCAGGCGTCGTAGGAGGCAAAGCCGTGGTCTTGTGCGAGCTGGGCTGCTGTGTATGGTGGTGGTGGGGTTCCCCCCTGCTGGGAGGCTTGTTGTTGTTGGTAGAGTTGTGATAGTCCTTCGGCTACTTGCTGAACCGGGTTTGGTGGTGGCTGGGTTGTCAGTCTGGCTCCTATGTGTGAGCTGAGGCCTTGTGGTTGTGGGTGTTGGTGGAGGTGGGAGGCTGTTGCCCCCATTGGTGGTTGTTGTTCTTGTGGTGGCTGGTGTTCGTAAGGCTGTGGCCATGGGTCTGTTGCCGGGTTGTATTGTGAGATTGGCGCTGTGGGTGCTTGCTGCCAGTGGTATTGTTGGGGGGCCGCTTGCTGCGGCATCGCCGTGGCTTGTGGCTGGTGCCCGGAAGCTTGTTGGTGTTGCGGTGTCTGCCAGTTGTGCGAGGAGCTTGCCGCGGCGCTGTTCTGCGAGTGCGTCGGCGGCTGTTGCTGTTGCGGCTGCTGAGTGGGCTTGGCACCTGCCCATGTGTGGTGTACCGGCTGCTGTGGCGTGGTGGGTAGGTGGCCGGCTGCCCCTCCGGTGCGACTGTCATGTTGTGTGGCTGTGGCTGGTAAGGTTCCCCCTGCTGTCGCGATCTGTTCTGCACGTCTCGGTGGCAGGGGGCCTGCTCCTTGAGGTTCGCCCATTCGAGTCATTCGTGGACCCGCGTTGTTTCCCCCCTCATTGGGGTTGGTCGGCCGGCCCTGGGTAGGACTGACCAAGAAGTCGAGCAGCAACAGAGCGGTCACTGCGAAGCATAGTAGCGCTCCCCCTTTCGAAGCCATGTGTGCTGCTAGGGTTCGGGCCGTGGGGAGTCGCTGGAGTCAAAGGCTGCAGCGTCGGCGTGTGCCTTCCCCCTTCCGCTGCAGGCAGGCTGTCGGACTGTCAGTAAGGACATGATGCAATGCAGGCAAACAAGTAAGCAAAAACTGTCATGAGTGTACATCGCTGAAGTCACTGTTCTCTCCCCTCAAGTGGTAGGTCAGCAGCTGTCACAGTATCTCAGGTTTTATCCCTTCACTCGCTGTGGTTGCTTGCTTGGTTGTGGCTGCGGCGGAGAGGCTTGCTAAAGGCTAGTTTGTCAACGTGGGTGTGCGGGGTGGTCCCCGCGGTGTGTGTGGAACAAGGTTGTCTTGGATGCTGGTCTGCTTGCCTGTTGCCCATGGAACGTCAAACTTGTCAACAAAACTGGCTGTGAGTAGTTGCCACCGGGTGCGGTCCATTGCCAGGTCACCCCAGTGTGTTCCCCCGATGCTTTCAAGGGCTCTCTCCACATCCCCTTCCGGGTTGAAGCGGGCAGCGTGGTTAACCCGGTCTCTGGGGAGCTTGCGTTGCTCTGCTCGCCAGAAGCGCAGGTCTTTCCAGCGGATCATAGCATTTACCTCCTCCCCTGCTCTGGCCATGTGCCCCCAGAGGGACCACACTTTATTGAGGATGTGGGTCGACCATCTTTCCCATCCCCCCCGATGCAGGTGTACTCGGGTTGTTCTGAGGGAGCGTATGTGCCAGTCTGCCCACTGCTCTGTAGGCCTTCTGTCTAGGTGGAGCATGCGCCGGAGGTGTTGGGCTTGTAGGGAGTTGGCTGCTTTGAGGATGCGCTGGTTCACGGGCCATGTCTCTGCTGCGTAGAGTGCCGCGTTACGTACTAGGGCAATGTAGGCTGTCATCCTGCTGGCGAGGCCTGTTCTGGCCAGCAGGATGTGCTTGTGTTTGGCAAAGGCTTGTCTCCCCCGCCTGGTCATTTCCGCTATGATGGGTACTGTCTGCTCCCCGAAGGTGATGGGGGAACCAAGTGTGGCAATGACTGTCTTGTGCGGTTGGCAGGGGACCGTGGTGTTGCTGATCTGGAAGGTCCCCCCTCCTTCTGGGTGGCTGTGGAGGATGGCGGTTTTGGTGGGGTGGATGTGGAGGCCGTCTTCTGCGAGTTCATTTTCCAAGTTGTGGCAAACACTGGAGGTGGTGACGATCCTGGCTCCAGAGGTAGGTGTCATCGAGGAAGCTCCCCCCGGATCTTGGTGGAGGGGCCGCCTTTGGCATCTGGCTTCTGGGCCGGGGCTGCTTGGGTTGCTGACTGGAGGTCTCTGGCCACAATGGCGCCGAAGAGGTCGGGGGAATCGGGACTCCCCTGGCGTATGCCGTTGGTTTGGGGACGGGTGTGATGGTATCCCCCACCGCCACATTGAGGCTGCGCGTCTCGAGGATGCTCAGCCAGAGCAAAGCCTCCCAGGGTTGATCTCCCCCCTCGTCCGGCACGGGATACCGGGATGATGGCACTCCCCCGATCCGTGAGGCGACGAGCTCGCTCATACTATGTTGCCAAACGCTATCAAACGCCTTTCGGATGTCCAATTTGACTAACCATGTCGGCACCCCCCAGTCACGAGCCATCTGCGTCACACGACGAATGGTCGCGATGAGTTCGACTCCTTGCCTCCCCCGCCTCGCCCATTGCAGGGTGGCTCCCCCCCTGATGCGCTCCCCCCCCCTCGCAAGTAGAAGCTGGGCTGCGAGTTTTAAGAGGGTCGAGGAGAGAGTGATGGGTCTGGTCTCCCCCCATTCAAGGGGGGAGGGCACTTTGGGCAAAAGCACCGTCACACCACGATCGATGGCTTCAGGGATGCGAGCGGTATACAGCATATCATTGAGAATGTATGTGATGGTTCCCCCCCACTGGGGATTGGCAAGGAGTTCACGTGCTGCCTCGTGGGAGATCCCGTCGGGTCCGGTGCTTTTGTTGTTGCTCCACGTCTTGGCGACCTGTTGTAGCTCTGTTGTGCTGAAGGGGGTCCACGGTGTGACTTTGCAGCGCCGCCGCAGTTGCAGCCGGAGCGTGGTGATGCGCGCATTCCCCCCTGGTGGGAGCGGTTTGGCAAAGATGGACCGCATGTGTGCGTGCAGGTGTTCCTGCCAGCGGGGGTCGTCCTGCAATTTGAGTTGCCAGCCGCGGTGGGATTTCCCCCTCTGGAGGATTCTGAGGGCTTTCCAGTCGAGTTGCGCGGCCTGCTCTGCTTGCTTGGTGTTCCAAGCTCGTTGCTCTTGCTTGTGGAGGCGGGCTACCGCTTTCCAGGCGGATTTTGCCTCGGGGCCTGCTGGCGCGATCTTGGCTGCTCTCCGCATTTCCCGGAGTGTGTGGCTCTCATGGAATTTGTTGTGTCCGCTGCCCGGGACTGTGATGGCTTTGGCTAGGGTGGCTATGACCTTGTGTGGGTCCTCCCCCTTGGGTGGTGGCACTGTGAGGAGTTGTGCAACTTGGGTCGGTGGGCGCAATTTGCGCGGTCCCCATGTGGCGCGGTTGGGTCCTCCCCCTGCGTGGGAGCCCAGCGGGGCCAGTATGCCGTCATGGTCCGAGAATGCACGGTCACGGCAAGGCACGACTTTCCCGGTTCCGGCAGTGATCCCCTTCACTAGAAGGTAGTCCAGTCGCCTTGGCTGCATGAGCTGGTTATATGGGTGGTAGCTAGGTGTGTGTAGGTCCTGTGGCGGTAGTCGAATGTTGTGGTGGTCGGCCCAGTCAAGGATGCACTCCCCTCGGCCTGTGGTGGCGTAGCAGCCGGCTGTGTTGCTGATGGGGTGTGCGAAGGTTTCGTTGGCGTCAATGCCGAGTAGGAAACGGCAGCGATCTCCCAGGGCTTGTCTCCAGTCTTGGAGAATGTCTTGGGTTTGGGGGATGGTGGCATGGTGCGGTATATGGCCTGCTAGTGCTCGTGTGATGGCTTTGTTGCCTTTGCTCTTGAGTGTGGTGATGACTCCCCCTGCTGTGACTTCGCTGTGATGGTGGCTGTGGTGTGTCGTTTGGTGGGCTATGCCTTCCCCCCTGAACTCTCCTTCACATTTGCCATACACGAGCTGCCATGTATCTGATTCTGCATGGAACAAACCGGCTTCAGTGATGATTTCTTGCACAAGGACAATGCGTACACAGTTCAGGTCCGGACTGTCACCGAAGTCGTCGAGCAGGTCCAGCAGTTTGCTGGGCACGAGCCCCCCGACATTCCATGTCATCGCCCAGAGTTGGCCGGGTATTTTCTCCCCCTCGACCTGGGAGTGAAACTGATCCTCGTCGTTGTCTCAGTTGATCTCCGCCTTGAGCGGGGACCATGCTGTCGACACTGCCTGCTGAGTGGTCCTGGTGGCTTTTGCGATCTCCTCCAGGTTGACCCATCCCGGGCCCGCGTCTTCTGTACCCCCCGGCTTTGGGGCTGTCGCTGAGCACACCTTGGTGCTGTTGATCCAAGCTGTTCCTGTGCTGAACTCCATTTGGAGTGCGTCCTTGGCTCCCCCCAGGGTGAGGTACAAGCGCTTTACTTTTGCAGCCAGGCGGGCTCTGCGTCGTCGGTCAGGAGGTTGGCTCATGGCGATCCAGACTCGCTTGATCCCCCCGTCGGCTCGTCGTCCCAGTTGTATGTTTGCATCTCTGACCTTGGCAATGACCTCCTGGATGCGCTGTTTGCGCTGGTCGAAGTGCTCCCCCATGCGGTCGTCGATGGGGAGTATGGCGTATCCCCGGCGCACGCCGGGAACAAAGAGCGAGTCCAGGGCAATGGGGGCGTCCACCGTTTTGAGCACATCTGCGACGGCCTCCTTGGTGGTTGTGGCGTCTTGATCTGGATCCCATCCTCCCACAATCAGTGCGGGTCGTCGGGAGTTGTCTGAGGTTGCCGTACTCCCGGCCACTGACGAGGCTCCCCCCCCTTTTTCGAGGCGTTCGAGGCGGAAGTTCACCTCCTTGTTGGCTTCTTGGAGCTGTTGCAGGATATCCCCGTGGCTCGCGTACTTGGTGGTCATATCATCGAGGAGATTGATGGTCTGCTGCATTTTGCGGGTCACTTGGCTCTCTACGTTATCTACTCGCGTGGCAAAGGAGCGAAGGTCTTGCTTGACATCGGAAAGGGCGTCCTTGAGCTCTCCCCGGATGGCTTCCCGAATGATGTCGATGTTCAGCGCGAGGTCGTCTGGCTTGTCTGGTGCGCGCCTTTTGACGGGAGAGTTCCCCTGGTGATCGACTTGCATCTCAAGTCCTGCTCCTGTCGCCATGTCGTTCTCCCCGGTGTGCTTCACTAGGTCGCCCCCCTGCAAGTAGTGTCACGGACAGGTACCTCGGGTACTGAATCTCCCAGGGCGGTCTTGCGGCTGATCGGCCAGTAGTGCTGCTCCCCCTGTAGGGTCGCCGAGCCCGTAGAGCTCGTTGGCGTGCAACTCCCGAAGGAACAGGGCACAGATGCCGTACAGGAGTGACCCCTCCGATGTCGCCCTTCCGAACGCCCCCGGCGAAGTCGCAAAGAGAGACACGGATGTAGAGGGGCTCGCAACTATGCGCGCCAGGGAGCACGGTCTCTCCCCTCGCTCTCCCCCTTGGTTGAGACCTTCCTCTTCTCACTCAGGGCTCAGGCCTTGAACCACTCGCGGCCTTGAGCCAAAAATGGCTACTCTCTCTCTCTCTCTCTCTCTCTCTCTCTCTCTCTCTCTCTCTTCGCTTCGCTTCTCAGGGGCAGAGTCTGCAAGCAGACCCGGGCCAAGGCCCCCCCTTCCCCGACATGACGGTGGAAGAGGCTGTGGGGTCGTCGGCGGACGGGTTTGCGTCCCTTGGTAGGTACAGCTGGTAGAGTGCGTCTGTCGGAAAAACCCCCCAACCCTGAACTTTATCTCGCGCGTCCCGGCCTCATCGCCGCAGGTGCACTTCCCCCAGTAGAAACAGTGGTTTGTAATTAATCCCCCACGATAAGCAACACAACGACTAAGTGCGAAGCAGTGCAGGAATCACAGGATCAGTACGATGCAAGTGGAGGCTTGGTTCAGGGGGTGCTCCCCCCATCTTTGGCAAACAACGAAGAAACAGAACACAGTGCAGCAACAACTTCTGGGCAGGAGCCCCCGTTGCAAAGGGATGCCGGTTTAATTTCCCCCTTTTTGGGTTGTGCAAGTATATTAGCTAAAGCAGTGAATTAGCAGTAGTGTTTGGATCAGACATCGCAGTGTGGCGATGTATTGCATTGAATTTGTAGCTAACTGCATTGAGTTTGCGGCAGTAATCGGAACAAAAACTTGATGAGTGCAGTTTCCCCCGGCATGAGGATGGCGCTCTCTCTCTCTCTCTCTCTCTTTCTGGCTGCTACGCTGTCTTGGGCAGGTAGCGGGCCGACGTGCACTGAAGGAGCAGCAGCGTCGCCAACGGATATGAGCTGCACAACCTGACGGCGCAGCTGACGCATTGGATACCGGTCCTGCCACTTTGCCGTTGGGCGAACCTTGTCGGCGAACTCATTGGCAGGAGGCTGTGATGCTTCCACACGGTGCTGCATGAGCTGGGTGGAGACGTGTGCCTGGCCAGCAACAAGGCAGCTGTGATGACTGCGGAAGGCTGAGTCCTCACCTTTACGACCCTGCGGCCTGGGCGGAATTCTCGCCACAGACCAATATCAGCAGAGGGCACTTCGGCGATGGAAGCGGCCCTGCCTCCAGAGCACGAAGAAACTACAGCAAAGCTCTCAGGTTAGGATCCAGCACGGCGTGGCCACTCCGAAGACCCGCCTCGTCGACTGCATCGTGCACCTAAGCGGGTTTGAGCCGCTGCTAAATTTCAAGATTTCCATGATGCCTTCTCGAAGCACGTGTGCTTGCTGATCACTTCCGATCTGTGCGGCTAAGGCAAAGGCGGCCTGGACCACGATTTGCTGCGTGGCAAAGGCGGCCTCTTTCAACATGCACGAGCTCCCCATTTTTTGACAAGATTCGGAAGCCTCTGCAGGAAGCAGCAATCCGAAGAATTGTCCGGGTTGGCAGTGTGCCCACCTTGCTGCCGGTTTGCCACATGTGTCAACACATCCAACTTACCCAAAATAACAGCATTCAGGGATGCTAACACATGCTAGCACATACAACTTACCGAAAAAAGGGGCGGTTAGTACTCTTCTTACTCTGACACTCGATCTCGCCTCAGCAGCAGCAGCTGCACAGACTCAGGTGTGGTTCGCACATGGCACGGGAGCACCTTCGCATAGCGCACAGGGCGGCAGCCAAGAACATATTGGAAGGAGCATTAAATGTCAGTGGATTTTGATGAGCCCTGTGCAAGATGTCAACATGCGCCAGCAGTCGCAATGATTGATACGTGTGCAGCACAGGGAAGTCTGGACAATGCTCATGAAGTGCCTCCCAGGCAGCGGGCCGAAGCCGTCGCGCCAGGAAGGGCCACAACCTTACCAAAGAGTTGTTTGGCTGCAAGGGCGGAACCTCTCCACTTGGCCACACCGCCTTCAGGCCTGTCTCGTGTATCGCAGAGGCCACCTCTGCCGTGCGTTTCGTAGACTGAGCGTGACATGCTCAAGTCAGATTCCAGCAGCATGATTGCTCAGGTATGTTCTCGTCACACTGTTCGTCCATTCTTTGCTTCTTCTGACTCGCGCCGCAACCGGGCCAAGGTACTTGAGCGATCAAACTGTCCACACACACACACACGTTTGTGTACATCGAGGAAGCCGAGTCGATCGTAGCCAGGGAACAGAAGTGCGACGGCGCTGTAGAAGTCCGTTGCCAAAGCCACCTCGGACACGGACACCGTGTCAGGAAAGCGAGCACACGCACAAGAATGAGGCGAAGGTCTGTGCCGAGCTCCGTACATGGGCTCCGGCACCGAGCTGCCCAAGAACCTCGACAAGCTCTGAGACTCAATCTCTCAAGGCCATTCCGCACTGCACTGCACCACGGCGCCTCGCCCGCATCACTGGCTGCAGCTGGTGCCCGCACGACTCTTTCCGCACCGTGCTGCATCCAAGTCGCCTGCACTAAGACAAGGCGGCGCACGATGCTCATGTGCAGATATGTGCAGGCTGTCGCTACTTCAAGGGACGGACGACGAGTACATCGGAGCAGCAAAGAGCTACGAGCAAACGCTGTCGAACTCGACCGCCAGCCTGCAGTGCGCTCGCCAAAGCCTGGAGGTTCTGTGAGTCTTGCTGCAGCAGCGCCGCAGCATCCTGGCAGGTTCACAGAGCTTCAGCAGCGCCATCGCGGGAGCTCGAAAATGACCCGGGCTCAAAAGGCTCCCGGTCCTCTGCGCCCGTCTGGAGCCGGCAGTGCTTCAGGAGATCCGTCGACCAGGCTTCTGCCTTGTCGGCTTGAGCCCGCTGGCCCCCCCCCTTTTTTCAGGCTGTGTATTGAAGGCTTGAAGGCTTTTCAAGGAGACAAGGTCTGGGTCTTGGCTTCGTGCCTGCGCTGGCCACAGCCACGTCGATGCAACTGCAGCTAGGACCTGCACATTTTGAAGGCTTAGGCTTGATCAAGATGCGGAAACCAGAAGGTCCAAGTTCTGCAAATCGCCAGGCTTCAGCGTTCCCGACCTCCTCCACGTGCTCCCGCAGCTCATGTGACAAGGCATTCAGGAGACAGCCGAGCTGACGCGCGGCGAAGAATCCCAAGACCTGGGCTCAAGCAAGTCTGTGGCTTCGATGCTGCAGGGGTCTGACCTTGGGCTTGGGACATCCTGGTATATTTTGCATTATCACTTCTGCGACAGGGCTTGTTAGGGATCACTCGGCACCGCTTCTTCTGCAGCTGAAAGGCCGGGAATGTCTGCTGCGCACTGATCAAGTTCTGGCGCCAGTTCCCCTGCAGGGCACTCCCGCGAAGCAGAACAGCAACTGAGCAAGGAGTGGAGGATCAGTGCATTGGGCGCAGGAGTTCGAATTTCGGTGGGGCAGCGATCTGACCCAAACCTTTTCTGGATGCATCTGGTCCGATAAGGTCCACTCTGCAACTGTGACGGCCACTCCAGTTCAGCAACGGCAGTCCCTCAAGCTCTCTGCGCAGTGGATTGGGGATAGAATTAAGCAACACCACGGCCACAGAGGCCTGAGGGTAACCGCAGAACAAGCAAGACATCTTCACATGTTGCGAAAAGGGGCAGAACGCGCGACTCTCGCATGCTTTGATCTGCCCACATGCCGAGCCGACGTGTTGCCCGAATACCATTGCATAGAGCACTATGACACCAAGTCTGTTGTGACCCTCTCAAGGCCAGACTGTGCCCGCAAAGGCTTCGTGAGCGTGCCTAGCTGCACACCCACGGCCCCACAGATGGTGAGATTTTGTGGGATTCTGAGCAAGGCACTCCAGACCCTCTTAACCCCTACATGGCACGTCAGGCGCCCCTGCGCACGCCCACGGAATTCTGCACAGCTGTCCCCGCAAGCGAGGACGAGACAAGCAGCCGCAGAAACAGTTTGAATCGCCTGCCGCTCGCGGAGTCCATGGAGTTGACTCTTCATCTCGCTGAGACCCAAGGACAGCGGCCACTCCACGTGGATCTCCTTCACACGAGGCTCATGTGACGTCATCGGCATCAACACCTGGACGGCCGAGCCTGGTAGTCTGGATGCCCGGCCACGCGCAAGTCATCAAGGACCTCTCTCGAGATGTGGGGACGTAGCGCGGCGGCCCCATATGAAGGCTCAGCTCCCTGCAGCAGCCGCAAGACGGACCAGGCCGATTTGCTCGTTGAACGTGCGAACCTGCGCGGCAGCTCGGAGGTTGCAACTTGGGCAAAGCAGTTCCGAGATGTTCCGAGGAGGGGCAGCGGGAACGGCGGGCAGTCGACTTTTCCGGGACTGGGCAAGGCGGCAGGCCAGTCAAGTACCAGCTTTGCTGCGAGAAGTCCCCTGTAACGAGGTGCGCCTTTACATACTGTACAACATGCAAAAGAAGAGCAGGTCTTCGGGAGCAAGGCTTCATAGCTTCACATGACCTGAGACCTGATCTCACTCAAGAGGGAAAATCAATGTAATTTCACAAGGACACTTTCTGTTGTCGACAGGATGTCCTGTTCATGCCTGTCGGGAAGTGTAAAGAAGCTTGGTGGTTGGCGCGACTTCCTCACTGTCGCACAAACACATCACCTGTCTGTTTTGCACAAACATTGAGATCAAGCTTCGACTGCGCCGGTGAAGGGGCACCAACCATTTTAGCAACAATAACAAACCTGTTCTCACTCAAACGAAAAACAGGTGGTATCCTGCAGGCGACGATTCCCGCCCGCGGTCAGGAGATTGAAAACTTTTGCTGTACATGCGCAAGCACACAGGCTAAGATGTCGTGGTGTCTGCAAGTCGTGACGGAGGCTTGCAGGTCATGCAAGGCGCCGATGCTTAGACGAGCGTGCTGTAACGACAGATGGGGCAAGTGCCACGTGCCTTCCGAGCAGAGAACCATTCTACAAGACAATCTTCATGAAAAGCGTGCCCGCAGGGAAGCAGGGCCACCTTCTCTCCCTGCTTGAAATCATCCAAACAGCAAAGGCAAGTCTTCTGTGCCCACGGCTTCGTCCATGATGGGTCGGCTTTTTGCTCCCTGTGCGGCTTGGCTCCTGCCCCCTGGAGGCGCATGACATAAAATTCCGGGGTGGGCGTTTGGGCTTCCGTCGAGACGAGCGTGTCGAATTCCATGCGCGCCCACACGAACTCAAGGCCGGGCTTGAGGTTGACGACGGTGGGCGCGCGGACTAACAGCAATGCCGACAATGCCATGATGCCCAGGAAACCACACCAGACCACTCCCAGAATTAGCTTGGCCACCGGCTCATGTTCCAGGAAAGACGCTGAGGTAAAGGCCAGGCAGATCCCTATCCAACCGCAACCACAAAGACCACCTAAAATGCAAGGCAGCCTAGTTGCGTTCTCTACCTCCGGCTGCTCAATCTCCGGAGATCGAGGTCGAGGTCCGATCGTGCTGGCCATGGCCCCTCTACGTTTGTGCGTGGCCGTATGCCCTATAGGATGGCTGGTGCTGAAGCCAAAACGTCTCGACGAAGAGTGCACAATGCCAACCTGTTGACACAAAGCTAAACCAAGCACCCCTGCTTTAACTTTCCCCCACTGAATGCACTCGAAACAGAAGAAGCTCAAGAAAGCTTAAAGCTTGGAACGACCGTGGTGTCACTTGAGCTGAAATCCCTCCCGAGCGGAGCCACCCAAGAGCGCAGCATAAACAACGGTCCCAGCCAAAGTCAGCATGGTGATGCATGCCATGCATTCTGTCCCATCATTCTGACTGCCTGTCCAAATGCCGCATCGAAGGTACTCGCCGCCAGTGTCACGGAAGCCTTTCACAAACGACTGCAAACCTCGTGAGTCTACCATGGAAAATCGGCTTCCCTCACGTGCGATGCCACGGTATGTTTCAGCGTGTGCCGGCATCAGACTTCTGAACCAACTCCAAATCGTGAAATGCAAAGACCTGGAAGTCCAGGATTTCAACCAGCCGCTGCGGAGCCGATGCTTGCGCTGCATCTGCAGTTTCAGGGAAGCTTATGGCCAAACTTCAGTACCAACGGTAAAAGATGCAAGCTCACGACTTGCAAAATACCTTCCATCCCGACTAGCTCCGGGACGTTTCAAAAATGTGGAAGCGACCTCGCTGGTGAGCTCTTTACTCTCTGACCATGCAAACAGGATCTTCCATCATCTTACCCATCCCCGAACAGAAGTGAGCCGCGACGTGCAAAAGCAAGACGTATCAGCTTGTACCCTCACAGGTCACCAGCTTCCAGCCTGGGCTGCTCAGCATGAGGTATAGCATCCGTGCTTCTGCAGGTGTTTGTGCCAGTGTCTCCTCCTCTTCCTCCTGTGCCTTGTCATCTGCGGGACTGGGTGCTGCCAGCCTGCAAGAGGCACTGCAGGAGGGAGGACTCTCCCGATCACAAGCCGCCCCGCCTTGGGTAGCAAAGCACCCAACGGGCGCAGCTGGTAGGCTTCAGCATCTGCAGCATCCGTGCCAACGCTGCATCCTGCCCGGAGCGATTTGCAAGTACTTCCACGGCTTTGAACCTTGACCTCCGGGCCCCACTGTGCTTTTTGCTTATTAAGCCTGGCCCGGAGGCCTTGCCACCCAAAAGCTCCGAGAGGGGTCCCAGCAGAGAGAAGGCGAAGTCCAGCGCTTCGACGAGGCCTTCGATTTGGGCGGGGCAAAGCCAAAAGCACCTTCAAGACCTCTCCGACCTCTCGGACACTCCCGCCCTTGAGTTCCTGAAATCTCCGTCGAATGCTCCAGGGCGGACAGGGACTCCAGCAGAGCATCCAGCGTGGAGAAGCGGCTCTTCGGACGATAGATGAGGTCCTTGTGGAGCTTTTGAGGACTTTGAGAATGGCACTGTCTCTGAAAACCCAACTGCTGATTCCGTTGAGTGGGTTTCGGCACTACGGGTGATAAGGGTCCAAGCCGTAGCCTGCTGCGATAAATAGCGGTGTTGGCATATCGTGGCATATATTATAGCGACTGGACCGCCAAGCCACTGCTCAGCAAGACCCCGTGATTTCACAAGTCTGGAGCAAATAGATTGAAGACGAATCTACAAAGTATTCAAGTTATTGAAGCGCAGGCACTAGATAGTTCGGGCGAGGGGGGCCGAGGGCCAAGGAGCAGAAAGATGTCAAGAAATCTGCTGAGGGCGCTGTTAGAGTTTGAACGAACTTGGGAACCCAGACTGTGCAATTAAATCCGTTCCAGTAGTTCGGGAAAATGTGTCGGTAGGGTACGTCGCTGTCACCTCGTTGCCTCCATAAAACATGGGCGATGCGCTGAACCTTTCAAAGTGTAAACCAACGAACGATTTCTAACATGAAGCTATCGAAGTGTGCAACAAACAAAGGTTGAACGCGTGGGAGCGGATGTACAGCACTCCAATTTACTTGCAGTGCATGAACGAAACCATGAGCACAGGACCCAAGCCTAAAACAGGAGGACAAGGACAACCGTTTCCCCGACGGTACCCAAAAGAGCTACGACGGACGGACCCTTTCTTTTGGATGGTAGGAAGCGCCTTCGCGCCGGGTCCGTCGCATTTGCCAGTACTAGGCTAGCCGGCGCCGGGGGACGCTTTTAGCTGCCCCGGCCCGCTGCCCGCCAGCGAGCGACGACCCGATAGTCCCAGAAAAATAAAACCCAACAAGGGCGGAGAGGGTGGGAGCTGAAAATCGTCGGGGGACGTGGAGCAGGAAAGCGGCTGCAGCATCCACGTCGATTCGACGGTTGTCCCTACGCACATGAATGTGCTACACGACAACCGTTTCCCCGACGGTACCCAAAAGAGCTACGACGGACGGACCCTTTCTTTTGGATGGTAGGAAGCGCCTTCGCGCCGGGTCCGTCGCATTTGCCAGTACTAGGCTAGCCGGCGCCGGGGGACGCTTTTAGCTGCCGCCCGGCGCTCCCCTCACCCACTCTGCGCCGGCTCAGCCGACTCACACCGCCAGGTTCACCAACTCATCGGCGGCGTCGTTCACCGCGAAGTCGAGGTCGGCGACGGCCTTGGCGAGCACCTTCAGGATGGCCTCGACGGGCGTCTGAACTCGCCGCCATCCGGAATTCTCCGCCGTCGTAAGGTCACCCCGGGAGACGGCGTCGGAGACATTGGCCTTGGAAGGCACGCGCCTGAAGTCAGGGAGCCATTCCGACAGCGCCGCTGTAGACCAAAAGGCCGCCAACACGCCGTTGACGGCGGCGTCTTTCCCATACCCTTTGGTAAGTGCCCACTGGCCGGCGACGTTGTCGATGAAGGCCAGCCACCTCTGGGGCAGACGACGGGAAAGAGTGACCATCGCCAGGATCTGCGCGACGATCTCGAGAACGTAGATAAAGGCCCGGCGGGAGGCAAACAGTTCCAAGAACTCCGCCGGGACGGTGCCGCAGTCGTAGAACACCTGGGTGCCGATGCGGACGACGAAGCCCCAGCCGTTCCGGCCGCGGGTCCCCGGGCGGATGCCGACCTCCGCCGGGATGTGACCTGCCTTGTGTTTCACCTCGCCGGGCTGGTAGAAGGCGTCGGCATAGATGATGGCCGCCGGGGCGCCGTCGTCGATGATGGGCACCCTCCTTGGCCGGATATCCGCCAGCAATGCCCTGAGGGAGGTCAGGGCGGCCCGGAGTCCCACCGACAGTGAGGACGACGAGGTGGCGGCCGCGTCGTGTGCCCGTGAGTAGACGGGCTGCAGAGCCGCCTTCCCCAAGGCGCCGAAGGTCGACTGGGTAATGAAGTTGAGCCTGCCCGCCAGGCGGTTGGCGGCGTCCGGCGCCAGCTCGTCATTGGCCAGCGCCGTGTCGATGGTCGCCAGGACCTTCTTGAGGCGCTTCTCCGTCGGCTGCAGAACCACCGCGTCCGACTCGACGGAGACGAGGACCCCCTGGACGGTCTGCTGGGCCGCCGGGGGCTGTGCCTTGGACGGCTTGGTCTGAAGACCGACGAGCTCGAAGAACTCCGCCATCGCGTCGAAGGCCGACTGCGCCGAGTCCTCCAGGTCAATGCCGTTGAAGTCGTCGACGAAGTGGCCGGCGAGGATCCAGAGGATCACCCGCTGGATGGCCTGGAGGGCGTCGGCTGTCCGGTTGAAATGCCAGACCGACGCTGCGGCGCCGAAGCACATCGCCATATGAAACCATAGGGACACGCCGGCGGGACCGGGGATGAAGGTCCCCGAGTGCGACGGATGCTTCACCGGCCATTGCCGGTATGCGTTGAGGAGGTCGTGGCCGAAGATCCTCGCAGCCGTCGCCGGCCCGCCGGCCTGGTCCACCACCCTCCTGATCATATCCACGAAGTCGTCGACGAAGTGATGGGTCGGTACGTCGTGGGCGCGGATGGTGGAGTTGTGGCCCGACCGGCGCCAGTCCTCGGCCCCGCGGACCTTGACCCCGCCGTGCTCGTCCTCCTGGATGACGGGGAAGGACGCCGCCGCGAAGGCCTGGCCGGGCGGCGCTGCCACGAGGCGGTCCGCCCCAGGCCTGTCCAGAAGGGCCGTCGTACGAAGGTTCCACCCGTCGGGAGCCCGGGTTGGGCCGACGACTCTCCCGATGCGGGCCTCCTCGACGAGCTCGGCGAGGAGTGTGTCCGTGTGTTCCCCGGTCGCCGCCGAGGAAGAGCGTCGTTTGACGTACTCCCAGTTGACCGCCGCAAACTGTTCCACCGCCGCCGGGCTGGAATACTTCCCGTCGGTCCTGGTGCGCCAGCCGGGTCCGCGGCGGAGCTCGCCGAGCATCTCGAATCCGTCGGTCAAGTCCTCCTGGAGGCCTGCGACGTCGGGGTACCCGACGAGAGTGAGCAGGTTCAAGATGACGGGGATCTGCGTCGGTCGAGCCTTCCCCGGCGTGGTGTAGGTGGCCCTGACGGACGCCGAGCGGCGCTGCAGCCACTCCTGTGTGTGCTCGGCCATGTCCTCGACGAGGTCGGCGACGTCCTGGAGCACCTCGCACCGGATCCGGCTGAGGTCGTGCCGCCACGACCGCCAGAGCAGGAGAACTCTCTCGATGGCCGGTTCCAGGTCGGGCCGGCGGGTCACCGTGCAGTGCCGGAGCGCCGCCGCCATTTCCCAATGTAGGTCCGGGTCGTCGTCGGGCAGGTCGAGGTCGGGTCGGTGCCGGGGTGGTGGATCCATCGGCACCGGTCCTGCGCCGAACTGCTCCACCGCCCACTGGAGTGTCGACCGGCGGGGCTCGGGAACGGGAGTCGCCGAGGCCGACGCCGTGGCCGAGCAGACGACGATGATGGCGAGCAGGCGGCGGGCCACGCCCCAGTGCCAGCCGTTCGCCAGGACCCTGTGGCGGGCTGTGTCGTCGACGAAGTCCGCCTGGGTATACTTGTCGGTAGGTGATGCAGCCGCTCCTTGACTCCCGCCGGAATGCATTGAAGGCGGCCCGCCGAATCATGCATCATCGCCTCTTCGGCGTAGTGCCATGGGGCGAAGCGGCGGCCGTCGGCTGCCCAGCGAGCCTTCGCCGGTTCGGGGAGCTTTTGGCGGACCCTCTTGGGCGGCGGTCTCCCTCCGGCTTCCTCCGCCGGGGTCGTGGAGCACGGCAGCCGAATACGACCGGACTCGACGGACTGGTGGAACGACAAGCCGCCCTCGGTGAGCTCCTCCGACGGCTGTCTGGTCGCGTCGAGTCGGAGGCGGCGGTAAGAGCCGTGCTTGGCCCAGACCAGCGGCAGGCCCGTCGCCGGGTCGACCTGTGTCGATTCCAGGTCCGCCGAAAGCCACCACAGGCGCGGCCTGGATATCCACTTGACGCCGAGGGACTCGCTGACCTTGGCGGCGTCGGCGGGCTCCATGATGACGTTCTCAAAGAGGAACGCCACCCGACGGCGGAGAGCTTCCCGACGATCTGGTGGAAGAGATCGACGGTCAGAAGGAATAGGCTCCCCCTCTCGCCGGAGTGACCCGACGCCGGGCCGATCCGGGAAAAATCTTGACAGGGGGGAGCGGCGGTGACCACGATGATGCACTCTCCGTCGGGGTCGGCCTTCCGCACTGCTGCCGCGACGGAGCCCGGGGACTCGGCGGTCACGTCGCCTCTGTGAACTAGCCACGGCAGACGGACTGACGCCAGCCGTCGGCAGGTCGCGTCGGTCTCCCACGCCATGGCAAGGACGGGCTGGCCAAATAAGTTCTCCACCAGCGCCGGAGCCAGCCGTTCGTCCCGCGGGGCATTTGGGCCGTCGTCGACGGCCTCGACGCCATCCGCTGGGCCTGGGTCTTGACCGGCGTGGGCACCGAAGCCGGCGTCATCCGCTACATCGAGTGGTGGACGACCAAGGCCCGCCTCCACTCGAACCGGCTCGAGGCCGTCGTGTCCTACTGGGACGCCACGGCGCATCAATTGGCGATGTCGATGCGTCTGTCCAGGACTGAAGAGGTCACCTCGGCGATCATGGCGGACCAGGCCGCCTTCAATGAGGCACTCCAGACCGCCGTCAAGCCCGGCCCGCCGCGGAAGCCGACGGGGGCCCCCAACGGAGGACAGCCTCACCATCCGCCGGAGGATGATCAGACGGCGGAGCCCCCGCGCAAGGGGAAGGGTCGCGGCCGCCCCGTCGCCGCCCCAGAAAGCAGCGACGCCAGGAGCAGGACTGGGAGGACGACGCCGCCGCCAAGGACTGGCGCCGAGATCAGTACGACGACCGGCGCTGGAAGCAGACCGGCCGCGACGACGGCAAAGACCAGCCCTGGCGCCAGTCCTGGGGCCGTGGCCGCCAGGACCAGTGGGACCACGACGACCGCCGCGGTGGGAAGGACCGCCGCAAGCGCCGACGCTAGGGACAGCGCGGGGCCTCGCCCGGCTCGGACAGCGAGGGCGAGGTACCCGGGAGCCAAGCGGCTCGTCTCGTCGTCCGGCCGGCCCTCAAGCGCACCCGGCGTGCGCACAAGATTATTCTCCTGTCGTTTTTCGACGGTATCGGCGCGGCTGGCCGCCGTCGACGAACTTGATGTTCTGTGTCGCGCCGGTGCCGCGACGGCTGGTTAGTGGGTTCACCACGCCGAGGGACGACCAAGTCCGGGTCGCCAGGATCTCGCCGAGGCCGAGCGGCGTGTAGAGCTTGGATTTGGTGTGCTCCCAGTGGATCCTCGCCAGCACTTCTTCGGCGCCGACGAGGCGCTCCGCCGGAAAGGATCGCGGCTCCCCGCCGAGCTGCACGGCGTTGTACCGGGCGACGAGGTCGGTCCACTCCGGGAAAGTCCTCGGCGGCTTCTCCCCGGCCAGTGTCGGCAGCGCCGGTGGCGGCGGCGTGGCCGTCGCCGGGGCGGGCGGCGGGGCTGAGAACTCGTTCCACTGACGACGGGCCTCCGACCACATATGCCGGATAATGGCTCGGACGACGGGCTGCTCCGCCGGCGCCGCCCGGTAGGTCTTCCCGGCGATCTCGTCCCCGTCGCGGAAGGGTTGGAAGACCCGAGCGTCGACGTCGGACCACTCGTCGGCGACCAAGGCGAGGGTCGCCGTGCGGTTCAAGGACCGAGCCCTGAGGTACTCGACGAGGTCCGGGCCAGCCCCCGCCGATGTGGCCAAGTCGTCGAAGTCGGTCAAGGCGTCGGCGACGAGGTGAGGGCCGTGAGCCATGATAACCAGGTACCGGCGGAGAAGACGGGCGGTGCGGTCACGAGAGGAAAAGGGCTGCGGCGTGCCACGACATGCAGGTGCAGCACGGCGGGCCGGGCACACAAAAGAAGCACTCTCCTTTTCAGCTGGACGACGAGGAGTCGCCGGATCCAGAGCTAGAGGCTACTGGCGAGGCCGCCTCCTCCGTCGGCGACCCTTCTCCGTCGGCCGACGACGTCTTCGGGAAGCACCTAAGGCACTTGGCCGCTCCCACCGGCAGCTCCGTGATCCTGTAAAAACTACGGACGCCGTAGGGCCAAGAGCAACCCTTAGCCTTCCACAAAAAGCGGTCCGACGAAGCTTCCGCCGGATCGGGGGCATGCGCCCTCTTCTGCCGCTCATTGTAAATGAGGTGCTCCGGCGGTGCGACGGCGACCTCCCTGACCGTCTCGGGCCTGACGGGACCAGGCTCGAACGTCACCGTCGGCGAGTGCTCCTCCCCCGGCTGCTGCCCCTTCTCTGCGGGGTCGCCGTCGGCCAGCGCTAGCGGAGGTCTGGAGCTCGATGCCGCGGCGGCCCCCGTTGACGAGACGGCGGCGCCATAGGCCGGCCTGACGCTGACGATCTCGACCTCGTCGATGTGGCGGGGCACGTCGGGGGCGAGCGCCAGAGGAGCCGCCTGCACATACCTCTCGACGGCTGCCGAGGACCACCTGCCGAGCAGCTGTATGATGGGTGTGTTCACACCCTTCGACGCCAACCAGGCCGCGCCGGCAACGCGTGCCAGGTGGCCGTTGAATAGCTGGACGGTGGCGCCGGTGTGGTCGGTGGTGGTCAGCTGGATCCCCGCCGCCAGGAGGACTCGACGGAAGAAGAGTATGGCCGCCGACTTCTCCCACGTCTCGCCGGTCCCGTCGGGAAAGAGGGGTGCCCCTCGCACCCAGCGGCCGGCCCGCCGCAGACGGGACACGTGGCGGAGTGCCGCGTGATATGGGCACAGTGGCGCCACGACGGCCCCGCACGCGCACCGGAGCTGGCGCATGGTCAGCTCGACCTCGCCGCCGGTGGCCGTCTTGTGCAGGGGAAGCCGGAGGGCGACGGTGCCGTCGGCGACGTCGATGTCCTGCGTGCGGGCCGCCGAGAACTCGATCTCGCGGAGCATGAACCACACCGCCAGGATGAGAGCGTCGACGGCGTGGGCCGTGACCCAGGGGCTCCACTCGCCGGACCCCGGCGGATCTACCCGCACGACCAGGGCGACCAGGCTGTCGACGGAGAAGATTGCCTTCAGCTTCGATCCCGGCATGCCCCGAACGACGGCCTTTGAGTACCTCCTCATGGCTCGTCGGATAAGGGGGTCGACGGCCTCGCCGCGGAACTGTTCCTGATAAGAAACGGCGGCATCGAAGTAATTCTGGACTGAGCGGTAGCCCCCTCGACGGAAGGATGCGGCCACCTTCCTGACCGCGTCCGCCGAGATGGGCCAAGGATCGACGGCCCAGGTCTCGCACGCTTCCACCCAGGAGCGAACCCTGGACTGAAACGGCGCCTGGGAGGACTTTGCCAGGATGTTCTCGTCGATCTCCGCCAGCGCCGCGGCCCGATTCTCCGGGAGGGCGGCTTCAAGGGCTGTGCGTTTGCACGCGCGGCGGACGTCCCTACGAGCCGGGATGTCCCGTCGCTTCTCCGCCGGCCGGTCGGATACCGTCGCCGGGGAAGGGATGGCCTGACTACCCGTCGCCGAGGCCGATGCGTGACCAGCGGCCGGGACGATCGCCGTCGCAGAGGTCCCGAGCGTGGGCCTCGCCGGGACGAGCTGCGTCGACGGGGCCGGTCCGGCGGACCGTGGCCCCTCGAGTGACCTGGCTGGTTCCACTGGTGGTCCCTCGACCTGCCGGGACCGCCACGATGCCAGGGACTCCAAGACAGTGGCCGGGACACCGCCGGCTACCAACGCCGAGGCCCGAGCCAAAGCCGACTCAACGTCCACAGCGCCGAGGGTCGGCAGGAGAGGCAGATGCTCGGGGGCCCCAAGCTCGACGAAGGCCCGGACGAGCTGGCCGAAGTCGGCCGCGTGACTGCCGCGGCGGGGCCCCATGACCGGGAGATGGGCCGAAAAGCGCGCCACCGACGGCGCCTCGAGCCAACCAGACCTCCTAAAGAAAAAGGTAAAAGAAAAAGGGGGAGAGCACGACGCACGACGAGGCAAGCAAGCAGCTGATCTCCGACGGCTTCCCTCTTTTCTTGCGCCGGCGGCGCGGGTACGGCTCTGATTCGGCCCTGGGCGATTACAACGCCGGGCAGAAAGGAAAACTAATTAAGACGTCGGGAGAGGCCCGCGAAGGCTTCACCGACGTGCCCCGTGAAAGCTTTAATTCCCACGTCGCCAGCGACAAGGCCGTCGGTGAGGTCGACCATGTAGAAGACGGCGACGGGGAAATAGCGACGGGGACGGCCGCCGACCTGGATCACCGATGCCGGGATTGCTCATGGCAGTCCTCGCACTCATGGTGGTCGTGGCGATCCAGGTCGACGGCCCCGCCGGCTCTGATCACCACCGGCCGGAGGCACCTGCCGGGAATGCCGCGGCAGAGACGGTTGGTGCACGGGTGGCCGCACCAGCCCGCACACCAAATTTCGCCGGGAATCTTCTCCGGTATGCGGCCTCCCCGGACGCCGTGCGGCAGAGCACGCAGCACGTAGTAGGCCGCTGCGGCCGACGCCGGTACCATGGCCGTTGTGCCGCCGCCGGCGTTGTGCTCGAGGTCCTCGAGGTGCTCCAGGTTGGCGACGGCGAGGGGCTGAAGGGATTCCGGCAGCTCCACGTCGGTCCTGGCGCCCACCAAGTTGACGGCGGCGACGTGGTCGCGCCATGCCGCTGAGCACAACATCCGACGGATGTGCACGACCTGCCGGTACTCGCGCTTGTGCCGGTCGAACTCGGCGGCTGGGGCCCCGTCACGCGGCCGCCGGGGCAGCATTGGGAAGCCGGCGCCGGTGACCGGATCCGCGTCGGGATACATCTCCTGCGGCGTTGGTGTACGTGCCCTGCGAGATGCTCCCGACGGTGCCGCCGATGACGGCGGTGGCGCCGGAGCTGCCGGCATAGCCTTCACCTGTGGCGCGACGGTGCCCGTCTGCCTCGACTCCTCCGCAAACTGCTGACGGAGCTCCTCAGCGATGCGGGCCTGGTAGTCGGCGGGCTGGGGCACCGGCGGAGTAGCCGGCGGCGCCGCCGGGATCACCGTGGCCGGAGTGATGCGGTCCGGCAGCACCGTCGAGTAACGCCGGTAGAAGGCGTCAGCCGACGGTATGTTGTGGTTGTAGGCCAGCACCGCGTCGGCACGACAGAGGAACCCAAGCTGGTCCCAGAGCTGCGGCGGGCTGCCTTTGGGCACCGACGGAGCCGGTCGGGTGGGCTTTTGAGGATACCCACCCGACGGCATTCCTGCCGGTGGAAGATCTGCCGGGGACGCCGCCACTCCTGGAACCCCCGCCTGCGCCGGAGGAGGCGCTTGCTGACGGTCGACGGGGGGTTCCGGGTGGGGGTCCGACGGCGACGAAGTAGCCATTCCTGCTCCCGTCGACGAGCTCGACGGCAAACCTCTCGAAGAATCGCCGTACACGACGGGTCCAGGTGCCGCGCCGGGACTATTGATAGCCTCGACGAGCGCACGCCTCTCCAACCCACTCCATTCGGAGAAAAGTTGGGAGAGGTCGTCGCCGGAGGCGACGGCACGGCGGACCATGTCGAGGGCGGCGACCACGTCGGCGGACTGGTAAGTCATGGCGACGAGAGGATCTACCGGAAGCTGAAAATCGTCGGGGGACGTGGAGCAGGAAAGCGGCTGCAGCATCCACGTCGATTCGACGGTTGTCCCTACGCACATGAATGTGCTACACCACAACATACGAATGCACACAATGTCTAAGCAGAATTCTTCGAAACTTTTGCCCGAGGCACAAAACCGTGCAGAACAACAGAAATGAACACTTCTTCCCACGAAACTATCGAAACATGCAGCAAACAACATGTGAGAGCATGGGGCGAGGGTGAGATGTGTCAAGCGACTTAGGGGGATGCCTCAAACCGTGAGAGCCCTGTACCTCTACCGACACGTTGTTTTTCCGATCATGTGTACTACCGACACATAAACGAAGCTGACTTTAACGTTCGAGCTGCTGATGCACTTGCAGCGGTGCTTTCTGCCATGATTGCATTTTGAACAACACCCCATATCAGTCGAGCATATGTGGCACATGTCGCAGCCATAGCTTGATCGAAGGATAAGAGTTCATTTTAGCCTTCCGTGGCGCTAGAGCACAAGTTCAGGTGGTCGGGGGCAACCAGGCCACCCTGTGGCACCACTTCCCGAGCTCCTCAACGGAATCAGTAAACCCAACCACTGCTCTGAAGAGGCCCTCAACTGAAGACACGAAGTGCGAGCTGCATTAAACCGGTAAAGCTTTTGGGACCCAAGGACGTGCAACGTCGTCCGCACCGCCGTGAGAGCGGAAAGCTTGCTCTCATCCACTCGACCTCCCAGAGTACGAGAGTCTTTGCTGTTGCGAGATCTCAGAGTGCAAAGCATTTAAGGCAGGACACCTTCTTCAGCGAGCCACAGCTCCGCAGGAACCTCCATTTCTGATCTGTTGAGCGCGACTTCGATTCGCACCTTGGAATCATGAATCCTACCAGTGAAAGGGGCTCAAACAAGCAAGCAAAGATCAAGTGCAGCCTAGCGGAACATCAACATCGTCCGTTGAGACGTGGGGCCAAGTAGTCTGAGTCATCGGGCATCTTTCGCAACCTGTATCGCACGGCAAATGTCGCCAAACTTCAACTCCAATCACGCCAAAAAGTGTATGCAGGCATGCAGCCACTGCAGCATTTCAAAAGAGGTCAGCATGCTTGTCATCATGGCCTCTGCCGCAGCAAAGACCAACCAGTACACTCAGTACAGCACACAGAGATCGAACCCTGAGAAACTTCCGAGCCTCAGGATGGATCAGAAGCCGAGCATCAATCTGTGCCGTCAATGCTCCGATCGCACCCTTCGTGATGCAAGGGGGATGCTCGCCATCAAACGTGCGCGCAAGCTCGAGTCACAAACCCGGATCAGCGGACTGACGACTCCTAATGCGCCGCCCATCCTTCCAGGAAAGCCTCTCAAACAAACATCAGCCGGGTCACATGATTCTTCAGGGCCGTCGTTTCCCAGCTCTGAAAAGCCCCCTGAGCCACGCGACCGTGCACTTCTCTGCGGCTCCAAGTCGACTCAGAGTCAGTAGCCTGCAGCTGCACGAGAACATCCAGCACCTCATCTGCCTCCTGCGGCAAAGTTGCGGCGCGCAAGCGGGAAGCGGGAGGAGACTTGAATTGACAGATCGCTTGTTTTGGGGGCGAGGGCCGCGAGGGCGAGGCTCCTTCTGGCCCGTCTTCTCGTCCAGGAGCTTCTCCCGGAGTCCGGACAGCGTCTTCTGTAGCGCGCTGTGGGATTGCTTCACCGAGAGGCTGTGCCAAAGCTTCCGGGCCAGTTCTGCGGCTGCCGCCTCCCATGCAAGTCCAACATATACTTCCGTGACCTAGACTTAGATGCTCGATGCAGTCTCTTGTCCGCCGGAGGTGAGCTTTGAAGCACCTGCCTCCCACTCCGCGCTGGGATCTGAGGTATCCCATGCAACAATTTTGCCATCGCTGAGCTGGAGGGTGGATCCTGCAGTACGATGCACAGGAACGAGGGAAGCACGACTTCTAGTCCAAGCTCCCTCATACCTGATGTGTGGCTTTCTGTTGCGTGCTGATTTTGTGGATGGGTATGGATTTTGATGTCAGTTTAGAATCCATTTTAATACCCGCCCGGAGGACGGGCTGCTTCAGCCGGCGGCGTGACGTAAAGTCGATTTCAATACCCTGAATTGCCACTGCGTCTGTTGTGTCCAGGCACCGCAGGTGTAGTACAATCGATGTGAAATGATCCTGCTGCTTCCGGACAGACATGAAGTACATCTGAGTTTATGTGTTTTTCCGGCGCCGAGGATGCGTTCCAGAAAGCACTTCAGGGCTCCAGAGAAATCCTGGCAGCATGACTTAAACTCGATTTTAATTTTATTTGACACCGAATCCAGTGATATTCCTGACCTTAGTTGCCCCTGCTGTGCTCGTAGCAGCGATTCTGTATTACACTGATGGGTAAGCCTGTAACCGCCATCAGCCGCAGTTCTTCAGCGTCCTGCAGCCTGTCAACACGACAATTCCACACGCTGGATGTGTTCTTCTATAGTCCTTCTCCAGTCATGCACCGACATGATTTTCGAACGCTGCCCACCGCTCGCGACTCGCTGCGCCTTCCAAGGACGGGCTCGAGGGCGGGCAAAGGCAACTCAGAGGCCTCAGTGGCCAAAGGCAGGCGCAGCGGGCTTTGCACTCCGGCGCCGTCAAGGAAGAAACAAACGACTCTCCTCCCTGTGGCCCGTGGCCCCCACCTCGGGTGCCTGTAAGGAGCTATAGAAGCCGGCCCAAGCGATCGCAGAAAGCCTTACGCAAGGCCCCAGAGTCAGAGAGCACGCATTTCCGCACACCTCCAAACTTCACCCTGGCATGCCTAGCAGCTGCAGTTCTGCAGGCTCGAATCGGCCGGCACCGCAGCCCTCGTGCCACCACAGTGCCTCGAAGAATCAAGCTACTGGAAGCGACTATCTTTACAAAATCCGCGCCAAAGGGAGTCATCGTTTCCAGAATTGCTCGAGTCACTCCCAGGCGCCCCCACTCGGAAGGCAGAAGACTTGCCCAGCAAGGAGAGAGCAGGACTAACGACCAGGAGCGTGGAAGGTACCTTCACAGAGCGGTTACGGTTTAATTAGCTCTGCGACTTGAGAACCGTCAGAGCGCAGCTCGCCCACCCCGCCTGCGAGAATGCCGGTGAAGCTCCTCCTGTACAGAAAGGAAGGCTGCACCACGGATTCTCTTCTCGAGATCACGCCACCATGCTCTTCGAGGCAGCTTAACCCGTTGAAACACCCGTAAGACTTACAACGTAAGACAATGCCAGCCTCGGATGCTATCAGCCTACGCGACCTCCTTACCTGACGTCATCCCAATCGTTACTCATTCTGCAGCTTGTGAGCTGGATGTATAACGCTGGGGCAATGTTCAAGGAACAATAGAGGGCCGGCGCTTCTTTCGTGTCTTCCCAAACCCATACACGTCACCAAGCTCTCCTTGCAGCCCAGCGATGGCGGAGGCTGCCGGCAGATCTGGCCAAGCCTGCACACATGCTAGGCATTGCATGCATTGCTCGTCGCTCAGACGCCGAAAATGGAGAACACTCGACTTTTGAGGACATGCCTCTGCCACTTGGCCCACTGCCATCAACAGGTGCGTGTCGTTTGGCCAAAGTGCCTTGCAGCTCGCCACCTCTGCAGCCGCAATCCTATTGAGAAAGCTGTGCTGGCAATAGTCACAATTGTCGACCAGTTGAGCGTGTGTGTCTCTGTGTCTGTGCAGGGCCCAGCCACCAGGCCCTGCAGTACCACGTTGGCTTCCACCAGCCTCTCGTGCCAAGTCCCTCGGCTGAACTCTCGAAAAACCGTTGCCCACGTTCTTTTCGGTGCTTGGGACAGGTGGCGTAGAGCATCTGCACCCTCCTGATGCCCTGCCATTTCCTCACGGTGTTTGCAACGGTAAGTGCGGCTGCAACAGCAATGCACTTCCCGCAGGTCGCTGTCCAGCGCGTCGCCAGCACTGGAGACGAGACTGGACACCGAACTCACCTTGGCAAGCGGACGGCATAGATGGCACAGTTGGAACATACGCATGAAAGAGCTTTGCGGATCTTTGCGGGAGAAAACCTCTGAGATCTCTACCGGCAGCGTGCCTGCCTGTGCCGCTTCTGCCAGAAGGGCCAGGCCACCGCGGGCCTCACACCCCGCGAAGCAATGCCCCCGCACAGATAAGTTCAAGTTCGATTCCGGTGTAGCACCTCAGTGAAAATGATAGCACCCTGACCAAACCATACCAAACCTCTTATGCAGGTCATGCGCACAAGCTCGTGATACTTTGGGGATGGAACGGGCTCGGTGCATTTCTGGAGGCGTCCGCGCAGCTCGGCTGGAAGATGCTCCTCGCAAGGAGGCAAGACTCGTCTCTGACAGGACTGAAGCCAAGCCTGTAATCGTTCTGTCTGCCCATGCGTGCTTCATGACCGGCACAGTGACGCGACAATGAAGACGACAGGATGACCAGCGCACCGAAAGGGGAGGGACAAGACCTCTGTGACGAACACAGCTGCTCCCATTTTGCTCACAACATGCCGCCAGTCAAGATCCTCCACACAATCCTTTCTTCTCACAGCTGAGCTGTTGTGGCGTGCATAATACCTCATGCAGATGCCTTCCTGACTCAGCTGACTACACCGGATGCCAAATTCGTCTGACAGATTCCACAGAACCTCCCCCAACGTCAACGGCAGTTTCACGCCACGTCCACGTAAATACCGGCTGTTACCCGTTCCACAACTGAGCGGCACATCGGACACTTCCTTCCAACGGGAATCTTGCCTTTGCACTGATCGCACACGGTGTGGCCACAAGGGGCGAGTGCCACAAGAGCTTTGTCACCAAGGCAGATGGGGCATTGCCCGCGAAGCCCACCCGGTGCACTCTCATCCTTCACCCATGACGCCTGAACTGAAAGACGGAAAATCATGCCCTTTACCAAAGCTTCCACCTGTACTTCGGACGCAACAAAGCCATGAGCATCCAGGCTGCGCTTCAGTTCCTGCGCGGCCTTCTTGGCACCCTCATGTGTCTGAGCTGGTGCGAAAATCTTCAATCTCGTAGTGGTCTCGAAGCCCTGGCTGTCTCTGACCCGCTTCTGGCATGCCTTGGCAAACCTCTCCGTTTCGCGAGCGCTCCAGGTCTTCCTGGCTGCTGTGGCATCTTTACAGAGCTGGCTGGCCAGGGTCATCGAATCGGGCAGAGTGTCTTGAAACCTTCTACAGCAGCCCGCACCTACTGCGGCTCAAGAATGTTCTGCTTGAGCCGATTCACGACAAGGGTTGACAACAGCACTGTGCCCTCCTTCCGAAAGCTGGCCCCAAAAGCCTGCACGCCGTCGAACCAGCGCAGCACACATCCCCAGGACAGCCTGAGAAGCTTGACTTGAGAGACTTCGGCTGTTCCTAATCAAGCGGCCCGTCTTTTGCGGACCAGGCAGTTTCTAGTTACGCTGCGCTTGGCCGCTTGGCACCGGACAAGTCTGCTCGAAGCACGTCCTGCGAAACCAGCGTCTGCAAATCAAACGATGAATAGTGGCGATCCTGTGCTTAGCCTTGGCGCGATACATAGAAAGGTCCAACTCAGCTGCTAAAATGTCAAAGGTATGGTCACACGATCCAGCGCCCACCACAGTTGCCAGACGACAAACGTGCCCTCAGAATTCCCTGCAGATTCTGCCATTCTGCAACGATTTTTTTGGAAGTCAAAACAGCACTATCACAAAATGGCATCGTGCTCCCAAGGACTCGCTCATCTGCTTGAACTGTGTTACTATGTGTGCGACCTACATGAGATGTGCGACAAAGCCTTGCAAAGGAACCGTCTCAAGTCCTGCAGTTCCGACAGTGGCTTCTTCGGCCCCTTTCCCTTTCCCTGGCAGGCAGTCAGACAACATGATCAGCATTGATCCTCGCTGACAGATAAGTGCAGCCTGCTTGACTATGGAGTGTCCGTCTCCTAAATCCGAACAAAACGAACCTGAGACGGCCGTGGCCATCCGCATCCATTGATTGGTTTAAACTCAACCAAACAGGGCGACGAGGGCCTTGTCTGCCTCTTTGGCCTTCTCTTTCCTTGACGGCTCCAAGGCGTTCTGGTCAGGAGCAGAGGCGCTGATGATCAGGGACAGAGAATCGCGAGCAGGCAGTCCAGGGAGTGCCTCCAAAACCACAGCCACAAGCTCGGCCTGGGACAGGGGACAAGCACAAAGGGAAACACACAGGTCAAGATATGAGATATGTCAAGCTGTTGCAGTCCCGGCCTTCAAGCCTCCGCGTGTATCTGCAGGCACCTGAATTACCAGGAGCTACTATGAGCCCTCATGTGAGGACGGACATCTCACCGACAAAAGAGAAAGCCTTTTGGACGAAGAGGCATTCCCAGCAACGTGAGTTTCAGGCAAGGCCAGCTGGGAATTGACGGGGCATTCGTTCAGGTAATCTTGCGCCTTCTCCACTCTCTCGCACCCTGAACTCCCCGTCGTCTTCTTAAGTACCCTTGCTGTCCCCCGTCGTCGTGTTGTGTTGTGCCGGTTGAAGCTTCTGGTCAGTCCCGCGGCTCGTGCGGAAGACCTGATCATGCAAAACGAGTTATCTACTCCGCCTTGCTTCTCGAAAGCAGAGGATTTTCGGAGGTCATTCTTGAGCAGATCCCCTGAGCCAAAAGCACACTTGTGTACACTCTTGTTGTCTAGTCTGTCGTTTCCTTGCTATGCCACGGCCAGAGCCCGTTTGCAGGAAGGGCAGCTTCAAAGCTGCTTGCGACTTCTTGGTCTCGCAGGCCCGAAGTCACATGAGGAGAGATTGGAAACCTGTTGTGACACCTGTGTTTCCTAGATCTACTTATTAACTTATTACTTAAGCTCGTGAGTGCTGACCTATTCTGTCTACTCCTGCTGCTGCCAATCTTACAGCTGTTTGCAGGTTGGACCTGCAACGAAACAATCTGTGTGAGTTTTCGAAGACAGCAAACTCAACGAATCCCAGAATTTTTGCCTATCTCCACAGACAATGCCACAATGCTTGCAAGCACCACAAACAGAAAGCTTGGAGCGCGCAAGGCCCTGGTCCAGAACCTCTCCGAAACCGGGGCCGAAAGCGAAAGAAAGTACTCCTAGAATGATGCGCTTGCGGGCTTCAAGCTCAAGAGGACTCGGGCTGGGAGCCACGGGCCTTCGAAGAACTGCAAAAAGAAGGAAGTACGTGTCTATCGATCCTCTGCAAGCCCAACAATAGCAACTACCGCATCAAGCGGCTCAAGTGCTGGTTGGATCACATTGTTTGCCGTCATGGCATCACGTCTGCGGTTCTGAGACAGCTTGGGCCAAAGTCGAAACCCTGCAGCACGAGCAGGATGCCCCAACCCCAAGCTTCATTGCACCTCGGAGGCCTCTCTGTCAATGCGTAGGCCCAGGGCCTGCAAAGCTTGCACTCTTGGGCCAAGCAAGCGACACCGAACGCGCAGAGGTCGCCTCCAAAGATCGGCGCATCGGCAGGTCCACGGCAAGAACACCTCATAGCAAAGAGGGCTTCAAGACATCTCCTCACCTCACATAACGACAGGTGCTCAATCCACAGCAGCCTCCCTGGCACTTACAACTGCACAGCCTGCCACGATGCCTGTCGAGTCCTAGAGTCCTAGAGAGAAGATAAGTCCAGCCAGTCCTTATAGCTTTTGGATGTCTTGACGGTGTCTACACTCGCCCTTTGCTAGGGCCCGGGCGCAGGGCCTTCGTGAGCAAGCGGCGGAGTGCAGGACCCAGCGTGTCTGCCACAGCGGCACTGCGCTGCAGGGCCCAGTACTTGGAGTCCTCGGCTGCAGGGCAGGGGCCAGAATTCCACGCGGCATGGAGAGCATGCGGCGCAATGCGGGAAATACACGTCTTTGTCTAAGTTTAGGTTGCTCGCAGACACATCATGAGGGCAGGGGTGCGGCCCGCATCTGCTTCGTTGGCCATACAATCCCACATGTTGCTGCTGGTAGGATAGAGAAGGGACAGAAGTCAGAAGCCGTCGCCCAAAGGAGCCTGCCGGTTGGGACACCTTCTCGGTTTGAGCCAGATGCCTCATGCCTTGCAGCAACGCTGGCACCTGCTACAAGTATCTTCCGAAACGAGTGGACCGCGACCGTGCTCCGCACCAACTGTTCAGGTTAGGAGCTGGGCTGTCCCCAATGAGGTGCTCCAGGAGAAGCTCCTTCGGTGGCCGGGACGCTGATGCTTGCTGCATGCTCTACAAGACCTATGCATATGATTTCAACTAGCCAGCCCGAAGCCCGCAGCCGCGCCAAATACGGCATCGACGATAGCACTCCCACAGCTTGTCCGCGAATTTTGGGCACTCCGTCCCAACAACGTGTCAGCATGTCGAAATTCATGTGCCATGCTGTGCGAAACCCACCCCAAGGGCCGACTAATTGGCACTGGAAGCTGCGAACTTGGGCGGTCCTCCACAAGCCAAGGCAAGCTGTTGGTTCGCTGCTCTTCGCACGGCTCGAGCTCCAGGCCCCTGAGTCGAGCGCTCTGCGTGCATTTGCTCTTGGCTTCCTTACAGCACGTTCCTTGCCTACTACCCGTCACTTGGCTGCACTCGCAGTGACGGAATAGTCCCTTCAATTCCCAACATCAGCCGAGGGTCAGAGACTGCAGGATGCCTGACAACCTTCGTTTGCAACACTCTCTCCGACAGTGTGCCTATGCATCCTACTGTAGTCACCCACACAGTCGATCGTCCCACCGTGTCCCACCTGAAACTCAAACACCTCGCACTGAGAAACAAAGAAGGGCGTGCCGAATCTCGACGCCATCTCAAGTCCGAACAGTCTGGGAATCAGCGTTCGTGCAAGGCTCGTGGCAAAGCTTGGTTTCTACAATCTGGCGGCAGTGCTCGCGAGAAGCCCTGAACTGTGTTCTGAATCGGACCACGGCACCAGTCGGTAAAAGCGCGTGCAATCTCCTCATCGCTTGCATTCCGCTCCTGTAGCTCCTGTCATCCAAATTCGGCACATCACAGATCTGTAGAACCCTCACAGGCAGACCGCACGGCTGCAGGCCTGAGCCTAGGGCCTCGAGCTAGGGACAGCAAACCTCAAGAAGTCCTCGCCTTCGCAATCTTGGAAAAGGAGCTCCGGACCTGAGGGCCCCAGAGATCGAGAGAACTCTTCTGCATAGGCTTTGTGCCTCTGCACCTGCCTCTGTGGACACTCCGGCCACAGCTGGGCCATTTCGATATGACCGTTGCCAACGGTTGTGTTTGGAAAGATTCCGCGCTTGCCCACACTTGGTCTTCCGCTGCGATGCATGATGAACTACTCAGCTGCCGAATCCTGTCATGCGCATGTCATTCCGGTTGACGTTTGTTCTGTGTGCACACAGGCACATGCACAACAGATACGAAGAGAAAACGGATTTACCTACTCCGAGATCCTGGCATAGCGTCGTAAAGCCCATCGGACCATCGCCAGATGCAGAGGGCGTGAGTCCGGGAAGCCTTGGTGTGCAGTTTCAACACAAGCACACATGGCAGAAAGGGACCAGCAGCCCTGTTGAGAAAGGATATGCAAGTGGTCTTCGAGAGTGACAGTGGAAGCGGGAGTGGGAGCAAGGGTGGGGGTGAGAGTCAGAGTGAGACTTGGAGTTGGAATGAATGGGAGTGGAAGGGGGTGGAAGTGAGAGTGGGAGCGAGGCACTCCAGCACCTGCTGAAACATCTGCGTTTCCAATCCTCCATGTGCTCTCCCATCGCAGGGGATACAGACATGCATGCTTGTACTTCGCTTGAGCTCGAAATGCTTTAAAAAACAAATCGTGCCATCTCCATCCAATCCTGAAGCCTTTTGCAATGAAGCCTACTTCCGTCTGAAAAGCCTGCCCCAGACCACAAGATGCCAAAACCAATCCATGGAAGCAAATCGACAAGAGCCGGGGGGCAGCGCCGCAACATGTCAAAAAGGCCCACGAGCTGCGGCGAAAATCCCACCTCTGAACTCTGAGCTCTCGAGGGGTTCTACGTCACGGCTCCAGCCCAATCTAGCCGCTGGCCTGTCGCGAGAACCAGGGTCCATCAACAGCGGCGACAGCGGCGGTCTCCGAAAGGAAGTTGCTGCCTGTCAAAGCCAAAACCAAACAAAACAACGACAAACGAAAAACAAACCCTTTCTTGCAATCACTTGCACAGGGGACCTGCCAACTGTTGCAGCGCCTCCAAGTCTGCAGCCAGATACTTTAATGCCCTAAGCACAGGGGCAGGGGCAGGCCCATCACATACCACACATTTCCCCACATGATTGCTATCTGAGTACTGGTGCACATATCAATGTCCAATTGTCGGGTTGCAGCGGCCCTGCAAATGCTTTTGGAGCAGGAACTGTAGTGGGGTGCTGTTCTGCATCAAAGCGACTGGACCATGGGAGGCCAGTGGTATTTCTCCAGCTTCCTGTGCAAGGCCTGCGGAGACAGATCCGAAGAAAAAAGTCCTCACCGTTTGCTGTTGTCACACTTGGAGTATTCAAGCACCGAACATGTTGCACACTTAGCGAAACACCTCAGAAAGGCTATGACTCTCAACCCAGCGCTGACCTTAAAGACAGCTTCAACGCAAAGGCACATGCCAGTTCCCAGAGTTCCCAGAGCATCCCGCCTGTGCCACACCTGACGAGAACTTCCTGCAAGAAGGGCGGTTTGACGGCGATATGCTACGGCAAGTTCATACTCTAGGCAGAACTGTCAAATGCAGCGAACCAAAACGAAAGCAACGAATCCTTCCTGTTCTTCCTTTCGTTCATCCCTGCACTGCCTGGGCAACACCTTCAGCGCAGCGGCCATGCTCGGGGCCATGGTCACGAGCGCGGCAATGCTTTCGCACGAAGCCTTCAGAGGTTCGCAGCGTGATTCCAGGCTGCACCAGAAATTTGTCCGTTCTCCGGCAGGCCGCAGCTGTACAGTGGTGCTATATGGTGCAGTTATCAGTCTCCGTCAGAGCAGCCTGCTTGTGTTGAGAACGACAGAATCCCGTGTTGGTCCTATCGTCTTGGCAGGGAGGCAGCAGCCAGGAGGGTCCTGCCTCCAGCCTGGAGAACGACCGAGCCGCTTCGATGTCGAAGCTTTCATCGCAGATCGCCCGCCTGCCATGTGCCGAGGCATGGGTTCCTTCACAGGGCACGGCAGGGAGCTGAGAAGCCGCACCTCGCGCAGGCGATGTCGGTGCAGGGCCCAGCCAGGACCTTCAGAACCTGGAGAATTTGAGAGACTTGGGAAGTAGCAGTCCAAAGTTCGCAACAGGGTGTTGCGAGACTTTGCCAAGTTGCAGCCTCGTTACTTGCTCCCAAGCCTCTCGAAGCTTGGCGTTTCTCTGCATTGCCAGCTGTGAGTGCCGCTCGACGCTTTCCGCTGCACGCGCCAACTCGGACTCCCTGAGCACCAAGATGGGATGGGTTTTTGCAGAGATGCTTTGCATTGGGCATCCCGTTGTCGCCTCAATGCCTGCGTAACGATCCTTCGCAGCCCACGCCCATCGGCGACCAGCAGAGATCCATCGCCTGAAGCTCAGTCCAAAAACACAGTCGCTGAAACTACACTACACGTTGGGGCCGCTGAGGGCCGCTGAGTCCCCCGCCCAGCACACACTGCTTCCCAGGGCCCGCGAGGCGCGCCTGACACAATCGAGAAACTCTGCGCCGCAAAAACACCTGACCTTGTGCAACGCCTCGGTCCCAAGGCCATCGACAGAGCCCCGCGAAGCGCCCTGCAGCCACGAGAAGGCAAGTGTTGCTTTCTCTCACTCCTCTTGACTCTTGATGCACTAGCCTGGCCGGCCATGATACTCAGGCTCTTCTTTGCTTCCGTCCTGTCCTCGCAATTACAGCGGCTCACAGTCAGAGGCTGCTGCATGGGAAAAACGTATAGGATATGCAGAAAAGGCTCCCAGAAGCTGAGCGTGTAGCTCTTCTTTTTGCTGAGGACAAGGCCATCCGTCGAGCCATCAGGACTCCACCTCAGTTCAAGAGAGCGCCCAATCATCGACACAGGCTCCAGCTCCATCCCAGAAAAGCTGAGCATCAGACAGGTGTGTTAGACCAGTGATGCCTTGAATCTCGACGATGGTTTCAACGGCCCAGCTGCCACTGCTTTTCGAAACCCGGCAGACAGCCCTCGAGTGCCTTGGTAGGAGCGCAATCACAAACCAAAAGTGAACTCGCCTTAGGCCTTGCTTGCAGGCAAGACGCGCCAGCCAGGCAGAAGTCGGATCGCAAGCATCCGTCGCCAGGCAAGACTCCTCGGCATGTAGTTCTCTTTGCTTGCTTGTATTCTCCTGTCTTTGAAGATTGCTGCACATTGCTTGAGACTCGATGTTGCCACCTTTTCCTGTAGCAGCAGCTTATATGTTACTAGCAAACGTGCGCTGTCGTTTGTACTCATGCACGGCAATGTGCAACTGTGCCTAGTTATAGTTCATCCTAATTGGTTCTGTAGTGCGGTGGTTGGTGCACGGTGCTCCCACCAGCCCTCACACAAAACACCCGCAAAGGGTCCTATGGGACTTCCTAGAAAAGTACCCGCGCGATGCCCAACGCAATCAATGCCTGCCAACTTGTGCACATCCATTGTTGTGCATGCACTCTTGTCTCAACTTACTTGACCGTCCATTCTTGTGCACGCGTTCCTGGGAACGGCCTGCATGTGGGTTGAGTCCAACTTTGTGCCTGCATTCTGGGGTTCCTGACTTCTGCTTGAGCTATGAAGAATCTCAGAAGCCTAATCCTCTTTAGCTTGAAGCTGCATGACATCGGGTGGTCGCAGCAGCAGCAAGAGATATCAGCAGCAGTAGTGGCGTGTGATACATCGAAACGTTCCAACGGTGACAAACATGAAAAGACAAGGGCTACCAACCGCGATCAAGTCAAACAAGAAAATTAAGAGGGCCACGAAGCCATGCACAAAGCAAGGGAGGCGGATTGATAGAGAAGCCAGATGCTACGAGCAGTCGGGGGCCGGATAGGTAAAGCATCATCGGAAAACAAGCGGTCATCACACTCCCGGAACCTGCACCTGAAGTCTCTCTTGGTCCTGCATCTGTTGCTGCTGGCGACCGAGCGGTATAGTAATCGAATCGACCAAACCTGCAAAACAGAGCGGGAAGCGCAGTCACGGCCCGGGTCATGCCGGGCCCCAGCCCACGACGCGAGCCTTGTTCCAAAACGCGGACCGTCCCAGGATGGCCATCCTAAACAAAGGGCTTGATGGAGAGCTTGCAGCTGTTTAATCTTGACTCCGGCCCGAGCTGCTTCCGTGACGAGAATTGTGTCGCCAAGCGAGATCAGTGCACGTGGAGACGAGAAGGTAGCTGAAGCCACTGGCCCGTCCTTTTGACCTCTGGGAGATGTACAGAAGGTTCCTACATGTTCCAACCCTGCAGAGGTCTGAAAGGTGCCAGTTCACGCATGTTCACACGGCCTTTAGAGCCAGAGCCTGCCACTGCCTTCACCTCCAAAGTCTTGGAAACTCGGCCTGGGAGTATGCAATGCGACTGCAGAACGCAACTCTCCACTTCGCCAAGCCACGGATACGGTGGTTGGAAATGTCAGCCACGAGGAAGCTTCCATCCTCGCCTCGAGCTGCAACATGCAACAAGCTCGCCAGCCAACCTCAAGTTTGCACTTGCGCCCATTCCGAGGTGCATCCACAGAGTCCCAGGGCCAGCTGACCTCAGTCGCCAAAGACATCCTCCACGGGCTGCACGGTCCCTCCCTTCCGGGTTCAAGGCCGAAAAGAGCATCTTTGAGGGCACCGTCCACGCAGCCAACACTTGACTCCTGACAGCAGCGGCCAGCAGCGGCCAGGTCAGAATTAAAAAGAAGCGGCGATGCCTCGCATGTGCCCTTTTGACTTTCGAACACACGCTTCTCTCATGGACCGCGACGTGGCGATGACGGCACTATGAGTAAACACCTTCCCTTCGACCACCGAAGACAGCGCTTCCTGACACTCAAAAGCGAATCTCCAGCACCACTGCACCTACTTCAATGGCCTTCGCACAGGTCACCGAGACACACTGACTTGCATGTCTCGCTTCGTTTGGTGATGGAACGTGCTGCGAACTGATCAGTCGCGGGAGCCTCACTCACCACCACAGAACATTTGGGAGGTGACCCACTGCAGTTCTCCAGCAGGTACAGATAACCTGCAAGAATCGGGAGACAGGAGAATGCTGAGCAATCTTGCACGTCCAGACTTGGAACAGACTTCTACCTCCGATCCTGTATCTGCCAAACTGATGTTGTGCGAAAGAGCTTTCAGACAGCAATCATGTAGTCGGGTCCAGCATCACATCTTACGAGCAGTGTAGACAGCATCCGGCCTTTTTTAGACTGCGTACTGCAAGCAGAGACCAAGAGCCTCTCGCCTGCTCTCCTGAGCTCCACATCGACTGATAAGACTATATGCTGCACTTGGGCGCAAGTGTCAGTGTGCCGCCGAAGTTCGCTATGTCTTGAACCTCCCCAGAAATCATGTCAGTTGCGATCTGCAATGTCGACACAGAAGCGACCGTTGAGGACGTGGAAGGCATCTGCAGGTCAAAAGAAAAGCTTTCGTCCAGACGGGCCGCCATCAAACGAGCTCTCTTCGACCAGCCTCTTTCAAGGCTTGATGAATGCTCCGGGAGGTGGCCACTCGCTCCTGCAATCAACATGCGCTCTGGATTTGCTGCTGATAACACTGTCCCGGCCTTCTGTCGCACGTCCTCCTGCGTGACCCAGTTCATCGCCTCTGCAGCAGCACCCTGCCATTCCTGCAAGTGGCGCATTGTCATCATGCGTACAGTCACACCGCCTCTCCGGCGCAGCACTCTTTCACGGGCGCAGGCATCTTCCAGCCAACACGGCAAGAGAGAGACTGAGCTTGTGTTGGGAACATGAGTGGAATGGAGTGGGTTGACTTGGGTTTGCGATGGGGGCGTAGCGGTATAAGATGCAATCCAAGAACGCTCACTTAAAATGCCATCATAAAGCATGCGCCGAAGCAGAAGCAAGAAGTCGCTCTGGCGGCTCGTCCCAGCCTCGATTTTCGGCGCCACTCCCTCCAAGGACACCTCAGCACCGTGCAAGGCCGCCTCGGACAGGGATCAAAACCGCAGCCTGACGGCACAGTGCAAACTAAGTAAGCGCACCTTGGAGATCGCTTCGCTGGGACTCCGGGAGTGCATCTCCTGGACCAGCGCCTGTGCCTCGCGGACGCTTCGCAGCAGCTCATCGCCATGAACGGCGAGTCGGCCAGCAGTCTCTCGAAGATCTCGGACGGCATCTGCCCAGTTGGCTTGTAGCGCCGTCGCGGCTCGCAGCAAAACAGGCGGGCCCTTCGGCACCTGTTTGGGCTGGGGGGCCGCAGACAGAAGGACGACGTCCGTGACCTTCTTAGAACCACCCAAGGACGGCCACGCAAAGGGCGAAAGGCTTTCGTGAAATCGCGGTATGAGTGGCAAGAGCAGGTGGCCCCGGTAGCATGGCCAAAAGCTCCGCGACTCCGATAGGGCCAAAGCTGTCACGAAGGCGGTGATCTGCTCCAAAAGCCCCAGCCTCTCCACTGGGCTCATTGGCAGCCCGGTGAGCCACCTCACGCACACTTGCCGCTTTCCTAGGCAAGCACTCTCAGTTTCGCTAAGTGTCCGGCCAGCTTTGCAAACCTTTGGCAAAAGCCAGTAGCTTTTCCTCTCCTGGGCCGTCGCGAGCCTGCCACAGGATGTCGCACGAGGAAATCTGGATACCTTCAAGTCAAGACGCAAATTCACAGCTGCACCTCATCGAGATTCTTGTCCACGACAGGGGGGATGGCCGGAAATCTGTCCTGCAAACAATATATGCCCTGAGGCCCTGAGTCTGCGACAGAAGCAACAGCGGACACCGAGCAGAAGCGACAGTAAAGGTGCAGTGTGCAACGAGCACTGTGCACATGCGAAGGGTTGAAGATGTCACATCCCCCGAAGCCCCCGAAGCCCGGAGCAGGCCAGCAGAGACTCAAGGAGCTCCCAGCAGAAGTTTGGCACCGGATTGGCACCGTCCCTGAGGACTACCTGAGACTCGGAGCTCTCGACCGCTGCAAGATTAAGTTGATTTCCTTCGCTGACTATGCCCCTGTGCTCCGCATAACATGTGCTTCCCCTGCCTGCCCCAAGCAGGCCGCAGAAGCCACGACGTGCTCCTTGCCACCATCCTTCACGGATTAGCTTTGGCTCTGACGAGGTTCAGAGCTGAGCAGAAAATCACTTTGCCTCGAGGCTCTGCAAGGCACTCCCCAATGCCTGTAGCCAGAGCAGACCGAAAGGTGCTTCAAGCCTATAAGCCTAAGCCCAGTCATGCCCGCCTCGAGCAGCATACCGTTCGCATGAACCGGCAGCAACTGTTCTGTGAAGAACGTGAGAAGCGAAAAATGCAAGTAGCAGGCCTCTGTCTTGCGGGACCAAAGTCTGAGGACTGGTGGCTTGTCACGGTAATTGCTCCAATGCGCTGGCATGAAGCTACCCCACGATGCAACAGCAGTCTAGATGGATTCGAGTAGCAGCATAGATCGAGCGCCTGGGTATGGCGAATGTCAAAGTTTTGCGGTCGGAAACACATGCAGAAGAGTAGGAATACTGACAGACGACGCCAAGCTGCGTCACCCATTCTTGCAGTACTGCTGCAGCAGCTTGCTCATACCTAAGACTACGGCCACCGTACCAGAGGTGGCAACTGCCAACTATTGTACCGTCCTGCTTCGGTTGATATCTTGGGATCGATCTGTTCCGACTGCCAAGCTGCAACTCCAACATGCTCGCCCCCTGAGCTGGGCAGCCACTATTGCTCGCATAGCGCATATCCCAATAGCCCAGCAGCAGATCGCATGGCCAACAGAATCGTCACGCTCGAACTCCAGGGAAAAGCCTTCCCAGTGCTTCTGTCGAAACGGGCACGGTGTCCTTAAGCCCTGACTCGCCGCCTACCTGCGTCTGAAATTCGGGAGTCCCACTCGACACCTCCAGAGAAAGGTCAAGGGCTGTCTGCTCACCTGAGTGCAGGTGAAACAGCCGAATCCACTTCCTCAGCACGCACGTTGGACTTGGACTTGGACACGAACAAAGGTCTTGCGAACAAGCGGCCGATCAACGTCTGCAAGCCCTGAGCCACAGGATCTTCTACGTAGATACTGGGAAACTTGGCCTGGTTGTGACAAGTGCGATTTGTCACCCTCAAACAGGTCCTCCAAGTCCCGCAGCGACAGCTCTCCCAGGAGGGCTGACCCACGACGATGCAAAGTGGCGCCAGGCAGGGTCCAGCGGTCTTTCCAAGGTGCTGGGATGCCCTTTGCCTCAGGCATGATACAGCCGAAATTCCACGCATCATGCACACTTTCAAGTCTCAGCACAAGCAGAATGCCCCGGCCTTTGTGTCCAGCGTCGTGCCTGTTCGCCTGGCCACGAAACACGGATTTCGGTCAGGTCACCGCTAATAAACGTTCAATGCCAGGAACCTACTGCCAGGATCCGGATGAAACCCGCGCTCAAAGCGTGGACAGCCCGGTGCCTGAGCCCGGGCATCGTCGCAGAAGGACCGACTTCGGAGCGCAATCGCATGAGCCGCGGCGGCAGACCTGGTCTCTGCATGGTCGCGTTGTCCCAACATCCAACCCTTGTACAGTCTGATGGCAACTGAGCCGCCCAAGCTCTTCGGGGCCGTCGCAGAACTCGTCCGCTGAAGGGATGGTGGCCCCGCGCGTGGTGGCACCGTGCCAGGGGCATGTTGCTTGGAGATCAGCAAGCCCAACTCTGCTTCGACCTCTTGTGCCGGACCAAACAAGCCAAAACTGGACCCTCCCCGTAGCTTGTTCACAGGTTGCAGCAGCGCCTTGTCTGGCCCCGAAGCCGGCGAAACAAGTGCTAAGATCACCAAATAACCATGCAATTCTTCTGGCTCTGCCAGGTGTCCACCACCAGCCTGCTTCGGGTTTGCACACGTGACATTAAAGCCTTGCCGCTTGCCATTGACCCCGAAGCCCGTTTCAACGTCGCCAAACACAGCACTTGCAAAATTTGCCGGAATTCCAATCGACTAGCGAACCCAGCTGATGACCCACACAGACACATCATCCGGACTGTTCGCGCATAGCCTGCGGCTTCTGAAACTCTTGGTGGAACGCCCAAGCCGCAGAGCACGTGCTCCCCATCGCAGCAGCACGAATGAAGAAAAGCTACAAGGAGCAACAATATCAGTGCGGATTCTCTCGCTGCCGGCTTAAATGACACGTTGGCACGATGCCAAGGAAGAAACTTGAAAAAAAAACTGCTCTTCCATGTCATGTCCATACACATGTACTTCAACAGCAATACATTTGCTCATGGATGGTTATGAATCATCAACTACAAGAGATGCTTAAAAAGCCCTACCGGGCTCGAAGCACAACACATTGGCTTTCAAAAGTGTGTAATTCTGCTGCACACCACAGCGATTCTGCATGACTCCACTCGTGCAAGCAAATCGTGTTCCAACATCTTGTGTCTGCTGTTGCTGCATAAAGCAACCAAGGTGCGACGACAAAACACAACAATCCAATCTGGCGTTCTGCAAAAAGCGATTTCCACACTTTGCGAAAACTGCACGGAAAATGATGTTTGAACATGATACGCGAACTCAACGAAATCAAAGGCCGTGCCGTTTCAGGCGCCATCCTCCGATTTGGTCGCCTTTGAACTCCTGTGGCTCGAACTTTTTTTGCAGGCTTCGGTTGTGTGCGGGATGAAACGTGCAGCCGATGACATTGTCATTTCTGGACTGCAGGCTTGGTGCGTGTTGTGCTGTCCATGAAAACACGATTGCCAATATCCTATTCCAAAACTGAAAAGCTGCGGAAAGTGCGCTGCTTCAAGCGTTGTCTCCGGAATGTGCTGGAAGCCATCGGAATTTTGACCTTCTGGGGTTGGCTTGCTCGCCAACGAACTTGAAGTCGAGATTGTTTGCGCATGTGAAACAGTGCAAAACGACCGCATTCAGATTGGTAGTACTGCTGCATACACAACCAGGCACCGCAAATGTGTCTACGGATTAACACGCTTCTTGGAAGCCCGTCTTTGCGGCGTTTTGGAGTATTTCGTTCCTTTCAAAAGCTCAACAAGCATAACCCAAACAGAAAATCTAAAAATTCACGAATCAGAACAAGCCACGCCGCTCTTTTGCGCATCCAAGTTTAAAAGTTTAGGGTGCAATTTGAATGTTCACTTCGCTGACACACTCAAGCTGGAGACCATTCGGCTTTGCAGAAGCATGTGTTGGACTGTTGCATGAACTTCTTGCGATTGCTATTTCTCGGAGCATCTTGCCGTTTTGTCAAGCAACAACAGCTAAATATGTGGGAGTCGGAGCAATCGTTTCCTGCAAAGCTAAGCAAACCTCCAAGATGTTTTTTGATTTTTTATTCCACTGTCCTTCGGTCAGAAACGGGGCGGCTTGTCAGAGCAATGAAGTCCACGTGGTCTTGGCTTCAACATTGAGAGCGATTTTCTAAAAAGAACACACCTCAACAAGATCGCACAACTGGAGGGGCTGCTCTTTTTTTCGACCCCGAAATGTCTTTTTTCAGACCCCGCGCTTGCTCCATGTTGATTTCGACCCGGCATGTCTTTTTTCCGACCTCCATCTTTTCTTCAGCCCCGCGACGAGGTCAAAAAAAAGACATGCACACATGACATATCAAACAACACAACAAAGAGCTCCACAATGTGAATTTTGCAATGCAAACTACACAAAAACTCACTTAATCACACTATAACTTCTCACACACACACACACACACAAAAAGAAGAAGAAGCACGAAATCGCTTTTAGGGGCTGAAAGCGAACGAAAGAAATCAAAGTGTGTCATCGAAAAACATCAAAAAAAACCTTTTCCAACACGAAGGAAGGAGAAGCTCCACGATATCGCTTTAGGAACAAAAGCAAACAAAATAAGAACGAAAAAATAGAAGTGAAAACACACACATGACAAGACGTAGGAGTCGATGCAGTAGAGGGCGCTTGTGTTGCAGCTGCGCAACGACACCGCCCAAGGCCATGAGCGCGAGATTGGGCTCGTAGCGCAAAAGAAAGCCCAGGCGATTCGCCGGCGCATCGAAAAACCACGAACCGGGTTGAGGTAACCCGGAAAATCCGAAATACACCTTCATCGATTCCTTGATGGTTTGGACCAAACCATCGAGGGGCGGCCCTTGAAGGTAACCTAATACCAAACCCTCGACCCCGGCCTCCCTTGAAGGTTTCCAAACTAAAACCTAGTACCAAACCCTCGACCCCGGCCTCCCTTGAGGGTTTCCAAATTAAAACCTAGTACCAAACCCTCGACCCCGGCCTCCCTTGAAAACTGTTCTCGCAGCTGAAAACCAAGGTTCCATGAAAACTGCAGCTCCCAGTGAAAACTTTCCAGTGCTTTGAGAAAACCTCTTTTTCAAGTTCAGACTCCATATCTACTGTTATCATCAGAGTCCTCATCATCGTCATTCCCAGGCACGTCGACCGCCCAGGTACATGTTTATTCCAGGTCGACAACGTCGATTCAAAACGGTTCTAATTGAGTGGTAGTAGCAGCAAACGAGATCCAAAACGGCTCGCAAAAACTGCATGGCAGATCTTAGAGGTCTGCAGTGTCAGCTTGCCAGCTTCTCTGCACTGGAGCTTCTCAGAAAACAAATCGTGACAGCACGTCTATGGACAAGAAACGCAGCACGTGCAATCGCCTAGGTCCAAGCCACTCCGTACGAACGATGAACTCGAATTGCAGCTGGTCTGCGCGATCTTTTTTGCTTTTTAGTCGACATCCGCGGTCCAAAACAAGACATTGATCTTCGACCCCAAGCAGAGGCCAGAAAAAAGACAAGTTGGAGGCCCAAAAAAAGATCTTTTTTTACAGAAGAGATGCCAAGACTTAAAACGAGTGGAATTGTGTGGATCTTGGTTGCATTGGCGGTCTTTTATTGCTCTTCCGTTCCATTTGCATCGGTAGGTCGAAAGAGGAGAGTTTCACTGTCAAATGCAGAGCAGTGGCGCAATGAGGTGATGAACACCGGTGATACAACACTCCGAAGTTTCAAGGCAACAAATCGTTGTAACATGCAAAGTGCAACGAAAAAGTGCCATTCCATGAAGATATGTCTTGGAACTGGAAAACAGGTTGCAGTTCATTTCGTTGCCTTTTTATGTTTGGAAGCAGCTTGTTTCGCGCGAAAAGAGGCATCCTGAAAAAGTGCACCAGCACAGAACTTTGCTGCTACATACAAAGATCATTCTTGGCCATCACGTGCGGGCGGAGCAAACGAGTGGCAGACTTTGCTGCCACTTTTTTGTGAGTGCTTCTGCTCTGCAGAGTCCGCACAGGTTTTGTGCTCTTTCTGTGTCTGAATTTCATGTTTCGATTCAAATCTTGTGGGAACAGCAGAAGCAACTCAATGACAAAGTCAGCTGCTTTCCAGACCTTCAATCTGTGCCCATCAAAAACGCTCTTTCAAAGGGCCTTTTTTTGGCGTGGGCGGGCCTCAAAGACAGCAGTTGCTGCACTCGGTCCCAGCAAGAACTACATTAAAGTCAATAAGCCAAACAACTGTACAAAAGAAGAAGTTAGACGAAGAAGACCATGTAAATTCTGGTGAGACAGGCTGCGACTTGCAGACAAAACCGGCAGATATCGTTCAGCCTTTGAAAAGCACAAGCTAGGAGGACGCTAGAAGGATGCTGGGAGAGATGTCGAAATTCAACGAAAACGTCACTATTCCACGCCTACGAGGACGCTGCGAAAGACGCTACGAGGACATTACAAGGACATGTACAAACGCTACGAGGACACCACTTGCTCAATGCATAAAATCAAGAACACATTTATTTTGCACTGAAAAATGGCATTCTCGTGGTAGATTGGCAGAACATAGGTTTTTGCAGTGTTCCGGAACCCTGGGTTCGAACACTTGGGAGGGCCCGGGGGGGGGGAGGCGGAGAACATAACACTAGAACTTAGGGTCGAACCCCAAGTTCGAACACCTGGAACCCGGAGTTGAACTCCGGGTTCGAACACAGTGTTCAAACTCCGAGTTCGAACACTGGTGTTTGAACCCCAGGCGAACACCAGTGTTCGAACCGTTCGAACACTGGTGTTCGATTTCCGGGTTCGAGCACTGGTCTATAAAACGCTTTTACGAACACAAAAGAAAAGAAGCCACACGAAATCGCTTTATGGGGGCTTTTTGCGAAGAAAAAAGAAAAATATAGAAGGAACATTCACCAGTTGGAACCCCGAGTTCAAAAACTGGTTGTTCGAACCCCAGGTTCGAACACTAATGTTGGAATCTCGGGTTCGAACACCAGTGTTCGAACCTGGAGTTCAAACACTAGTGTTCGAACCCTAGATTCTAGATTCGAACACCAGTATTCGAACCTCGAGTTCGAATTCAAACACTGGTGTTCGAACCCAGAGTTAAACACTGGTATTCGAACCCCAGGTTCGAAAAATGTCCGAACCTCGAGTTCGAACACCAGTGTTCGAACCCTAGGTTCAAATACCAGTGTTTCGAACCTTGAGTTCGAACACTGGTGTTCGAACACTGGTCTATGAAACGTTTTTTTCAACACAAAAGAAGAGAAGCCACACGAAATCGCTTTATGTAAGCTTTTTATGAAAAAGAAAAAAAGAAAGAACCAACACAAAAGAAGAGAAGACACGAAATCGTTTTATGGAGGCTTTTTGCGAAAAAAAAAAGAAAAGGAACATTCACCAGTTTGAACCCCAGTTCAAACACTGGTGTTCGACCCTCAGATCGAACACTTGTGTTCGAACCTCAATTTCAAAGACTGGTGCTCGAACACCAGTTTTGAACCCAGAGTTCAAACACTGGTAGTCGAACCCGGTCAGAACACCAGTGTTCGAACTCCGGGTTCGAACACCGGTCCAAGTGTTCAAACTGGAGTTGGAAGTTCGAATTCAACTTGGAGTTTAACTGGAAGTTTGAACTTGGTCGGAGACAACTATTGGAACTCGAAATTTTAGGGCATTACACTGTGTTCGGGGCCCTACCACTTGGTGGCCCAAGAGGCGAATGATAAGACCCCGCCGCGCATGGTTTCGGCTAGGAGACTCTTGGGGCCAGGAACGCTGGAGAGACGAAGCGGAGGCCTTCATTGAACGGGGTGGAATCGGCCCAGGCATTCAAATCCCGTTCATCTCTACTGAGCTGATGCCGCATCTCCATGAGCCGGAGCAAGATACATACCGATATGGTTTTTACCACCTACAGGAGCTGTATGAGCAGCGCAATTAATCTATGATCAGCGACAGGCTCTGCCGCTGGTTGTGGATTCCACCGTGGACTTCTGGACTTTGTGTGCACGATCGCGACACAACAGGACCCCGGGGCTGACCGTTGTTCGACGGAACTAGAACGGCGGCCGGAGCTCCGACTTTGGGCTCCACCGGTGGTCTTGGACAGCTCTAGGCGACGGCCTTTTGCTGTTGTGGATCGGTCGCTGAGGCCCCGTAGCTCGTGCTGCGGCCAACATCGGCAAAGCCTGTGCGCCGCAGCTAGCTCTTTGCCTCTTTTTATTGAGCAGCCCTGTTTCACCGCTGTTTTTGTTCGTTTGTTGGTTTGTCTTGTTTGTAGGGACCGAGTGCTACAGCCGTAGTCGACGAGGCCCGCCCACGCCAAAAAAATTCAAACCTGGGTTCAAACCTGGGTTATAACCTGGGTTTAACCCGGGCTTGAACCCAGGTTCGAACCCAGGTTTAACCCAGGTTCAAACCCAGGTTCAAACCCAGGTTAAACCCAGGTTTCAAACCTGGGTTCCCTGGGTTGTTGTTGTTGTTCCCCCCCATTCGGGGGGAGGGAACCCAGGTTCAAACCCAGGTTCAAACCTGGGTTAAACCCCGGGGGGGGGAGGGGACCAGCCTCCTCATATTGGAACCCCATCTGCCTCGAGAAGACTTAAAGCGAGCTCATATGGTTCCAAGCTTTGCCAATTCGCCGGATGATTTTTGCGGCGATCCGACAGGTCGAGCAACAGAACGCTTCCCTCCAGGGCCTCTCTGCACTCCGTCCAGAAACAGCAATGGTCGGTTTGGCATAAAACTTTGCGAGAGTGTTGTGACACCACACCTTCACGCGCGAGCCCCGTGCACGGCATAGCACCGGTTGGCTGGAAGTTCTGGCAAGAGAATGGAGAGCGAGGGACTTGGCGCCATCCCGAGTCCCTGTTTTGCCTCGCCTTCACCAGTTTTGGTTGGATGGACGTTTTGTAGAGATTGTCCGAAGGGGCTTTGCCAATGTGCCGAGCGCTACAGGTGACGGACTCCGACTTGGGGGGGCGGGAAATGGCTCGGACTTGTCTGCAGCCCCGCTAGACCGACGGGCTTCCCAGAGACCCGCAAAGCCGAATGGCCAGGACAGAGTTGCACAACATCGCATTCCTGGCGTCCAGCGGCAACCCAATTCTCGCCCTGGCGGTGTCTGTGATGGTGCAGTGTGGGAAACTGGGTTATGTGTGGTTCTGCCTCTTGTTGGCTGCGGCGCCCCCATCATTGGCTTTACATTGCTCAGGGTCCTCTTTCGGAGCAGTGCTGCTGCGGATGTGCCGTCTGTGGATTGCGCTCCCGCAGCGGCACTCACCATGACAAGGGCGCAAGTTCTCACAATTATGCGTGCTTACCCTTGCGCGGACCACTGCAGCAGGCGGTTCGTGTGTGTGTCTGCCCTTGCGAGGCCACTGTGTGGGAAGCTGGGCCAGGCTTTCAGGTTTCATGTTCACATCTCCTTTGGCATCCGCCTTGCCCGCTTGACTTGGGTGTTTGCTTCGACAAGTTGGATTGCAGTCTTCGCAAGCTCCACTCTGTTGGGAAGCTGGGCTGGCTCGCATGTGTCTCTGGCAATGTGTGTGTTGGGGCGAGCATGTTGGACGGCTGGACAATCTTTATATGCTACGAGCTGCTTCCTGCCTGTGTATGCGGCTGTGCTGTCCATGGAGGCCTGCCTGCTTAACACGACCTTCAGCTCATCTGCTCTTGTTTCCTTGCCCTTGCGAGGCCCACTCTGGTGGAAGCTGGGCTTGTGGATGTGCTGTGCTGGGTTGGCCTGTGCTTCGCATTTTGCATCATTTGTGGAGTGCAACGGCTGCTGTCATGAGAGCGACCTCTTTGGGCGTGGACTAGAACGGCGGCCGGAGCCTTGGACTTAGGCTCCGCTTGTTGCTTTGGGTGGCCTTGGGTGCCGACCCACTGTCGTGTTGCTGAGTCGCTGAGCGTGGCCGTTTTTGATTCGCCAAACAGCTTTCTGCTGACGAAGTCCGCATGCTGCAGCTGAGACACATTGCCATGTTTTGGACCTGTTTCACCGCTGTTTTTCTTGTTTGTGTTTGTTTAGGGAAGTTTCTGGGTCCGAGTGCTACTGTTGTAGCTAACGACCGCGGACGCCAAAAAAAGTGAGAATGAATCATACGGATCCCTGTCCCTACGTTGCAGCTCCTATTGGTGCCTCATCTTCGCCAGTCTTGGACTTCGGCCTTGGACTTTGGTGTGCAAAAACAAGGCACGAGGGACGTTCGTTGTCCGATGGGGCTAGAACGGCGGCCGGAGCCTTCGTTTTTGGGCTTCACTCGTTGCTTTGGGTGGCGTCGTGGCCAACGAGGCCCGCAGACACCAAAAAAACGAATTGAGAAGGCATTTTTTCAAAGAAGATAAGAGAAGCTGGAAACTTTCAGGAAAGTAGAAGTCGGAGGGCGCGTTGAGGGCTTGCAAGCTGAGACTCACGTTGGTTTCTGTCTTCAGGGTTCTAGGTTCGGCTTGGAATTCCCGCCTTGGAGTTGGAGTTTGCTTCACTTTGGAATTCGGGGTTGGCGTGGAGACGGTCCATGACCCGGATTTTGCATTTCGCCGACATTTGGATGCCGGGCTCCGCGGCGACATGCCTCCGCTCAGTGCCACCTCCGGGCCTTCCTTCAGTTGCAGTAGCTGCCGGCATTGGCCTCTGGCAGAATGGTTTGCGCTGCACCCTGCGTGGTGGGGATCATACGGATCCTTGCCCTTGCGCCGCACCTCCCTGGTGCCTAACTGTCACCAGTCTTGGACTTCGGCCTTGGACTTCGGTGTGCTCGACTTTCAAAAAACAAGATATGAGGGACGTCCGTTGTCCGACGGGACTAAAACGGCGTCCGCCCTTGGGCGCCACTGAGTGTCTGGGGTGGCTTTGGGCTTTGGGTGCCGCCCCACTGTCACCTTGCTGAGTCGCTGAGCGTGGCACATTTTTTGATTCGCTGAACAGCTCCTGCTGACTAAGTCCGCACGCTGCGGCTGATCTGTAGCCATGTTCGCCCTTTGCAATCCGTTGTCTTTGCCGTTTCGTGTGAAGGTCAAGCATCGCCGCAACATTGCATTTGGCGTGGAGAGCGCTGTCGTTTGTCCTGGATATCTGCTATTGAGCCTTTCATGCATCGCAGAACCAACTCCATGGCATCTTGGCCTGTAGACTCTTGCGCTTAAACAAAGTGCCCACTGTCACCTTGCTGAGTCGCTGAGCGTGGCACCTTTCTTGATTTGCTGAACAGCTCCTGCTGACTAAGTCCGCACGCTGCAGCTGATACGTAGTCGCAGCTCTGGCAACGGGCTTATACTCCGGCGGAGCTTCCCAAAGCCTTGCGGGCCATGGCTATCGCCACGCGCCAAAGTGGGCCCAAATCCATGGAGACAGTGTTAAGAAAACGAGAACTCATGTTCCTAGCACCCTTGTCCACATGGATTTCTGCGGGCAAATCCATGCGGAGACACTGTTAAGAAAACGAGTATTCATTTTCTTAGCACCCTTTTCCACATGGATTTGGAGCATTGGGGTCTGGGCGGGCCCAAATCCATGTGGAGACAAGCACCTAAACACGGCTTAGAGGCTTAGAGTTCAGGGATGTGTTTTAGTTGAGTGCTTGCATCGCTCTGCTGCGCTCTGTCGGTGTACTGAAAGCTGGTATGTTGTTTTTTCAGCGACCAGGCTGCATGCCCGAAAGCGTGAATTCATGAATGTTGCGTTGGTTTGTGTGAGCCATTGGCTGCTTGGTAAAACATGCACAAGAAGAAGCCAAATCATCATCAACACTTTGCAGAACAGAAGAGGTTTGCAACAGCATAGTTTGTTTGACTGACCTTCTGCCACATGAACAATGACAGCTGACGCATTTCTGCAATTGTGGTTGCCACGTGTCGGTGTAGCTTCACGTGTGTCTGGGCGTATACCGGTGTATGCAGCCGAGGAAAAGCGCCACGGGTATTGGCTGCTGCTGTTGAACAAGATTTGCGTTTCCAATGACGAGGATCGACCATGTATACAGTCATGCTACAATCTGCGCACATGGCCAACACCCATGACGCCATCACACAGTCATTGGGAATGCATTTGTCAGTCTTGATCCGCAGGCAAGTGTTGATCATGACGAACGTGCAGTCTGCATCAGAAAAGCAGCCGAACTTGCGCGGGCCCGAAGATGCGATTGGCTTGTCCTTAGTCAAGCCGTGATTGCGTTCGACATGCATCGTTACATTGCTCACAATTGCTACACATATCAAAGCTGGTCGACAATGAAATCCTCAGGGTTTTGGAACCTTGCATGTTGGCATCCTGCAAGCTTAGTGCCGATCGCCAATCGAGACAGGTGCTGCGACCATGTTGGAACGACAGTGTGCCGTAACAAGATGCCGGCAGTTTGCTGTGACAAAAACAAGCATACAGCAGATTGCCAAGAATCGAACATGAGCGGTCGTGAAGGGCACGAGGCGTCAAGACTCAAGACTCTTCCTGAATTGTTATCTAGGAAGTCAGCATCGTACCTGTAAAACCACCCTACCTGCAAATCGTTTCATACTTAATTGGGTTTGGAAGGAGAGACTGTGGCGCCCATGTTCCGAAAAGCCGAGGCTGCCAAAGAAGGCCCGGACCAAGTGTGCTTCCGTGGACAAGCATTGCGACTTAAACAGCATTGGGGCACGGCTGCCGGTCTATCGTAAGTACGAGTACGTGACGACCTATGGTCAAAGCTTCAAGCACGTTGCCCATCTGTTGGCGTGTCATGCCGCTGAGCATAATCAGTTTCTTGGTGGGCACGATGCAGGGCAGACCCCGCACACTCTCTCGCTCAGGTTGTGCATCGCGCGTGCGATGGCGAAGGAAGAGGCAACTTCCGGCTATTACCATTGCTGGCGATTGAAGGATTGCCGAGTTAGCCATGCAGATCGGTGCCCCAGCACCGAAACCGAGCTCAGACCGCAACTCCGATCAGTGGAGGCCGAGCAGGCGCTGCTTGCACTGGAGGAAAGTCTCGGACCCAGTGCAGAGGACGTTGCGAGAGCAGCCAGTCGAGGATGTTTGGCGCTTTGAGGCTTTCACAGTATCCTGGCGACAGCGAGGTCCTGGTCCAAGGGCGTTGCTCGTCGTTTTCTCGTGAGGGGCAGGGACGGAGAGCCTCTAAGCTGTGGGCAGTGATGCTTTAAAAACTCAGATGGTCAAACCATGCCTGAAGTCCTCTGTAAGTGCGAACAAAAAATTTATGGGGAACGGCGAGGCTCCCAATGGCAGCAAGGATGATGTCGAGCAAGCAGCAGGCAGTGGGTAGGAAATGATGCATTCCTCTCTGTTTTGCATGATTTTGCATGTTGTGGCAGGCAGTCTGGTCGGCAAAAGCACTGGTGGAAGGAATGGGCGTGGCGCCCTGTGGTTTTATCTGAAGTGGATCCAGGTATATGCGACATTCAGATACCCTTCCCAGTGTCGGGCAAGGGTGATCGGCATTTCAAGCCCAGAGCTGCTATGGGTGCCCTCTGCAGCTTGGAAGGCCCTCGTTTCGCAGACACATGCCACCGTGCGCTGCTTGCAGACCATCGCTGGAACCCCGGAGACTGACATGCGTTCGATCTCGCTCTGAGCACACGAAGCCGCGAAGACTGCACGGATTTCGCCAAGGGCCGGAGCCTTTGACGTCTGCAGCGTCGCTGCGAGCGTCGGCGCAGCTCCTGCATGCAGGGCTGAGGCAGCTTCAACCTAGTGTTTTGGAATCCCAGAACAAACACTGGCCTTGAACCCTGTGGAAAAGTCTTCAATGCGGTCTCTGCAGGGGCTAGCTTAGGACAAAGTCGACTGACTGGGTTGGGCCCCGGAGGCCAAAGTGCGGTGCTTTGACCCGCTGCCTCGCACAACGTGCGGCGACAGCAGCCGGCCTCGGCGCAGGCGCACGATGGGGCGCGCGCGGGGGGACATGATTATATACAATATAGTATGCAGATTGACTGTGATGTGGGGGCTCTGGTGTCAGATCCCGACGACGCTTTTGAGGAGGAGATCTGCAGACAGTGCGCTGCGCTTCCGCCGTTCTTCAGAGCGGAGCCTTCTACTGCCGAGGAGGCGGAGGAGCGCGAGGCGGCGCGGTGGCTGCTGCGGGAGCTCTTCTGCTGCCGGAGGCCGGGGAGGGCCACAAAGCCGGCCGGGAAGGCGGAAATGAGATATCGGCTGTGGGAACATCGTCTGTGTTTTTTTGGAGAGAGAGCTGAGCTGCCAGGCTTCCCGCAGACATGCCTCCGTCTCAGGCTGCTAGAAGATGCTGTGGCAGCTCAAGAGTTGTGGCCCAGGCTGTCCTCCCTGGTAGAGTTGTCAGCTAGACCTGGGACGATGGATGGGGAGAAGGAGGCCAACGATGCTTTCACTTCGGCACTGGCTCCACTTTGTCTTTGAGATGGTGTTGAGCCGCAGGGACTGCAGACGGAGCCGGAAGCCGTACTCAATAACTTGAGGCTCGCCTTGTCCGATTTTCGCGGATGCTGTGGGTCTATGTTGGATGGGGTCGGTTTCCCCTTCCGTGACTGCACTTGTCCGGAGACATCCCGCGCAGGCACATGAGGCAACTGGATGCGGCAACAAAGGCAGATGTCGCCTTCTGAACCGTTGAGTTTACTCGTGCCGGCCAAGCTTTTTGACACCTCAACAGGCTTGCAAGCGATGCGCCAGTCTCAGTCGTGTGTTCTGGCAATCTCTTCACATCTCTGGCGATCTGAAGCGCCCAGGTGCCTCTCACATCGCTTCCTCAGGTTCCAAGGACATGGTGCAAAGGCCACGGCCCCTTCAACGCTGCCTCTGCATGTGGTCGAAACAGAACTAGCTGAAGCATTCACAGTGTCGAATTTGTTTATAGATTTATGCCCCTAGGTAGGCTGTATGTCGCAGCAGGCTGATAGTTGAGCAGCTCTTCTATCTTGTGTTGGGCAGCTTGAGATTTTCTGGAATGGGCCTTAACCCCAGTGAGGCTTCGCGTTTCCACACGCCTTGCGATGAGAGCACCAGGCTCCCTGGGAAAGTGGAGCCTTGTTGAAACGTCCGGAGATGGATTTGGCATGGATGGAGTTCTCGGTTATAGCACTGTCTCGGTGGATTTGATTCGTACATGCCGTGCCTGCTTTGCAACTAGTGTGGTGCAACACGTGAGAGATTGTGGCGAAGTCAGGCGAGGCTTCCAATCACAGCGAGCTGCTGGTAGGCCACCACCACTGCATTCAGCTTGTTGATGGTGTGGCTGCTGCTGCTATTGTTCTGGACTCCTGCCAGTTCACCAGACAGCTGGGCACAGTTGGTTTTTCTGTGGTACCGGAGCAAAGTCTGATTAGCATTCACAGACCAGTGAGCGAGCAGACTGGCTGTTATGTGCTTCCGTGACGTCTGCTGACTCACCGTTCATTCTCAGCTGTGAAGCGAGATAACCTCTCTATAGCGACGGTTAGCGACCGAGTGGTAGGTGAAAGTATGTTTCCCTGTCCAGACGAGTGACGAATGAATTGATGCTGTCGTGCAGGACTTCTCGGACGCGAGGCGGATGAACACTTGCGAGGCAAGACCTGGTAAGGGCTTCAAGAGAATGCAGAGCTCCTGATGAGGGAGGGCCTTTCCGCGACAAAACGAAGACGACAAGGTTTAAACAAGACCGTTCGCATTTCGGAGGCTGGAATCTGGAAGCAGGCGGTCACCTCTTCCAGCACGATTTGCCAGGAGAGACCTTGAAGCAGCTCCGGCGGGTCCTCCCGATGCTCCCAGGACGTCGCCCGTCATCAGCTTGGGCTTCTCATGTCTGTGACTTCGACGAGAACAGACCGGATCTGCGCTGCACTCCGTTTGCCTGGTTTTGCCACGTTGCAAGGACCTGGAGCTGAGCAGGTGAGGAAGGCTCTGGGCTCTGGGACAGAAAGCGATGAGCTTGCCGAAAAGCACGTTGTGGAGTCGTAAAAGGGTTCAGCATGAATCTATCCTGATTGGTGCAGGGGAGAGGCGAGGCACTTGCCAGCACCGACGTGTACAAAATGCACAAGACATCACAAGACTTCCGTCAGCCTTTCCCGATCAAATCCATCTTGCAGGTCTTTGACGCGGCATGGGCATACGTCAAGGATCAAGGCGACACTTCCGTTGGCCGCGTATGTGAGCTGACTTCCCACTATCCGTAATAGCCAGCGATGGATGATGATTGCTATTATTTTGAGTGAGGCTGCGGGTTGACGGTTGTTTTGGTGAGGAATCCATGGTTCTTTGTCGGCATTTTCGGTATGGTGCCAATGTCGACGTTGAACTCTTTGAGAAGCGCCCAGAGTTGTCTCGCGAGGTGCTTTGGGCCAGGATGCGGGGCCCAGGCAGGACAGAACTTGGCAAGATGTCTTCGTCACGCAGAGATCAGACGGACGCAAGATGACGAAACACAGACGCAGCGCAAGTAGGCATGACTTTTTTGACTTTGCGATCGCAGAACCGTCCCCTGGTCCCTTGCGCGGCGTAGGCGACACGCCGAATTCAGAAATGAATTCAGCGCGGCTAACGAGAGCTGTAATGTACATCGCCTTAGACAATATCAGCTCGATGAGCTGAGACTGAAACTGAAATCGAGCTCTGACTACATGGACTTGCAGTCCGCAGTTCGATACTAACTCTAACACCGGCATCACTGGCTATACAGATCAAAGCTTAGTGAGACGAAAGCCGAGAATATAGCAATTCTCACTCAGGATCCGAGCATATGTTGGATGACACAGCTCGGGCGATTGACCATCTTCTGTACACCACCAGGTGTAGGTCAGGCTCCCCGAAGGGGCCGACGGTCTCCCCGAGGGGGCCGAAATCCCCGATGCACTTGCAGGTGCCACATCTCCTGGCCGTGAAGTTGCAGACACCTGGGATGCAAAGTTTTGGGCATCACGTGGATGCGCAAGAAATGCACGATAGTGGCCTTGCTGGGGCGAGGGCCCCAGGTGTAAAATCCCCGCCACCAGCTCGTAGGTGGCCCATTGGATCTCATGTCCAGGACCTCGAAAGACAGGGAAACTGACTCGCTGCATGGCCTTACAGGGGATACGCGTCTTGTTTTTCCCCTTGGTGGGGTTGGCATATCGGGCAAGGCTGGTGAGCAGGTAGGGCGGTGCGTGGAGAAGGCCGTGGGGAATCTTCTGTTCGTGCCAGCTGATAATGCATTCTTGGATGGTGGCACTGGAGGTTTTCTTAGGGAGAGGGAGGTCAATGTTGAATAGACCACTGATAAGGGGTCTGCGTGCCGCAACAGTGCCTGGTATCGGTCGTGCCTCCCATTGACATCGCATGTGTGCTGGGCAGTGTTGGTCAAATAAGTGATGTATGAGCTCAAGACAATCTTGCTGGCGATGCAGGTTCGTCCAGCCTCTGAGAGAAGAGTGCCACCCGGGAAGGTCAGGGATGGTGATCCGCTCTCCAGGTGTAGGGACAGGAGCACTCAACAAATCTTGCAGTGATCGCTCAAGAGACTGGGTGCCATGGACTGGAGCACAGGGTCCTGCAAGGTGTTGAATGTAGGCTAGCAGATACGCAGTGGCATTTATGTAACAAAGATTGTCTGGGTTGTGCAATGTAAGATGTAGCAGTGCCGCAGGAATGCACACAGATCTGAGTTCTCTGCCATCTACCATCGCACGGCCTCCTGGATCTCCTTGATCAACGGCGACCGCTCTGGGCGGGCCGGTTTGAGCCGGAGAGAGAGGAGCAGGAGCGCTGAGTTGGCATACCATTTCCGGAAGATCGCCATCGCCTCCGATGCTTCGGGTTGCTGCATGGACAGCTCCAACACAAATGTCGCTGTCTCGGATGTCGAGTCGGGCTTGGCGTTGCGGCCTCCGCTGAACTTCAAGACTAGGTCTGGATTCTTCAGCAGGGCTTTGAGTCTCTTGGCATCGGTGAGGATTTGATCGTGAGTAAGCGTCACCTCCTGCCGGGGGACGAGCTTCTTGTCCTCGAAGTCCCAGTCCAAGAAGTTGAACTCCCCCTCCGACGTGATCCATCCTAGTTCCTGGGCCCTCTTCTGGGATTCGGTGTCGGTTGCGAAGGCATTGATCTGGTCACCAGTTCGGCTGCAAGATATTGGATGAGAGTTTGCTTCAAGGAGCGGGTCACCTTGTTCTGCTGTCGTTGTTCGCGCCAAGTTGTCGCCACCTCCTGGAGAAGCGGCACCATCAGCTGTGGGCCGTTGCCTGTTCGAAATGTGAAGATGACAGTGTGATCGCTCTGAAGGCGCGACAGATAGTCCGCTTGGACGATGAGGGCCTTTGCGACTCGATGCAGCAGAGCATGATCTCCCGAAGGCATCTTGGAGGGTCCATTGCGATTGTCTGGGACGTCGCTGCCCCGGCTCCCCTGAAAGGGGGCCGCATGGCGGCCGCGTCCCGTCAACGGTTGCTGCTGTTGGCGCGTTCCGCTGCTCCGATTCGGCGGAGGGCCTTTGCCTCCTGGATGCTGATATTTGGTTGGATTCTCTGTCAAGTCCGTCTGTAGGGCTCTTTTCCCTAGAAGCCCTCCAAACACACTCTGTTCTTCCTGGTCGAGATCCATTTGCAAGCTCTCCGTCGCCATCGCAATTGGGAGGGGCGATCAGAGCAGGGGCAGGTGAAACCAAGCTACTCTGAGCAAGACAACAGATGCGGGCTTGCCAAAGGACCGGGCATGTTGCAGCATGCTGGTCGGTTCGTGTAACCTTAGTGCCGCAAAAGACGCAGGGTGAAATGAGATGCCCCATTTTTCGGCAATCTGCTGCCGCAGACGCACCGTGCGTCGTATATAGAGCCTGATGCACTGAGCGATAGTGCAACTTGACGCTCTTGACCGATACGAGCCACTGTCCGCACGTAGTGCAGAATTGCCGCAAAAGCTCCTGAGCTTTGGGCTGTCGAGCGAATCGTAGCCAGTCCTCAGGTTTTTCTGGCAGCAAGCCATCGAGCGGTGAGCCCGTGGGAGCGGCAACAGTGTACGGCACCACCGGGGTCGGGGCCGTGGCTGTCGTAGTCACCTCGGTCACTTTAGCAGGAATCTTCTCTTCAAGCACTGTGGTACCTATCGACTCTTGGGGAGGGTCAGCGGTGGCAGGTGTGGGAACTGAAGAGGGATGAGAGGGCTCACGAACCGGGTCAGTGTGGCTACGTAATGCAGAGACTGTATCCTCGGATGACATCACTAAGGAGGGGTCCAGCTGTTGACGATGTTGGGTACAGTGTCCTTGCGTGATATGTCTCCTAAAGTTGTGCCAGGTGGTGAAGTCCTTACGACAGTGCATACAAACAGGCATCCCATCGATGCTGTGTTTGCGCACCTCTGCTGCATCCATCTGAAGGAGAGGGTTGGGTAGGGGGGTTTCATGAAACTGATTGTGGTGCCTTTTGAGAGTAGCCAGGTCCGGAAACCAGAGGTCGCAGGTTGGGCAGGAGAAACGAGTGGTTCTAGGACCGTGCTTGCCAGCTACAGAGGCTCCATACGGCACCCCTTTCAGGGGGCCGGGCAGGAGCGTGGGAGATGCAGCTGCGATTGCCTCAGACTGGAGGTCAGCATCTTGAGGTGACGGGTTAATAACCAAGGGCTCCGCTACGGTCCGGTCCAGGTGAGGTCAGCGCCAGTTTGGATTCAGTGATATGAACCAACCAGTGCATGATCCGAGGCCTGGCGACCATGGGATCGCTAGACTCACGAGTCTTGACAAGAAGTTTTTGGCTCCTTTGCAGCAAGGAAAGTAAGGGGTCCTCTACGTTCAGGCGCTCGAGCAGCGCTCTGCTAGATTCCTGAGTCATGTGCGCAAAGCTGCGTGCGATGGCTCTCAGATGCCTAACCAAGGTGGCTGTGATCCGGACTACATGCCTTTGCTGTAAGTCGACTAGGTGTAGACCATACAGAGCACAGAGCTCCGAACACAAGCTTGCCAGAGCTGGACTCTCTTAGTCGTGGGCAGTGTACGGGAGTGGAGGACCTTGAGAAGGCGAGCTCGCTGCGCTTCGGCTACCTGCAGACGGTGGTCAACAGTGGCAGTGGTGGCATCTACATAGGAGAGGATAATGCCTAGGTACGTCAGCTTAGTCACAATGGGCAGGCGGAGTGCCTTGCTGCCAGGTTGGGGTATAAGCAGGAAGCGGCCCTCCGCAGTGGTGGCCGTGTGGGCTCGCCACCATTGTGTGGCCTGCCTGCCTTTATATGCCACAATGAGTTGTGTTTTCCGATGCTGAACCTGAAGGCCAAGCTGAGCTAGGATCCGAAAGGTGTGGGCGATGATGTCCACCATATTCTCCAAATCCTGAACTCGGTGGACGATCCACTGGAGTAGTAGATCGTCCGCGAACATCGTGGTGTCCTCTTGCAGCCATGTGACGGAGGTAACACCTGCCAGCGCACGAAACAGTGCGATGGTGATGAGAGTCCATAAACTCGGTGCTAGTGGGCATCCCTGCCGCACACCCCTTTCACTCGCCACGCGAGTTGTGGGGTCCTGGCCTGCAGGCCAGTAGCCAATGCAGTGGTGGAGATTGAGGATAACTGCCAGCTCCGGCTCCGGTACACGGGCCGCCCGCAGCTCTTGCTCGAGAACCTGTCTGTTGACAGTGTCAAACGCTTTGCTCGTATCAATAGAGAGCGTTACTCCCCCTTGACAAGAGGTGGGCTTCCGGCCAGTGTGACGACGTTCTCGTAGTGTAAGACGTTGCGACGCCAGGATTTGTTGGACCTGGGAGCAGTGATGCAAGGCACGTATGATCGCATGGTCGATGCTTCTGCCAGTTGTGTAAGCGTACTGGGGCCACAGTTTAGTGGCTTCGGCAAAGATTGGGCGAAGGCGCATGGTTAAGGCTTTGACAACGATGCGGCCCCCTCCCTCCGTCAATGCTATAGGTCGTAGATTCTCAGGCTGGTCCGGCGGTTTGCCTGGCTTAGGAAGCCAGGCTACCCATGCATCAGCCCATAGTTGGTAGAACGTCCCAGGCTTCTCCCATAGGTTCTCACAAAGGGTAGCAAGGTGTGGTACTACCGCCTCCTTGCCAAGGTGCCATAATAGAAGTTGCGCAAGGTGCTGTGGTGTGGCCTTTCGGGCAGGGAGAGTGTTGATCGCCAACAAAAGCTCGGCCTCACTGAGAGGATGACTGGTTAGCGCCTGTTGGGGCCGGCCATCCACCAGGGGGGCCGGAGATGGCTGGGCATACTTATGAGTATCGGGTGGCAGAGCAGGGGTGGGAGTAGCGTCACATGGTTGATCAATGAGAGAGGACTCCTCCGATGAGAGATCACAGGGCAGGTGGTAAACCTGTTCACAGTACTGAGTAAATCTTTTTGCCTCTTCTCGCTTGGTCAACAGCTCACCTTTGGCGCCTCGAAGTTGAATACGAACCCTAGCGGTTTTCGGTGCTAGGCGTCGAATAACCTGCCAAATTGCGGACTTACCCCCTTGCCTGTCTGCTTGCCAAGCCTGCTGAAGTTGTTCGTCAAGGACCTCGCGTTTGGCTTGGCGACCACGTTTGCGTAATTGGCGATGAAGGTGCAAGTATTGGGCCTGGTGCTTCCAGGCGGTGAACAGATTTGCAAGGCTAAGCCACAGTCGATTTCCGGTTTGACGCCAGTGTCGAATCTGGGCCGGAACCGTCAGGGGACGTAGTGTATCAACCGCATAGCGCAGGGCAACTTGGCGACTGGTCCACATGTCTTTCACCGTGCCTTGAACCTTGTCGGCAACGCTCAGGGTTGGAGGGCCGTGGCTAGCAGGGAGCAGTTTGCAAGCTGCATACTGCAAGGCTTCGTCGAGCTGTTCAGGGGTAGGTTGGGCTGGTAGGTACTCTGCGAGGCTGTCACGGAAGGCTTGAATGCACGAGCTGGGTTGTTCAGAGGCGTACCTGGCAGCCTTGTTTCGGTGTACCTCGGCGGCAGGTGGCGCAGTTTGATAGTGTATCGCGGGTAAAGAAACCGAGACTGGGTGGTGCCGGGCTCCCCCTCTCCAACGCAACAGGTGAAAAGCGTGGTCAGGTTTGGCCTGCCTGGCAAGGCCATCGACCTGGGCTTCGCGTGCAAAGAAAAAGTCTATGTGGCTCTTAGCATTATCGTGCTCATACGTAAAGGATTGGGAGCCTCGGCGCCACGTGTTGAGGGCCGTAAGTTTGTGTGTGGAGGCCAGATTGGCGAGAAGGGGTGGTGACTAATGAGGGTGCCAGGACCATACACACGGGTGTCCCGAGTACCGGTAGTGTTAAACCCCCATCAGCAAGACATTACGAATAGGCAACGAGGAGAGGGTTTTCTCCAGGTGGTGCAGGACTCTTTCTCTCTTGTGTAGAACGGCTGCCTGGTCAGGGCCGGTATGAAAAGCATATTGGTACACATTGATTAGGTCAACGTCTCGCCCCTTGATGGGGAGTCGGAGATGCAGGAGGTGGCCCTGAAGTGGCGTGGACCATCGGATGTCTTCGAAGGGAGCTAGAGACTTTCGCACCAAGATCATGCACCCTTTAAAGCGATGGTCCGAGGTACCACTGTGAAAGACATGAAACCGAGGCAGGCACCAGGAGTTGGTGAATCGCCAGTGCGATTCCTGCAGAAAGACGAGGTCATAGTCTTCTTGGTTATGTAACCAGATCTGGACTTCCAACCAGGCGTCCTGCGAGAGCCCTCCTACGTTCCAAGTCATGGCCCGCAACCTGGGGCCCTTGCGGTGGTCAGTAACCTGAGGGCGGCTCCGCACAGCGGGCCGAGTGGTGGAACGAGCTGTGGCACCCTGCAACGTATTGAGAGCACACACCCTACCTCGATACGTGGTGGTGTGGGTAGGAGTCCGAGTCGCACGCCCTATGGCACGGCGTAGAGCACGTTTACGAATGATAGCACGGGGACTCAGGCAGTGGCGTCCTGCATGAACAGGTGCAGGATGGATAGGTTGGCCCTCGTGTTGAGGAGCAGAGCTGGTCTGTTGATCTACCGCTGGGGGGGTAGGGGTAGTGGGGGCAGTAGAACCAGGGTCGCCTTTGGCTAAGCCTAGAGTCAGGCAAAAACAGAGACATATGAGCATGCGTGTAACGACACGAACCTTTGCTGAAGCTGCTCGGGCCTTGGGGTTGCGCCGGCAACCGAGAAGGTGACTGCTGTCCCAGGACGTAGTGCTTGGACCTGACAAAGGAGCAGGGTGAAGCAAAGGTACCATCACAGCAAGGAGAATCCACCGGCTCAGCAGGCATACTACAGAAAGGAGCTGCTGGCTACAGATGATGGCTAGTACTTGGGCAGGCAACAACTGTAGGGGTTGACCTGGCTCAGCACTTGCAGGAACACTGGAAAGCATATATGCCTCCTCCATCGCAGGGGATCGGCTCTCCGAAAGGGGGCCGCTTCGCGGCGAAAGGGAACGAGCACGGAAAAGACGGTCTTGTAGAGCAAGTGGGCCTGGAGCAGCAGCTTCTTGATCAGTGAGGGCAGGAGCAATTGGAGACCCGAGCCACATGTGGAACACCATGGTCAGCTGGTCGAGCGAGATTCTCCATGGGAGGGAATGTAAACCCGGCGGGGTATGTTGCTGACCAGACTGTGCAACAGCGTAAAAAGCTCCCCAAGTTGTTCGAGCAGATCACGACGGGAGCTTTCCCAGAGAGCCAGTGACCAGGCTTCAACCAGGTCCCCGCACGTGCTCGACCTGCTGATCTGTGGTAGGTAACCACTGCTCTGTAAGCCGAGGATGCTCACTCCGAGACTGAGGATGTAATTACCCACTGGAGGCAAAGGTAGCGGCACCCCTGAGGGGCCGACGACACCCTCTTGCATGAGCTTGTCTCTCATGAGATGAAAGTCATGGTGTCTTGCTGTATACCCGCCGGCCGCCTGGTATAAGTGGAGAAGGTGAGGTACATCTGCATCTTGAAGTTCAGCCGCTGCCTCGTGAACCCGCAGCAGTAAGTCCCATTTGAGCCGCAGCGCATCAAGGGCAGGTGCAGTGTTTGGCGGCGGCACTGTTTTGCTGCGACGTTTTTTCTGCGGTTGACCAGCATCCATTCTCAGGGTCAATGATGTTGTTGTCAAGGTCGGCTCCCCATCGGGGGCCGCCTGAGTGATGTCCTGATCGGTGGTGGTGGTAGTCGGAGCGTTCGCAGGCATCGGAGCTGACCTTTTGGCCGGAGAAGCTGGTCTGACTTCGGTCGCCGTCGCCGGCCTCACTGGTTCCGCTGGTGCCGCTTGTGCCCCTCCCAGGGTTGTGTCAATGCCCGGTGGGGGAGCTTTGGTACGTTTGGGAACCCACTCCAATTGCTTCGGTGCAGGCGGAGGTCCTCGTCCCAGGCCCTTCCCACTCGCCTTCTTGGACAAAGGAACAGGTGGTGGAGGCTCCTTGGGGCGCGATCCAGTGACAGCGGAGTTGGCTGCCGGCGTAGCTGTCGTAGATCCCGTTCCTGAGTTCGTGAAGGCATCTCCGGCACCCGTGGCGGGGCCGTCTACTTGCACCTGCTTTGGCGGTGGAGCCATGCCTGGTCCCACAGTCAATTGCTGCCCTTTCGGCATCGCAGGGCTATCTGACTGGGACGGTTGAGCTCCGTCTGTGCCCTGGGCCTTGGCAGCAGCTCGTGCTGCTCTTTTGGCGAGTTCGCCGGCTGTTCGGCGTCTGGTGCCATCGGGTCTGTAGTGCTGTCTAGGCCCTCCTGCAGGCCTATACATGATGGAGAAATGCTGCAGGAAGTCAGCGAACCATGTCAGCTGACTGGAAGCAATCAAGCACGAACTTGCTAAGGAAAGATGGAGAGGAAAACCTGTCGCGAGAGCTTTGTCCGGAGCGGCGGCGGCGCCCAAGTAGAGGCCGAGCCTGCCAATACCGTGGATGGGGTGATAGCGGTCCCTCAAAAAGAAAGGGTGAAGGCACAAACCACTGGGGTCGTGCAGCCGAGGTGGGAGCTTGATGACAGCGAGTCGGGTGAGAAAGGACCTGAGCATGAACAAAGTCAGAAAGGATCACAGATGGTCTGATTAAAGAGGGCATGACCTTGCAGGGGTCGAAGCGAGATTTTCTCGAATGTCGCCTGGATTTCGGCACCCGCTCCGGGGCCGGCGAGCGGCCGCGGCTTCCTTCCTGAGGTGAGACACCAATCGCTGCAAAGGCCGGCTTCAGGCGGCCGGGTGATGGAATGGAATCGCCTGGGACGTCATTGGCACATTGCCGGTGCATATATTGCACCTTCATGATGTAGTCGATGGGAATACATCCATTGAAGCCTTCCGTCAGCACCACCGAGTTGGTGCTGACACACAGGCGCATGTTGTCCCGGAGAGCCCGTGGAATGTCGAGATAAAGAAGGATTTCGACATCTTTCCTCATTCCAGAAGTGGCCCTGTGTTGATCTCTGCGTAGGGCCATGGCGAAATGGACATGTTTCCTGGCCCGCTGCCCTCGGTCTCCTCCCGCTCTCAGGCCTTGGTGATAAATCGAGGAGTAATGTCGAAAGTGTGTTCCGTGAACAGCCAGCGGCACCTCATGTGGGGCCGTAATACGGGTGAGCAGAAGGTCGTCCTGAACTTGCTGCTGTGAGTGGCCCTGGGTAGCCCTGATAAGGAGCTCGCGACCGTGCCCGCGCCCTTGCCATGACAATTGGAAACGCTGCTTGTCATTGGCGTGCACCGCCTCCTGAATGTCCGTCAGGGTAGCGCCCGCCTGCCGGAGACGTGGGTGCCGCAGTAGCTCTGTCACTGGGATATAACCGTCCTCGCGTACTCGCCCCGTGTGTCGCAAGATCTGCGACATTGCTTTTGAGGTCTCGACCTGCCAGCTCGGGCTTCTTCTCGGTGCTGGTGATCGTGCCGGCGATCTGGAGCGATGGTAGCCCCTTTGGGTACTGCGATGCCGCATTTCGGCTCCCCTTTCGGGGGCCGGCCTCAACCCGTACCTGCTTCCAGAAAGGCGTGGCAGTTCGAGCTGTTCTTCAGAACTGGGATCGTTGAGGAACCTCCACACTGTCTCCAGCAGGCTCGTGCTCTGGGGGTTGATCGTCGGCTTCTTCCTCGTCTCTGTCAGCCGGGACCGGCTCCCTTTCGGGGCCGTCCTCATCCTCCTCAGTGTCTGTCGGATCCTGGTCTTGGTCCTGGGCAGCTGCCTGAGCTGCCCGCTCTGCAGCTTTGGCCTTCCTTTTGGCGATTTCTCCTTGGGTGCGCCTGCGGCGGCCATCAGGCCGCCATCGTGATCGAGGGCCGGCCCTCCTCCCCATGGCCGATATGTCCCTCTGATGCTGTTGTGCAGGGGTCCAAGATGGATCGTCTATACTCAGATGGGAGGGAAATCTCAGCAGAGAGGTAAGGGTAATGATTAGAGCTCTGGGAGTGAGAACCTGAGGCCCCGAGAGCCCGATGTAACACAAGGAGCAGAAAATCCCCCTCTTCTGAAAGCCAAAAGATTGCCCGTGAGTTCGCATGATAAAGCCGGAAAGTGCAGGTCGGACATGTGGCTGATCCCGCCCACAGAGGCTCAGAGGCAGACCGTGAGACAGACGCCATTCTTGTAGGTGCAGGTTCCAGCCTGTTCCAGGATAGCTCCCACACAACGGGGTTTGTTGGCTGCAAGAAGTAGCACGGCGCCCGGGTGGGGCCGACCGAGTTGCAGGCTGACCTGAGATACGAGGGAGCTGGAGCACACCTGGCAGAAGACAAGGCTCCCTGTCAGGGGCCGTGAGGCTGCACAGTGAGGGGCTGCACTTAGCATAGGCTGCCCAAGCAGCCGACCGACCTAAGGTGTGAGTAGGCCTTGCTCCACCTGGCAGCCAGAGACAGAAACTCAGCTCATACAGCCGAGGGTGGCAGAAGTGCATGAGAACTCCTAGTTTTCGCGGCTGCCCTGCAACGGGAGAGACGACTCCACCATGGCTGTGCTCTCGGATCGCTCTAGCAGGTTCATGCAGCTCATACGGCTCACGACGATCCAGCCGCTGATGTAGGTCTCGAGGGCGGCTTCTCCTCATCAGTGCTGCCGAACGGGGAGTGGGAATAGTGCACGGGCTGTGGCGGCGGCGGCCCACAAGGGGGGCCGTGTCTCCTCCCGCTCCTTTCGATTTCGGCAGAGTCAGAGGAGCGATCCCGTACCGGCCGGGGTCTCGGCGGAGCATACGGCGGTCCAGCAGACGGTCCCGGCGGATTCGGCGGCACCAGCTCCGTGTCCATTGCATCGACAGCCTCCGAGGAGTCGGTGAACCAGGAGATCTGCGAGGTGCGGCCTGAGGAACTGCTTTGAGAAGAGAGGCGGGTGTCATGCTTGGGAACCTGGCCAGCCGGCTTCCGACCACCACGACGGCTCCCGCAAGGGGCCGTGACTGAACGGGGCATGCTCGGGCATTTGAGAGCGGCCTTGGGCTTCTGTGAGCTGGGCCTCTTCGCCACACGGCCGGCAGTGCCGGCAATGCAGCTCGATGGCTTGCGTCGGATCGTGGCCCCCATGCCTCCCTACGGGTTGGATCTAGGGCGGGTCCTTGGCTTGAGCAGCAGTCCTGCAGAGGTAGTGTCAAGATTACACAAGGAGCAAAATAACGGAGCAGGCGGTCCCCAAACAGGGCCGGTGAGGCAAGAAGGTGGTACAAGAAGAAGATGGTTTCCAGAAGAACCTGGATGACCTGAGTTTCGCGATCTGCATTACCAGTACAGCATGTTGAGGCTGCAACGATGCTCGGTGAAAAAGAAGATCGCCTACCTCGTGGCTTCGCACTAGTGTGTGATAGCACTAGGAGGGCTGAATAAGCCGCTCCTGCTGGACCTGAGGCAAGGTATCCAGCAACCCTCGCACCCCTCGCCTGACAAACGGGATGGTGATGGGCAATTCGAAATCGAGGCCCGGACTTGGGACCGGGCTCGGCTCGGACCGGCTTCCGCTGAGGGAGCCGTCTGTGCAGAGCATCGCGAGTGCTTCCGCGAGCAGCGCGCTCGCAGCGATCATCAAAGGCAAGAAAGCGATGCTGGCTCCCGGGACCGGGGCCGCCGGTAGCATTCACATGCTCAATCCATGGAGTGCAAGTCCAGTGCAGAAGTACTCTCAGAGTTCTGAGCCAGGGACGTAACCTGATCGGCACCCTGATAGGGGCCGTAAGTGGCATCGTGCTTGCGCTGTGCCTGTTCCAGCGCCTGCACAGCGAGAAGATCCTGGGACCTAAGTATGGAGGTTCTGCGGCGCACCTTCCGTTTCGGTGTAGATCCCAGCTTGGAGAGCAAAATGCACTCCGCGGGTGTGTCGGCAGAGCAGTCCATAGCACACGTGTCCTGATCAATGACTGAGCTCTGTTCCAACGCGGACTCCCGTGCGGGGCCGGTTGCAGATCCTGACTCGGGTCCTGAGTCGGGTCCCAACCACGCGGAGCTAATTTTGTTGGGGTTGCGGATCGATTCGGAGGTCCTGTCGGTACTGGCAGAAAGGTCAGCGCACTTGCCACTAGACTCACCATTGAAAGCAGCATGAGAAGACGCCATGTCATGCGGCACCCGGCTGTATATACAAAGCTCTGCTTGTAGAGCCGGTCTGAGCCGTGGTGCTTGCAAGTAGGCATGGAGAGAGAGAGAGAGAGAGAGAGAGAGTGTCGTTGCTTCTTGCGAATTGAGGGAAATTTTGCCGCATGCAGGGAATCTTCCATTTGTGCCGTTTGGCTTTGCGCCAGCCTTAGCACGCTGCCGCTGCAATCGCAGAGCTTTCAATGCTCTTCGTGGCCGTGGTGCCCAGGTGCTGATGCGCTAAAAGCACGACGCGAGAGGCTCGTGTAAGGAGGGGCTTGGTTGAGAGGCAGCAGTGCTTAGTGCACAGTGAGAAGGCATGAGCAAGCACATTGACGTGAACCACGCTAACCAGAGGAGGTGTTCGCTGTTGCACCTCTCTCTTCGAAGTGAGGTTATTAGTCTCTCTTTTGCACTGCCTAACAGAGATGGTTCTGTGGCCGTGGTTGTCGGAGTGATTCATGATTGATGGCCGCATCGTCACACCCCCACAACGAGTAGGAGGTTTGCAAGCGGAATGCAGATCGGTCCTGGCCCAGTGGCAAGGGAAGATGGATCGATCGTACTGCCGTGTTTCCCTGTCACCCTCTGCATTGCACCTGCATTCTCAGGATGCTCTTGCAATTGTCACTAGTTGTTTTCGTTTTGTTACAGGTTGGAGCTTGCGCCGACAAGTCCTCTTGTGCCAGAGTGGAGGCTGCAGCACTTCATCCGGTCAGAGGCTTTCGTTTCAACTGCCGGGGTAGATCGGATGCGAAAATCGGACAATGGTACGCTAATATAGGGTCGCAAGCAGTTCAGCGAAGTTGATGAAGGATTCCGTGCACCTCTGAGCAGCAGCTACCTGGTGGTGGCCTTGGTGACAGTTCCAGCTTCTGTTCAGCAGGCAATACTGTATATGGGAGCCTTCGCGAGGTGCGGACCAGAATGCCTGGATGCAGGCAGGACGGCGAGGAGATCACACTCACTATTCTTTTGTATCCTGTGCTGGAAGTGGGGCCACAACCTTTCCCCAGTTCTGGATTCGAGATGCTTGGGTTTGGCAACAAGATCCAGCATACGTCGTCTTGGACCTGGGGCACTGCAAGTAATCCGGATCCTTGAAAGTGACGAAAGGTGCTTGCAAGGCTCTGCTCCGACACCCGGGACCAGGAGGACCAGGAGAGCTGGCGGCTTGTTGCCTGACTCGTCGAGGGTGCCGGTGCTTGCGTTTCGTGGCCTCCTCGCGAGGATGGGCCACCAATCAAGCGGAGGCGCCTGGAGGAGACTGAGGCTGGGACGTGCACGCGTAAACGGGCGAGCCCTTCTTCTGGGATCTTTCGAGATCAGATGGGAAGATCCACACGAAGAAACCCTTGTGACTCTTTGCCCTGCACCGCCGCCAGGCCCCTGCACTTCCGGCAGCAGAGCTGCGTCGGCTCCTCGTGTCTGGGTCCACGCGGCGCTGGTGTCTGGCCGGGATCCCCAGAAGGCTTCGGCCGGGTTGGTGGGAGGGAGTCAGGAGTAGGGGTAATCACAGGCGACTCAACGTGCCAAGCTTGCATGAGTTGAACTGCGTGCTCGGAATGTGCTCGAGGCTGCGAGCAACTCGTAGACAAACTCCATCGGAATCCGACCCAAGCGTGTTCCGTAAGGCGGTGACAACGATGGCGCTGGAGTACTGCCGTGGCCTTAACGACATGGTCCTCAGATGCCTCTTCATTCTGTTCAGATCGTGGGAAGCCTCGTGGATGGGCCACCCGCATTTGGAGCGAGCTTCTGGATCGCGAGCTTCTTCATGTTATAAGGCCATCGGAATGTTACAACTAGAAGCTGTCACCTAGTCTACATGTAATGGTAGCATTACATATTGGTATACTAGTAGCGTATGTGCCCAAAAGCCAGCCGTAGACTTCCAGAGCATATCTTGCACCTGTCTTCACCGCAGTTCGTCGACTGATAGAGCATCCGAGTCTTCTACGGTTTAAGATCCGTTTTTCAGACAAGTGGTGTACGCTGGGATGCCCAGGCATACTGCTGGGCGACTCCAGTGATCGACAAGGCTCCATCTGGAGGCCATCGTGCCGACGCAGGCTTGAGAAGTCGTCCTTGAGGCAGTCTGGCCTTGCTCTCGGCCATCGTGCGCTGGCTCCGGTCCAGTTTCCAGGCGCATCTCACACCTGGAAACCCGGCAGAGGGTGTTCTGGTTCTGTTTGGAGGAGTGGGATCTGGGACGACGTCGAGCACCAAGACTTGATGGGAAAGAAGAAGCCGTAGGCCCAGAGCTCAAGCTCGAGCTGAGGTGCATATCGGGCGACGGCTCGATGGTTGCGAGGGAGGCTCTCCGACACCCTGAGGCAGGCCTGCAAAAAATGCACGGCGCTCTTTCCCCGATCCAGAGTCTAGAGTCTGAGTCGTCGTCTGTCGCCGGACCGCATCTTTGTGCTTGGATTGACGTCGCATCGGGTGCTCAAGATGAACTAGGTAGAACGGTGAGCCATTGTAGCAAGCCACCTGCAAAACGGAGGATGCTCCCGGTTGAGGATGTTGCTGCCAGCCCTTGGGGCGTAGCCTGGTTCATTCGAGCTGTGTAGCAGTGTGTCTGCCAGGAAGGTCGGAGACTAGTGTTAGAGTTCACGGCTTTTAATGATTCCTGCCCTGAGTCGCCAAGGTTGGCCTCTTCCTAGCATGCTGTGCGACGATTGCTTTCGTGGGGTTTTTGCTGGCGTTGATGGAGGAGAGCCCCAAGGCTGGCTACTCCAATGCTCCCACGTCCCACCTCATGGAGTGCGCGGACTCCACGGACTTGCTCTTCTCGGACCTCTTCTCAGACGGCACCGGCCTGGGACTCTTGGAACCATTGTGGCGGCTCTTCACCCCAGAGGGTGCTTTGTGGACGCTGCTTACTGGCTGGGATCCTCGAGACCATGCCTCCTCGCTGGGTCTCTCTGGCATGCTCGAGGCAGTGGCCAGCCTCATTGCCACAGCCCTCACCCTCTTCAACCATGCTATGGCAGCCCTGCTCAGGCTTTTGTGTCCTAGCCGCCGCCCTAAAGCGTCCAAGGGTGAGAAGGACAAAGCCAGCACAGCACATGAGAAGATTCAGATGACCTTCCTTCAGGAAGCTCACGCCTACTTCGGATATGTGCGCCTCTTCTGCCTTGGTCTCATTCGGGAATATATTGTGCGGGCGTGTGCCTTCTTCCTGAAGGATGAAATTTGTGTCCGGTACATGCAGCGGGAGAAGTGGAGTGTTGGCTGGACGGATTTCTATCTGCAGCATATGTACAAGCTCTATGTGGATTGCTTTGCACGACCCATCGCCTCTGCCCCTGATGCAGCTGTTGATGTTGTGATTAGAGAACGAGCGGGTGGAGACTTGTTCGGCCCTCTCAATGACCTGAAGCTCACGAAGAACACTCGCAAGTGCGTGAACCTTTCCTCCTACAACTATCTTGGCTTTGGTGGTGTCGATGAGCTACTCGGCAGCTACGGGTTTTGTTTGGATCAACGGATGTCCTGCGCAGTGAGCGATGCTCAGGTTCTGCACTCCCGTGGCACGAAAGGCTGTGCGGGAGATGGGCTGGTCCACCTCGGGAACCCGTACAGAAGGTGGGACCAAGGAGTGAGTTTGGTGTGCTTTTGTCGTGCTTGTGCTGTGCTTTGCTGTATGCATCCAGCGAGGACATCCATCGTCAGCTTGAAGATGAGGTCGCCGCGTACCTGCAGAAGGCAAGCCCACAGCTCGCCCGGAATGTGTTACTTTCAGACAAAGGCGAGTCGGGACGCCCAGACATCCACAGCTGTGCAGCTTACGAGGAGGATGCCTTGGTGCTGGGAATGGGCTTCGCCACCAACTCCACCATCCTTCCGGCTCTGTTTGAGGCCAGGCAGAAACCAGACCCCTGGCCCCAAAGCCAAGCTCGTCCACGACGCATCAGGCAAATGCGAACGGCAGTGGCATTTTGGTCCTGAGTGACGAGCTGAACCACCGCTCGATTGTAGAAGGCGCGATGCCCCCCCCGCCGCCACATCCCCGAACCATCACCTCCACGTTCTTGACTTCCCCGCTGTCACAGGCGTGCGCCTCTCTGGTGCCACAGTGCGCGCCTTCACCCACAACGAGATGACTGCCTTGGAAGGGGAGCTGCAGAAGGCGGTGGAGAAGGGCCAGCCAGGCAGGTTCTCCTGGAACAGGGTTGCTGGTCTCGAGCCGATAAGGTCTTTTCACATGTGGATTGCGAGGATTGGAGCAACCAGAGAATCTCTGTTTGGTGAATCTTAGATTTCGGCCCAGCCAGGCAGTGGAAAGCCGTGGCGCAAGATCTTCGTAGTGGTGGAGGGCATCTACTCAATGGAAGGCCAGACTGCCTTGTCTGATCTCATGGCTCCGAGGGCCGAGGCTCAGTGTTTCGTATCCGTGCTTCCGTGCCCATGAGTGCAGGAAACGTTTGGTGGCCTTGTGTGATGCACGGTGTATATGTTGGCATCATCATACATGGTGTGGTTCAAGAATTTTAAGAATCGAGGCACCAGGCATCAGCGATCATGCAGACATGTCGCGTGTAAGAAGCAGGAGACTTCTGCCGCTTGCGCGAGATCGTGACCATCAAGAACAGGCAGAGCATGGGGATCGCGAAGAGCGGCATCTTGCTTTCTCCACCCCCTCCTTCAGCAGCTAGCTCCGATGTTTGAAAGCACCGAAAACCGGATTGTGCAACACACACATCCACATCATGAATTCACCACCTGCACTCCCTGTCGCAAGTCTGGGTGGCATGACTTGATTTCGTGCGAGATGAGACTAAGGCACCAAGGCACCAAAGAAGCACATAAACCTGAGGAATCTGTACTTGGTGTAGGAGGATGCAAAAAGGAGGATTACACAGCCCATGCTGCTTGATCCTCATTTGAATGTGATCTCTCGATCTTGAGCTTTTCTTGTCGTTATGATGCTTTTCTGTGCGCTGGATTCGTCGTCAATAGTCAACAGTACTTCGTAGTTGTTTTCTTGTACGAGCCGTACCGTTTGTGTCTGAAGCAACAGAGTGCATTGTTGCCTTCAACGTGAATGGCAACCGTGTTATCCGTTGCTACCAGTGGACCAGTGGAGCACTGCTTATGGTGTTATCCAAGCTCTCATCCGTCTCCCTGTTATGGTTTCCATACTTACCACTGAAAAGTCTATTTCTCACGTGCCTGGCATCATCCACGTGACACCGTAGTAAATTGATATGGGCTGATTTTGATGCTGTTATCAGTCAGGCTTTCCTTCCTTCCAGTTTGGTGTCGCAAAGAATTAATGCCGAAGAGAGTCTCCAACTTGGTATTAAAAAGAAGGGCTTTCGCTGGCAACGAGCTGCAGCGACCTAAACCTCGACCCTGGCATTTCAGGGTGCAGGTTCAAGGCTTCCCGTGTCCATGCATAGGTACGGAGCCTACCTCTACCTGGACGAAGCTCACTCCATCGGTGCGGTGGGTGCCACGGGACGAGGCGTCACTGAGCTGCTGGGCGTTCCCACCTCGGAGGCCGAGTAAGGGCCACTTTGACAAGAAGCGAGGCTGTGCTGTCATGAGACACGAAGGTGGACATCATGATGGGCACCTTCACGAAGTCCTTCGGAAGTGCCGGAGGCTACGTCGCAGCCTCGAAGGAGTGCAGAGATACCAGGTCAGTGCTGGTAGTGAAGAGTGACTTCGATTTTCTCCCGCAGGAAGTCATCGCCGCTCTTCGTCGGGGAGCGCCAGGAAGCGTGTCGCTCGCTTCGGTAATGGAGTGAACTTCGTAGGGAGTGATTGACGTAGGGAGTGATTGGCGGAGTCTGGGGCCCAGAGCGGTGAGTGGTCTGACAGATCCATGGAAAGGAGAAAGAACAAGCAGTAAAGAAACCGCTGAAGCTACTCCGCACATCTTCATCGATTGTGCGACTGCTCGTTTCAGTCTTGTCTTTGTCCCTGCGAGTCGTCATGTTGGCGATGCACCCTCGCGTGAGCTTTTTCGCTTCGCGTTTGCTGGTGGTCTCTGCTCGGTCTTTCTGGTGGAATTGAATCTGAGCTGGTAAAATTTGGGGGGGATCATCGCCAGCCCCAGGTTTGCCGGTGGCATGGCGCCGCCCTGCGCAGCCCAGGCTTTGCAGGCTCTCCGCGTCATCTCTGGCAAGGAAGGCGGCTTGTGCCTCTGTTTGAGCCGGAATGATACCCGTCGATGTTAGGCGAGTTGTAGCTTCGGCGGGGGATGTGTAGGAGATGCCTGGATTTTCGAAGTTGGATGGCTTGTGTGACGCAAGGCTTCGCAAGGCTTCAGGGGCCTAGGCATAGGCAGTCCTGAGGTTCGACGGGGGTCTTGACCATGTGGGTGCATGTCGGTCGGGACACGTGGCGAGGTGGGGACACCGGGGCACGGAAGCTCGCGGCTATCAAGGAAAACGCGAACTATTTCCGTGAGGCATGGCAGGGGCCAGGGGCCGCAGGGTGCAGTCGTAAGGTCCTATACGGTTGAAGGTCCGACGTGTGAGTTCTTTTCAGGAGCTGGGCCGCCGTGGCTTCAAGGTTTTGGGCGACGTGGATTCTCCGATCATCCCGGTGATGCTGCACCACCCCTGGAAGATGGGCGCCTTCTCACGACGCTGCCTGGACCGCGGCATCGCTGTGGTCGTTGTGGGCAACCCCGCCGTGCCCATTCTCTACGAACGCGTGCGCTTCTGCATCTCGGCGGCGCACACCATTCCGCAGCTGGCTGAGGCCATCACTCAAATCACTGCAGTGGGCCGAGAACTCGGCGTCCTCTTTGAGTTGGCGACCTCCAAGCAGGAGTTGGAAGCCCGAGCGGCAAAGGATCAGCAATACGCTTCCTGGCTCCGCAGTGCACCGCTGACCAAGAGGGTCGATGCCACGCCCGCTTGCCAGTGGCGGGCCGAGGCGCTGTCGCCGGCAGTGCCCGCCGAGGGCAGCTTGCTGGCCTCCTTGCAAGAGGCCTGTGCCCGACCTGAGGAGGTCGTGCCGGCCAGCCACGAGTTCCGGCTCATGGACCCGCTGGGTTATGCGGCCTCGCCACTGGAGGCAGCCTTCCAAGCAACAGAGGCAACGATGGACCACTACGGCTTTGGAGCCTGTGGTCCCCGTGGCTTCTATGGCGGTGCGCTCCCGCACTTGGAGCTGGAAACGGTGATTGCCCAACATCTCGGATGTGAGTCTGCCATTGTCTACTCTGCTGGAGTCACCACCGTCTCAAGTGTCATCCCAGCTTTGGTGCAGAACGGGGACAAAGTCATTGTGGATTCCGAGGTGCACCTGGGATTCCGCGCTGGCCTCCGTCTCTGTAAGGCTGACGTGACCTGGGTTCCCCACAACGACCTGTTCTCCATCGAGCGGGCGCTGGCGGCGAAATCCACCAGGAGCCTGGAGAAAGGCACGGGGCTGGGGCAGGGCCGCGGGGCCATCCCAATCGCAGCGCGCGCGCATCGCGTCGATGGTTGTGTCTGATCCCCTGAAGGAAAGGACTCCAAGGAGTCCCGACGGACTTTCATCATGGTGGAGGCCATGAACCAACGCACCGGGCAGCTGGCACCGCTAGCGGAGCTCGTGAAGCTGATCCCCACCAGCATGTTGGGGGGAGGGGTCCGGTGTGTTGTGGCATATGCCAGCTTGCCTTTTCGAGATTGTTTCCGCTTTGGAAGTCGGTGCCCCGCCAGGAAAGAGAGATATGGAGCCTTGTTGGTGCTCGACGAGACCCTGTCCTTTGGCTGTTTGGGCGAAACCGGCCGGGGTCTCACGGAGCTCCAATCGATCCCTCCAAAGCAGGCAGGGCGGGCCTTGCGTTCTTCGAGCACCAAGATGTTTTGACTCTTCTTGCAGGTGGATGCGATCATGGGCTCGCTAGAGCATGCCGCCGCAGGGGTAGGCAAGGCAGTGTTTGCATGTTTGCTCTGTGCAACCCTGATGAGTTCTTGCTGTCCAGGCGGCTTTTGTGCTGGCCGGCGCGGTCTAGTTGACCACCAGAGGCCATAGCGTAGCAGACCTGTCGCAGTCATCACGGGCGAAGATGTGGCTTGCGTGCAAGGCTCGCAGGAGCAGGCTACTGCTTCTCAGCGTCGTGCCCTCCGTGGCTTGGAGCCATTAACGTATAGTCTTATAGTTATAGTTTGTGAAGCCGCTGCGAAGATCAAGATGCTGGCTGGATTATCTAAGCTCTGCTGCTACCGAGTACCTTGCTACCTCACCTTTGGCCGAGACTTTTGGTGGTTGTTTGCTTAGGTCGGCATGCTCCGCGGCAATGGCCACCGTGCACGACCTGGCTTCTGCAGAAGGCAAAAGCCGGCGTCAGCGATTGCAGGCCGCTGCAGCAAAGCTGCACCTAACTTTGGCCTCGATTGCCCAAGAAGACTCTCCAGTGGAACTGCTGAGCAGTTCCGAATCCTTTGTACAGCAACTTCGGTGGAAGCACGACGACGCAGAACAGCAGCTCATGCGCCTTAGCCGGGCCCTCGCCCAGGACGGGTTGCGAGCGCAGGTCTGCTCGCCGAGCTTGTGCGGCTCAGAAGGAGCCTTCGATGCTCGGCTGAAGGCACCCGCCGAAGCCGCAAGGCCCACCCTGCGTTTCTGCTGCTCCTCTGAGCATTCTGAGGAAGATATTTCCAGACTCGGGGATGCTTTGCGAAAGGCTTTGTCTTAGTCTTCATCTTCCTGCAACTGCCGAAGTGTAGCTGCGTTTTGCTGGGAGGAAATTATATTGACCACAGGTTAGTTGTCCTGACAATAGTCGTGGCCCGTAGGCGAGTAGTTCTTTTTCACGTGCCAGCTACAGCTGCTCAACCAGAGAACGCCCAACAGACCCTCCCAAAAGGAGTACTACGATCTTCAAATTCAAGCTTGCAGTGTACAGTGCCGTGTCACCGTGCCAGGTCCGCAAGCGACATGACCCGTGCATATTTTGCTTCCAAGCGGTGCAAGAAGCGCATGCTCAGCAGGGTCATTCCAGCTCGCAAGTGGAGAGATTTTCGTTTCCGTGCCGCTCAGCAACCTGTGTGCTTTGCTCTTGCAGGTCCCTTCTTGCTGTGCTGCGTGCTGACGCCCCTGAGACCGCCCGGAAGGCCATGGAGCTGCTGGTACAGGACCTGGGGACCTGGGGTGTTTCTTCGGGGATAGGCAAACCGCACAGCGGCACAGAAGCAGAGGTGAGCATGCGGCGGCAGCCTCGTTCAAGGACCAGCCTCTTATGGAGCTTTCGGCTGTGGGAGACCTCGTGGCGGGCTCAGTGCAGTGTAAAGCACAAGTTCCAGGGGCAATTGGATGTTACTCGGGGTCCGAGGCTTATAGAAAGAAACGCTGTGCTGGGATCGACAGGGGCATGTGTCTTTCAACACCCTGCCAGTGCATGTTCTTTGGTGTAGAAGCAGGAGCCTTGTGCGCATGGCATGAACCCCGTTTGAGCCATGTGCAAGCCTGAGCCATTCTGGTTCTGGGACTGTCCATACTGTCCAGCAAAGAGAAATACATCGCGTGCATCCCGACCCTGTGCGCCCCTTGTGGAGAGATGAAGGATGAAGGGTGCATCAAGCCGAGGGCATAAAACTGCGTTTGACCTTCGCTCTGCCTCCGCGAGGCTTCGTCGCAAGGGCAACCTGTACCCAAACCGCCAGGTATCGAATTGAGCAACCATGGGCGCCTACAAGTACCTCGAAGAGATGTGGCGTCTGCCTCCCGAGCGATGCAATGAGACCCTTCGTACTTCTCGGGCCTTCGCAGTCTTGGCCAAGTGTATCCTATCCCGCTGAGGCAAGAAGCAGTCGGATGTCATGCGCTTCTTTGCGCGCCTGCGCAATTGGGAGTGCGAGGCTCAGGTTGGGCAGGTCTTCCGCTTCCATTCTGCAAGCATCCTGCAATGCTTGCCAGGTTCCGTCAGCTGCCGGCGGTGCACCGCTGCACTCGCCCCACGCGCCCGGACAAGGCTTCTGTCCGCTAGCCTAGGCTGAGCGTGTTGTAGCAAGCCGGCATGAAGCTTCGATTTGCCACCATTCGGTTATGTTATCGGCCAACAAGTAGCATACCATGTGGGTAATGTTGTCAGACTGCAAAACTCGGGGCGGTGCTAGTATCCAGCGCCATGCAAAACAGGAGTTGGATAAAGTTGGGGCGGGGATACTCTTGGCCGGACGCAGTCCTGCAAGCGAGCCCGAGGCAGTGTCAGAGCTGGGCCTTCAGCAATCCTGTGAAGCTTGCAATGCGAGGCGCGAAAGATGGGCTACAAGGTGGGATCTCCGGTGCAAGCGGCATGTGTGTTTACCGCTGTTTCGGGAAGGGGTGCGTGATTTCTTTTTGTGTGGTGGGGCGAGATTCAACTTCATGCTAGTGCCTGTAGTACTTGCTTTAAATGGCAGAACCTTGCCGACTGCCATGCCCTCCAAGGCCAAGCAAGGCTACTGCGTCTACCGTGTGCGAGTGAAGCGCGGCGACCGCAAGAAGCGAGTTGCCAAGGCATGACGCGGAAGAGAAGGGCACCTGTTGCCTGAACCTTGTCATGTTCGCAAGTCGCTGTTATCAACACTTCTTGCCAGGGCATCGTGTACGGCAAGCCGGTGAACCAGGGCATCAACAAGTGGAAGGCATCCCACACTCTAAACTTTCCCGCAGCATCACCAGTCTTTGTCCGGCCTGTCTAAGATCCTCTGGTCACGTCTCCTGCAGCTGCTGTCCCGAGTTCTCCTGCATTTGCAACGCTGTCCCGGTTTGGGCATCTGGAGAGTGCCGGAGAGTCCTCGGATCAGGCAGTCCGGAATCTGCGCAACATTGCAGAGGAACGTGTGGGCCGCAAATGCGGAAGCTTGCGTGTGCTGAACTCCTACTGGGCATCCTGCCAGCAGTCGTGGATGGCTCGGAATCCACATGTTGTGATGCTTCGGAGGCACTAAGAACTTGAGGAATGTGTGTCGTGAGAGGGTTTTTCCAGCTTCACGATCATGCTCAGCAGTGCACGGACACTCCCAAAGCCCAACTTGGGGCCGCTTGCCTCTGAAGAGCATCGTCAGGTAGCCCAGGATGCGGTGCACAAGTGGTTTGAGGCGCTTGGGGCCGAAAACTTAGCCCTGGAGGCTGCTTCTGCTTTAAAGAGGTGGTCATGGTGGACCCCTTCCACAAGACCGTCCGTGATGACCCGCGCATCAACTGGATCTGCAAGCCAGCCAACGCCTCGGAGCAACGTCACTGCGTCGCTTTGTCTCCCGGCCAAGCCGCTGACTGCGCTCAGGTGATGAAGCACCGCGAGCTGCGAGGTCTCACGGCCGCCGGCAAGAAGGACTCGGGACACCTTTCGCATCCATTGCCCAGCCCATCCCTAGTCCTGCCCCACCCTCCCCACTCAAGCAAGGGTGTTAATCCTGGCCTATGCCACCCCAGCCTCGTCTTTGTTTGGAGAGGCCCGTGGCCTGCTCAAGAAGGGCAAGCGTGCCACCAAGCTCCGCCCCTCTTACCGCGCTGCCTACCGCCGCCACTCCCTTATGCGCCTGCGCTCGGGCCTCAAATGCTATGCCCTTTACTGGTACTAACAGCATGTTCTGCGTCAGTTCGGGCAAGTAGCAGCTCAGGCAAACAGCATTAAAATCGACTGAAAGGCCTCAGTAGGACGGGAATCCGGAAAGCACCAAGGCCGCTATCGCTAGGCGAAGACGACGCTGCTCTGACCTGGCGCAGTTCTCCTCACTGCCAGTTCCGCCGGTGCCACGTCCTTCGATACGCCGTACTTGCTGCACTCGTGTTCTGCATAGATATATGTGTTGCAAGAATCAGCCGAACTTTGCACTGTCCGGCATGTGGCACCCGGCTGTGCTGGCAGTGATCGCAGAGATTCTCTCTAGGTTTCTGTATAGGCAGGACGTGCCATGTCTAGAGCAGTGGGTCATGATTGCTGGCAGTCCCTGGAAGAGAAAGGTCTTAAGTTCTTGTCTTGGAAGTCTTGGACCCCACACTACCCGACAGACCTCATGTGCATGGTCAGACCTCGGCTCAAAAGACACGCAACTCACAGGGCCACAAGCTGGTCTCAGCCACAGTTTGCTTGAGGAGACTGACTCTGATACCTTCCTGAAGCTCTTTTTCGGCCATGGGATGCGGCTCCTCACAGAGCACGACTCCGGTGCTTTCTGACAGCCCCATGCAAGGCCGTCTTCGCGTGTGTGCGTCTGTTTGTCTGTAGACTGTGGATGGGAGGACTTCTTGACTTCGCAAGCTTGCATTTGTGAGGCTTTGAAGAGCCGGTGGTGACACTTCCTGGCACGCTGCTGTATGTGTCCTCTGCTCATCCAGCAACTGCCGGCAGCTGAGAATGGTCTGTGTTGAGCTTAAGTCTTCCGTGCGGAGGGCTGCAAGCTTTGACAATCCACTCTGATCATAGCTACAAGCCAAAGCTTCAATCCTCTGCTGTCTGTTCCGAAGGTGATGCGCCGGTTCTCCTTGGCACCTGCAAGCGCAGAACTGCCTGGAGTGCTGTGTGTGTTTGTTGTCTGTTGTGAACAGGGGCTCGGGGCTCTCCTCCGGAAGGGCCCGGCCGCTGTGAGCTGTGCAGGAGCTGTCGAAGACAATCGACCTCCGATAAGTTCTGCTGGTGTCATTGTCGCGGTGGATGAGCTGCCCGAGGTGACTTGTCGCAACAACAAGATTCTCGGGGCAAGTGTCACGGTCTCCCGTGCGTGCCTTCCTTGCTTCTCGACGTGTTGAATGTGCCAGCAACTGCCAGGTGATGCAAGCGCCAGTGAGATCAGAATCTGAAAACGCCGCCACGGCGTCTGGAATGGCATCGCAGCCAGCGAAGCTGGAACAAGTGATGCCTGCACGAGAATTTACTTTACAGCCAAAGACAATGCCTTGCAAGCCCAAGCCACTACAACCGTTACCGGAATTCGCACCTCCATCCGATCCCATGCCGCCGAGCCGACAGCGAGCATGTCGAGAAGCGACTACCTCAAGAGAGCCAAATCTCCCAGAGATGGAGCCGGGGGATGCTCCTTGGCTTTGCAATTGGTTTGTTCTTGTCTTGGTTCCACGGCAGATTGTCGACCAGTGTCCGAGTCCGACGAGGGGTTTCTTCAGGCCAGAGATGTGTGGAACAAACGAAGAAACAGCCTCCCTAACCCTTCACACTCGGAAAGGGTAACGGCAAGTGGTCCAGGGCGCCTGGAACTGCCAAGTCTGCCAAGGCAGCCGTCGAGGATGAGGCCGTCGCAGTCGAGGATTTCGAGGAGCTCCTCTCTGCTCTCGGCCCATGGCTTTCTTGCCTGGGCATCTCTTCCAGGATCATGGAGATTCTGCTGCTGCCAGGCCTCTTCTTGAGCTGGGGGGGCGGGGGTCCTGCGACCCACGGGTGAATCCATGTCGACAGGCTGCGAGATCTGCTCTTCGCCAAGTGGGAAGCAGAATCCGTGGTCTGCCGCATCGCGAGCAAGGACCGGACTCTGCACGATGCCTGCCCTTGATGGAGCTGCCCGACGCTGCCAGGAGATCCGCTCTCAGATGACATCGACTTCGAGTTCCACTCGCGAATTCAAACCGATTGCGACTTTGAAGCAACCTTGCGGTCGCGGTGCCTGGAGAGATGGTCTTTGGTGTGCGAGTTCAACACGCGCTGATTTCGGGAGGTGGTAGTTCTCGCGATGGTCGAAGCATGTTGAAACTTATTGAGCGTCTGCTGCTATGATCTCAGGAGCCACAATTCATAAAGACATTGCTCTCTCCAACCTTCAAATATCCAGAACTGCATAACTCCGTTGAGAACTTGGCTTCAAACTCCTCAGCCTTGATCTGTTGTATACTGTTGAAGTCTTCCAGGCCGCCCCGCTCCGACCGCCCCGGCGTGGCCGATGCGGTCACGGCACCGGGCCGAGGTTTGATTCTCTTTGCTCCGTGTTGCATTTGCAGTCCACAGTCACGGCCAACACACGACACTCACAGGGACTCGCAGTGCATGTGCCAACATGACGCACGTGAGGTGCTTGGTCCTTCGGAGCGCGGGGGCGTGGAGGCCACGTGGCGCTCAAGGCCCCTGAAACGATTGTCTTGGTGGGTGTGAACGCAAAGGCAAATGCCGCTTCGCTAGGCTGCGCGGACTGTGTCTGGTGAGCTGAAAGCTGTTGGAATGCTAGGCTCGGGCCTGCCTGGTGCCTCCCAGCTCCGATGCAGGCCTGCTTATAAAGGGTACTCGTGGAAGCCCGCAGTAACGATTTCTGTGGTGGTTGACATGCGCCGCGGGATTGTAGTCTCCGTGCTTTGCTGCTGATGGGTCTTTCTGCGTCTTTCTTGCAGCCTGACCAAAGTCGAGTCGCAGGCCAGGGCCTCAAATCAATGGCCGAGCCGGCTCCTGTGCCTGTCATGCAGCCTCCTGGTTGCAGAATTTGGGTTAAGACTTCCATGGTCGTGTTGTGCCTCGTTATGCAGCAAGCACTGAGACGACTCAGTGCACAGGCCAGACCCCGTGATTCCGTTTGCTGGGCAGCAAGAAGCTGCAGACGCTTGGCAAGACGGGTTTTGCGAGGTCTGGATGTTGAGCCTGTTCTCTGTCGCCCCGCCACACGATTGTCTGATGCCTTGCATTTGTCGTGATCTTCTGCAAAGCCCTGTTCCGCGGTAGACTGGGCGGGGGTACTCAGAAGATGTGTGAGATGTCCTTGTCATCGCTTGCTCGATGAAGGTCTTGCCTGGTTCAGAAGCTGGTGATGTTCAGGACAAGCCGGCCACTGCGCACATCATTTCGGTTTCTTGTACAAGTCCCGCAGCCAACCAACCTATCAGTCAAGTCCTTCGAAGTCTGACTGGCCCGCTGTGCAGCCCGTAACTGAAGTTGGAACGTGCCGAACGACACGGTTCTCCGAAGAACTAGCCAAGCTGCCTGCAACTTGGGGTGTACCCCTGTTGGTGCATCTGTGAACAGAATGATTTTGCCATCTTGAAGTCGTCGACGGAACAGCTTTAGCCGCTGAACCTTCTAGTGAACTTTCACTTCCACCATCGTTCCAAGCAGGATTTGAGCAAAAAGCATTCTGGTTGTTGTTTCCGCGTCAGCTGCCAGCCTCTGTCTCTATAGTTATGTATATAGATTAATTTTTGTACAATGTGTGCAAAGTTCTAGTTCAGGTTGCACACCAGAACTGGATACAACACGAAACCCAGCAAGTCACGCGTCGGTTGAAGACCACAGAAGGACAGATACAACACTTCTGCAGACCAGCAATGAGCACTCTAATTGAAGATGCTTTACACACAGCTCTTGTCCCTGAAATGTTCACCCTTTCACTAGACAGATCTGTGGAAGACTGTGGGGCGAGCTTTCGAACCAGCCTGGGAAGTTTCTGTTGCTTGACACATGGAGTAGGAGCAGCCATGTTCGCCAAACTTTTCTGGCAGTTCCCTGAAGGAAATGGGTCGGTTCATGATTAGGAGAGTCTAAAACAAGCTAAAGCAACGGGCACGTGTGTAGAGTTGCGTTTGCGTCCGGAGATGACATCTGGGAACTTGGAGTTCAGAAGACTTACATGTTGGGTTCGGCTGGTGTTCTTGTTGCTCGGAGTGATGTCGCCGGGAGTCGAACCGACACATTCCTACACCAACTAGGTAACCAGCTGAAACCTGCAGTCCGCACAGACCCTTGATTCCCTTCATCTCGCATCATTTCTGCAGGATGTGTTCTCGAACGACTCGTCAATGGAAGACCGTGGGGATGTCTTGGACTCCTTCTTGCGCAATGTGTTTTCACCCTTGGTGCCCTAGATGAGCAGGTAGATCCAAGAATGTGATGTTCTCTGGTTGAACAGCCAAGGGTTGTGTGGTTCGGCAGGTGCTCCCGCATTTTGCAAGCACTGGTCCGACCCTCCCACTGCGAAGTACTTGCAAGTGCAGGTGTGGTATCATCGCCGGAATCTTCCCAATTTGCAAGCTTTACAGTCGCTGGGCAGACTTCTGTGGGGCATGGTGTTTAGTTGCGCTTTTCCAACCAAAATCCGGCAGCTGCTGGCTCTGGGGCTGATGCGCCATCAGTCGGCCGGAGCTCCGGAGACAGGAATCATCAGGCCCTAGCTGGAAGACAATCGCAGAAGTCTGCTTTCCGAGGAGACTCAAGACTTGACACCTGTGTTCCGTGATTCCATGACGATGCAAAGCATCGAGCCAGAATCCGAGCTCCAAGTATACACTGCAAGGCCCAACCTGTCTGAGTCGGAGCCCCAGAACAAAAAGCTTCAGCCGGCCTTGCTCGCAGAGCTACAGCGGGTGGAAACAACGCAGCAGAATCCCCGCGACAGAATCCTCGCGAATCCGCGGCTCCGGACTCCAGGAGACTCCAAGTACCCGGAAGGGTCGCTTTCAGGTCGCTGTCATTGCGCGATCTGCTCCTCATGTGCAGCTGTTCTGGCTTCTTTGACCGGGGACGGGATCAGCCATGATTACTTTTGCCTTTTGCCTGACGCTGCTTACGGCTGTATCTGCTGCGCCGAGAGTGACGTCCGTAGTCCCGGGACAGGACTCTCGGCAGCTGTTTTTTTGGCAGTCAAGCTATGCCCTGCGCAAACCACCGCGCAATGAGGAGCTCATCGACAGCGCCTCCCCCCCCGGCTTCTTCGCGGATAAGCTCAAGTGCCCCGGCAAGAAGGTTTGCGAACAAGTCCAAGCTTTTTCGATTGATTCAATTGTTTGGATTTGAAGATTCACCGCTGACGAAAAGGCTGAAGGCAATGTAACGTAATGTAATGCAATGTAATGTAATGCAGTGCAATGTAATGTAATGTTGCAATGTGCAGTAGACACGGGGACCAACTGGAATCGAGCATCTGGAGCATCTTTCATGTTTCTCGGTCTCGTCCGATCGATATCGACATGCTGATGAGCTTGAGGGACTCGAACAGCAACTTCGGGTCCCTGGATCTGCTGGGCAGCTGCTGCGGCGAATCCAAAGGCAGGAGCAAAGACGGAAGTCCACGTTGGATCCGTGGATGGGGTGCACGGACTCCATCCGAAGGATAGCTGCATAAACACCCGGTTCTTAAGATGCACGGTTGTATCGGGCAGGCTCGCCGTGCCAAGGGTTGTTTCATTCGGGATGAGGCATCAAACATTCAAGGTGTGTCTTCCATCCTCGCGAGGCCTTGGACTGCAATCCGTGTTTAGGCAGAAGGCGAAGAGGAATTGCCCCGTGACCTCAACCCGAATCCAGAGTCCACGGTCCACCAGCTTAAACTGGGCCGTGACAACGCAGGCCAAGCTTTTCAAGTCGCACAGTCCGTCAATACGAACAATATCTACGGATCGACAATTGACGTTGCAAAGGGCATCTTCGACAAGACCAACTGCAGCCATTTGGTTGCATGCTTGCCATCTCCGGTGTCTTTCTTCGTAGTGGGTGTTGCAGAGCTTTTTCGTTTGGCCTGTCTACGTTTTGTCAGAAGATGCGTGTGTAAACTTTGCGGAAGGTCATGTGGATCCGCAAAGCTTGGATGCAAAAGTCAGCATGGACTGCAACTACTTCTTCGTCTTCAAGAACAAGGCGCATGCCGAGCACGACTACGCTGCTAACTGCGTGCCGGCAACAGTATGCAAGGATGACGTTGTGGGCATGACCAAAGGTTTGGTGGGGACCTACGGGGTGGTCTTGCAAATCTTGCAGGGCAACCTTGGCTCCTTATACTGGCTGGGTGAGGGGCAACTGCACGAATGCTACAAGGCAATGCACCAGATCAACACGGGCAAGATTGAAGATCTTTTCGTCACGAAGCCAGGTCTCGTGATTGCCGGGCATGTCCTGACTCACGACACTGTCATGGAAATTCCCGGCATGGCTAAGCTCGGGGTGAAGGAGTCCTTGTCCAGCTGCAAGGATGATGGCTCGGTGGGTTATCTCTTCGTCCACAAGAACCTCTACTGGTCCACCAAGAAGGATGAGGTAGATATAGGCGAGTTCACGAAATTCAAGCAGGCGCGCGCTCTGCAGCGCACGCTCCGAAAGTGCGTTTAGGAGTTCGTCTTTGGTTTTCCAAGCCTTCTGCAGGAGAAGGAGAAGCAGAAGCTGGAAGCTGCCAAGAAGAAAGCGGAGGCAGCAGCACGAGAGGCCAGGCGGAGGTCCTGGTTCCTGCTTGCTCCAGAGCTTTGATGCCGGTATCTCTGAAGCTGGAGCTGGGCTCGGGTGTCAAAGCCTCAAGACTCCTTCTGAAGCGTTCAAGACTGGGGGGCACATTGCGCCGAAAGAGACACCACGGGTGCAATGAAACAAGCCACGGACACTCGAATGGAGATGGGTTTTCAAGCTTTAAAGCAAAGCATCGTAACTTGAAGCCTTCATCCGAGCACCGATGAGATGCTTCAACGAGTCCGAACGAGATGATCCGTGCAAGCGGACATGCTGTGAATAATATGACGGCTGTGCACAACAACATGGGCATGGCTGCTTGAAAGCTCTGAGCTGCTACTCTTTGAAATTCTGGGACGCCCGCGGGGGCTCCCCAGCAGCTTGGAGCCCAAGGCTTCAAGCCTCAAGCCGTGCCGCTCAAACCCCAAGCAACGCCTAAAAATGCGTGGCTGCACACCGCGGGGCCCGAGCAGCGCCTGAAGAGGGCCGTGGCCGTCGCCAATGCGGTCGAAGCGAAGCACTGCGGGCTCAAATTCGCGGGCCGCCGCGCTGTGATGGGAGCACGACGGGTACCCCAAACCAGGACTTGCGACCCTGCTGGAAAACGATCCCGGGAGGTGGAAACACGAGACGCAGCCAAAATCTGCAGGCTACTGTGGCGCGAGCAAAGGCATAGGCAGAAATGAAAGGGACTGTGGCGGGAATACGTGCGCAGATCTCAATGAATTTGGTGCTGTGACGGGAACCTTTGATATACCCAAGGGTTTAAGATCGGAGCAGAATCTTGCGAGGTTTTTAGCGGTTTACGGCGGTTTGAAGGTCAAAATCCGGACAGCACCGTAGCGGGAGCACAGTTGCAGCAAAATCACACCAACATGATATCGACGGCACTGTGGCGAGGCGACTCGGAGACAATGGAAAATGCCGTCATTTGGGGGGCGGAGCTTGGAAGGATGTGGTGGAGCGGAGCTGGAGAAACGTGCCGAGGGTGAGAAGGGCTTTGCACTGGGCTTGTTCCGACAAGCAGCTTGTCACAAGCTGCAATCAGCGGATCTACTGTCTTACAATGTTGTACATTGTTCGACCAGCACCGCTATTGCCCACATCAAAAATATCTAGAACCATGAAGCAGCTGGGTTTGAAGTTGGCCCTCGATGGTATCAGTGATTGCAGACATTGTCAAAGCTGGAGTGTTCACATGTTAAGCTCTGTGGGGCCACGGTCTGCAGCGCTTCTTTTTAAGCCGGGTACTCAGTTGTAACGTTGCTTGATTGAGCCGTCAGGCAGAAGCTCAGAAGAAGAAAGAGGCAGATGAGAAAGCGGCTGAGGAGGCAGCAGCAGGACTCTCAGGAGGCTGCGGTAATCCTGTCAGGGTGCTCCCGTCGGATCCGCCATCCGCCATCGCCATTCCATCACTCAACGGCTTGTGAGACCTCTCCTCATGTTTAGTAAAGTTGTGAAATTTCCCTGTCTTGAAGAGCCGTGTTGACATGTCCTCATGCGAGCGTAGTTTTTGTGTTAGTTCTGAACGCACCCTGTACGACAGACGTCTTGGGCTCAGACCAAAAAGTGTGCTCGTTTGTGTGGTTGGACACTCACTAATCCAGTTCCTGCTTCAAACTGGTAGCGGAGCTGTGAGGACAACCACTAGTGTTTCACCCCCGTTGAGCCTGTGGTCCGGGGTCCGTTGGGTAGTGTAGTGATAGTCGCGGCGCAAAGGCCCCTTCTATCCTCGAAGCCATGAGCGTGGCAGGTTTGCGTTACCAGCCCAATCTCTGGTCACAGAACCTGAGCCCTGCAGAAACCAAAAGCGGGTCGTACATATACGACGGTACGGCTGCTGGCTTCCATGATTGGTGCTTCCGGACACAGATCCGTGTGCTGCAGCATAAGGAGAAGCAGCGGCGCGAAGCTCTTAAGGACCTGCGTTTTGCCGAGTCGGCAAGGGCCAAGAGCGAGTCACCAAGGAAGTGGCGTGGCAGGGCAAGTCAGGGGACCAGTGCATCGCCCACAGATGGTGATGGAAGCAGCGGTATACCCGCCAGTCCGTCCAGCGCAAAACGGACTAAGCCCGCGTCCGAGGCAGAAGATGAGGATGCGGAGTCGCTACCGTCGCACCCCAGCCAAGTGGCGGGCGACGATGAGCAAGAGCCGGACACAGATCCGGCGGTGTACACCTTGCAAGACGTCAAGGACGAGTCGCTCGACATGAGCGAATGCGTTAGCAAAATCCTAGAGGGTCTCCGAGGAGATGCCTTTTGCATCGCTCGCGACGTCGGCCTGGAACGTCTGCTTCGCCATGACGGCGTCGACTACCTGATAGAAGAAATCAGGAGGCAAGCCTTCCCTCTTCAATCCGAAGAGGCGTCCGAACTTTTCCGTCAGGGACAGCTCCTGACGGGCCCACTTGCAAAGCAACCCGGCGAGCCTATGTTGTCTTACATAGCCCGCCGAAAGCGGTGGTGGTCGACCTTGCGTGAGCTGGATCCTGATATCCGCCTTTCTGAAGCAATGAGGGCTAATCTCCTTGTTGAGCTTTCAGGGTTGGAAAGGTCCGAGCAGCTAATGGTCAAGACCGCCGCCCGCGTACACAGCGTGGATGAGTACGCACGCGTCCTTGTTCAGCATCACTCAGTGGTGCACATGAAGGAACGTCTTCTTACCCAGAAGGACCCTAGTGGCCCAGGTAAGACCTGGAAACGTTTCGACGCTAAGCCCCAATACCCTAAGTTCAGCTATATGGGGTATGATGGTAGTGCCGCAGAGTATGGTTACCAGGAACAACAGGAATCCGCGGAAGGCTACGGTGACGGCTACGGCGAAGAAGCATACCAGGCCACAGCGTCTGGGGGAGATGATGCGGATGAATGGATTGATGATGAGGATCTAGCATTGCAACTCAACGCCTATACGGCAGTGGCATATGAAGCTGAGATTGACGATTTGGATGATTCCTATGCCGAGTCAGTTCAGCTTGCGTACGCGGCACAGACCGCCTTTGCCCAGGCGAAAGGAAAAGGAAAGGGGAAGAACAAGGGCAAGTCCCCCGGAAAATCCGGAGGGAAGGTCGTGCGTAGCAATTTGACCATTGCTGACCGTAAGGCCAAGTTAGCAGAGCTTAAGGCAAAGAGTAGGTGCCTGAAGTGCGGTGTGATCGGCCATTGGGCCGGAGATGCTGCCTGCAAGTTTAGCGGTAAGGGCAATGGCCCCAAGGGCACCACAACCCCAGCACAGTCTGGGGGAACTGCCAACGCAGCCGCAAAGTCGGCGACGCCGAAGCCTCAGGCGTATTTCGCCGCAGTGGAGGAGGATGACACAGAGTGTGTCCATCTGTCGAATGCGAGCGCTGGTAGGCTCGAGGGTTACCCAGCCAACCTTGAGCTGACTCCCTCAAAGACCAATACCGGCAAAGGCCGCGGCAATGAAACCCTCTTCTCACCACAGCTTCGGCGCACAGCCGCCGCTGGGATCATGCGTGACAGCCCGCCTGAGGGTTCCGATCGCGTTTTCTCCTTTGGTCAGCATAAGGGTCTGACTTATGAGCGTGTCTTGTATACGTTTCCTGGGTATGTTCTTTGGGGACGCACGCAGAAGTGCCCATCCATAAATTTGGCCGATTTCTTGGATTGGGTCACGGAGTACTTTGATGTGCGTGATGATAACCCCATTAGCATCACGAGAAGGGATGTCCCTCTCAGCCAGGAACCCCCGCCTGAACCCTTTCAGCCCGAGGTTCGCCTCGCCGCGTCAGCTGCTTCGTCCAGCGAAGGCCCCCGGAAATGCCGGGGAGGTTGCAAGGAGTTCAACAAGTCGGGGAGTAACGCATACATAGACATGCGGACCTGTAAGAAATGCGGCACCGTCACCAAGACGAAGAAAGAGAAGCCTGTCATAGATCAGGCCACATGCCCCCACACCTCCACCGAGAGGTCGGGTAGCAGTAGGAAGACCTCCCGCATTAAGTGCAAGCTTTGTGGGATGCTTCTAGATGAGCAGCCGCAGACCGAGCGAAAGGCTAGGGATGACGCAGCCACAGTGCTGCGGGAGTCCAACACCCTGGACTTCGATCTTCTGCGCAGCATAGTCGGCAGCACGGGGGATAGCCTCCCCGTAGAGGTAGTAGTTCCGGCTATTGCCCAGTTTCAAGAGACCATAGAGGGTCACTTCGTAACCGAGCCCGTGATATCCCGCGGTGACCTTCTCGCATACCTGCAAGAGGCCTTAGACGATCACTCTGCGCCATCGACCAACAACAGTTGGGAAGTGGCGTCGGCGAGATCGCGCTCCTCGAGGGCCTCCGCGACGAGGCACGCCTTCGTGGCTTTCACTGAGGGGGTCACAGATATCCATCCGGCTTTGGTTGATTTGCCCGTAGTAAATATCTACGAGGATAAGCACGTATACGCCGTGTTGGATGAGGGCTGTAACTCGACTGTTCACGGTAGCGATTGGATAGCAAACGCGGCGGGGAAACTTGCGAACTTCGGTTACAGCACGAGGTTTAAACCTGAGGGCAATCGTACCTTCAAGGGTCTTAGCGGCGCTACCGAGACCTTGGGTAGCAGGACCATACCTTTCTCTATAATGGGATTGGAGCAGGACTTGAGAGTTCCGGGCGTCCTTGATTCACATGAGATTAAGGGTACAGCCCCTCTCCTTTTGTCCCTTTACGCGCAGGCCCAGCTTGGTATAACCAAAGATCTTCGGTTTGGTGAGTGTGGTGTTCGACTTCCTTCTGAGGATAGCATCATTAGGATCAAGCTGTGTCGGACACATGACTCAGGGCTGTTATGCATAAACATAACAGAAGGCTTGACCCAGGTGAAACAACCCCGTCTCATAAAGAGCTTCCAAATTCCCTCACCGCCAGTTCCTATATTTAGGTCTGCCGCCGCCGCCGCCTTAGCTCACTCAGAGTCCGTGAGCGGATCACCCCGAGATGCAACAGCGGCAGATGACGCAGTGGCAACAAGTCGCAGTCACAGTACTGTAGATGCAGGCCATGGTCATAGCACTGTAGGCGT